AATTTTCAATTTGTGAAGATGACTAGTACTGTGACTTGGCTAGCTTGAAAGACCAGACTGACTTGCAAGTCTCACAAGTCGATGCACACATATGCATCTGCATGTACAAAACTTCCAAGATGCTCTTTTGGATCATCAAAGGCTCACAAAGAATTCTTCTCTCTCTCTCTCTTGAGGTGGGAGATCCAGGCAAGATGTAAATATCCCCTGGTACTACATATATGTACCTATCTCTAACAACTTCTGTTTGGATGACAGAAATGTACTCTGCTACTTCTCCATCCCTGTCCCTGCCTGCAGTCTATTCTAGCAACAAGCGAGACAGTTTTATTTTAAGCGCAAGATGACATACTACTCCTTCCGTCCTAAAATATAAAAAAAATTATTCGGATGAGACACATTCTAGTACTACTAATCTGGACAGAAGTATGTCCAGATTCATAATACTACAATATATCATATCCGATCAAAATCCTTTATATTTTAGTATGGATGGAGTATTTATTATTCTCTTCTCTTTTTAAATATATAACGCATTTGACTTTTTAAGAGATATTTGATCATTCATCTTATTAAAAAATATTTATATAATTAATTATTATTTGTTTTGTGGTGACTTGATTTATTATTAAAAGTTATTTGAGAATGATGACTCATTTTTTATGTGTGCATAAAACTTTGAATAAGATTAAACGTATGTTAAAAGTTAATGATGTCGCACATTAAAAGACGGAGGTAGTATGTTGTTTTAAGTAAACCCATTGCTTTATGTGGGGTGATCATGGACCAAATAGAAAATATAACCACTCTAGGGATAGGTAAATGCGCAGAGAACATAAATTCGATGTGAAACTTGAATTTCATAATTGTGCCTTTTGTAATACACAAACATGTATATAATCAAAATTGTACATGTGCGTTGTAAAATGTACGTGTGTTCATACAAATAAATGTGTGCGCGTTGTAAACATTTGCATTTACACTGTGTTTCTCAAGTCAATAGCGATTTTCCTCATCATTCCAAACTTATGTTATTATTAATATCTTCGGTTTTCGATCGTGAGCTTTGGTTTTCTGTGAGGTCAAACAGATCAGTGACTTACCTTAACTAGCAACATGAAGTGTGTGAACAAGCAAACGATTGTGGGCCCCACTGAGATGACTAATATATACCAGGACCCACATTTCATAGACATTGGAAATGTACTACATGCAGTTTCCCAGCTTACGTCAGCGCAGCTCATGCATGGGTATGCAAATGCAACTAGTTAATTAACCATGTAATTGCCCTTAAACTAATTAACAGATAGTACTACGAAGTTCCAAAATAGCAACCTACTAAAATTTGTCTTATCTGGATCACCACGTCAATTAGGATATTTTATTTCGGGGGTTAAACCAATTTTTTCATGCAAAATTCAAGTCCACTGTTAATTAGTAGTACTAATTCTGTTCCTCTGGCTAGTGGCAAGTGTGCGCAATGCGTGCATTGATACTTGGAATCTGGTAGGAAGAATCGGTGATGCTAGCTATCTCAAGTTCAATGACAAATATTGTATTTGATGCCATGTAAAAATATAATTATATGCATGATAGGATTGAGAAAGGGGTTAGGGGGAATGATCAGATTTGGTGATTAAAAAATGAAACGGGAAACTTTGGAGAAAGGGACATGTACAACCCGGAGTATATAACTGCATTAACCTAAATATGGAGTGAGCCCCACTGAGACACTTTTTAAAATTTTAGAACGATCCGTTTTGTTTACATTGAATTTTCTGCAGAGTTTTAAAGTGAAGGAAATTGAGACTTCAAAGACAAGTTTATATGTGTTGACGAGGACTGATAGGGTCATTTCCTGGCGCGCGCGTGTAGACATATTGAAAAATATATATTCGACATCATTGTCGACCCATATATATTAAAAAAATTATGCTGTATTTGGTTGGTTTTCTCAAATGGTTAATTATTTGCATCCGTCGCAGTTGTTAAAGATGCATGCAAGCACATCAAGTGCTTCTTTGTCCCACTAATCCTTTTTCTTTGATTCAGACGAGCTTTCTAGTTAAGTGGTTTTTATCGTGTTTGGAGAGCTCATAGTAGTTGCAACTTCTTCTAAGTATCTTTTAACTCTTCAAATAATCCATGCATAATCCATGCATATTCTCATTCAATCTTAAGAAACTATAATTATATAAACCAGAAAGAAAAATAAAACACATAAGCTAGGAAATATAACTTTTCTAGATTTTTATCAGCTGACTACATAGTACACACCAGCTGTTTCTTATAATCTTAAATATCTAAAAGAGGTGATATAGTCCTGACAAATTCTAACGGTCAACTAAGGAAATAGACATATAGGAGGTCAGAGGGAAAACTGTACATAGGGGATGAGCAAAATTCAAGAACACCCAAGGCATTGAAAAACTGTCAGGAGCATGATTGGAATTTTTTATTAATTAAGCTTGTAATGAACCATGATGAAACAGTGATATTGCACACCTTTTCTTTTGATATATCTTTTTAAACACTGTAATTGTCTCCCTAGGTTTAATACCTATGAACTGCAGATAAATATCATTTTCCGCTTCTGATTCTAGGGAAAAAAATATTGGATAGGATACAAGATACTCCTAAGTGATATGTTATATATCTGCCACTATCCGTACCCTGTTCTGGATTCAAAGAAAAATATAGGTAAGAATATGCGGAATGCCATGATCCAACCATAACCGATCCGGTTTCTTCCCTATTTAGGTTTACACCTTCTCCCCTATCCTATATATTGATACAAAAGTGAGTGTTTTCTCTTTATAATTCTGATCATTTTAAATGGTTATAACTTGTAAATTACTTTAGCTCATATATCATCCCCTACTATATTAGGCCATGCATGTTCCTCAGCGTTGATGGGGAAAGTTAGTTAAGAGGAATAGACGGGTAATCAAGTACAGTATCAAGAAGTATGAACTGTACTTTACGCGAGGAATTGTTTGAGCAGGCTATGACGCAAACAGCCAAGCCTTTTTTTTTTTGCCTCTCATTTGATTGCAACGCATCATCATTTCGCATGATTTTCGTCCAAAATATCCTGCAATCCAAACGATCGACGGCCCTCGATATGAAAACACGTGCGTAGAACGTGACCGATGAATTCCATCACTAGACTACTAGTCCACTCCACACCAATCTTTTACTCTGGTTGGTTCGCACGAGTGGCAGAAAAATACTCCTGAAGATATATGCAATATATACATTTCATCATCGGACTACTAGTAATTAAAAATGAGAAGAAGGAGAAAATAAAATTAAAAAAAAAGAAAGATGCACGATTGTGACGTAGGTGGTCCCACACGCCCTCCTGTGGGGCCCACGTGTGGTCCCCACCGTTCACCCTGTTTTCCAATAGGCCGCTCTACAAATTGTCATTGGTTGGTAGCCTTGGACCACTACCTCGCTCACTCTCTCCTCTGCTTTTTTTTGCGTTCAAGCACACAACAAGCATGTCATGTACACTGCACACAGGCACACGGCCGTACTATTCACTGCCATAAATTCTTTTTTTTAATTATAGATCAAATATTGTCATATTTTATAAACTTATATCATCGCAATTAATATTATTGTTTTTCTAAAAAAGTTCATAACTATTTAAGTAGCTTGTAAATTAATGACGCATACCATTATTTAGGTGTAGAAAATTATTGTCTCACACTTCACACTGTGTATGAGCTCGTGAGAGCTCAGCTCCTTTAGACCAAGGTCCCTATCGTTTCGCTTATCTAGGAAATAAACCAAACGATATATTTGTAAATAAAAAATAATTTGTGAATAAAAATTTTATATATGTGTTCTTAACGGTTTAAAAAGCAAAGACAAAAAAATAAATTTTGATGAAAAAACTTCAAAATCAACCTCAAATTTAAGATTGAAAATTTATATTTTTTTCTGATAAACATAAACATAAGCGAAAAGGCGAGCCTGCAAAATACACATGACACATCCATGCATGCATCCACTTTCTCGAGCGAGAGATTGAAGCTACATCTGGCTCTCGTGATTATCCCATAAGAAGAAAAAGAAGACATCAGCAATAAATAAATAAATAAAAATAAATCCACAGGTACACTGTACGTACATGTGTGGTGTGCACAACAGCACAGGACAGTGCATGCAATGCAACGTATAGCTACAGTGCAACGGTGCAAGAGTAGCGGCAGGCCGGGTGAAGCCGCTATCCTGCAGCTATAGCGCGCGATCGATCGGAAGCTTACGCCGCAACCACCGCCCCCAACCGATCGATCGATCGACTGGTTGCGAGTTGCTCATTAATTTTGTTGTTCTTCTCTCTCTCTCGATATGTGCTTCGTTTTGTATGTGCCTGAGCGTGTACGGAGAAACTCTTTTAATCCCTGGAGATATAATAACCACTTGTTTTGGCATCCTGTCGAATGATAAAAAAAAATACACTTACTGTAATACCGTATGTATTTTTTTCTCATATATCTAGCACACATCATGTATGCGGGTGAGGCCCCGAAATGTTCCCGGAGGAAATTTTGCGTTTAGCCATCAATTGATCTATTCATGGAAAAAATGTGCAAATTTTGAAATTGGTTTTGTGTTAAATTAAGTTTGGCTCAGAACATCCTAAATTTTGGATTTTGGTCCCTTCATTTCTCTTCATTGCAAAATGTAAATCAAAACCCTACCTATGTCAGATTGAGATCCTCCATCTTCGAAATCTTTATACCCTTATCACTTATATATGAGTCTAGGGCTCATCGGGCCTATATATCAATGACAAAATCATGTGACTTTAAAAGTTGAGGATCATGATCCTACCCGTGTTATGTGTCTCCCCGTGTGTAAACGAGAACTAACTAAACGTGATCTCGTCTCACACACCAGCAACCAGCAGAATATATGAGCGGTACATACAAGCTACTTCCTCTATCATAGAGTAGAATATGATGCATCCCAAACCAATTCAGATTCTTGATAATATTAGGTTTGTATATTTTGAAACAGGATCAGAGTAGCTCGGTCACATATTCCCATATCTCCCAACTCTCTCTCCTCCCAAAAAAGATATGGTCCTGCTACACCTAGCTCCCCCTCTCCTTTGCGCAAAGTTGCACTGCCGTTGCGTGCGTCTCCCTTCCCCGGGCTATCCATCCATCTATCTACCTAAGCTTTGCTTCTCCCCTTTATTTTCTCTCCCTTTCCTCTCGGTGCGCTTCCCTTCCTAGGCTTAGCTATAGCTCATCTCTCCTCTCCTCCACCTCGACCTTCTCTTGCTTTCCTCCACTTTTGTTGCTCTCAGCTTTTCGCCTTTTCACCAATCCCCGCACCGCCACAGATCGAGGGAGAGTGAGCTCTCGCGTGCCACGGCTCGAGGTGGTCGTGCGTGATTTGATCGATATCCATGGCGCACGATCCGAGCCTAGGGTACGCGGATTACTTCGCGGCGGAGGTGGATGGCACCGGCGCCACGGAGTTGTATGGGTTGCAGCAGCATCAGCAGGGGGTTGGGGTGGCGGAGATGTTCGGGGTGAGGGGGCTCATGCCGGCAGCGCACGCGCACGAGCAGAGCAAGGGTGTGGGCGCGCTCGTCGTCGGCGGCGGCGGCGTCGATGATGGAGGCGCGACGACGCTGCCGACGGTCCACTTCGGCGGGCTCGGCGAGCTGCACCACCACCAACACCGGCAGAGCCAGGCGCCGCTGTCCCTCTCGCTCCACAGGCCGGAGGCGGCCGCGACGTCGCTGCTGATGCAGCAGCAGCAGCAGCACCTCCACCACCAGCCGTCGCCGCCGGCGGGCGCGGCGTCGACGTGGCAGCTGCAGCAGGGTGCGTGGCATCTCCGCGGCTCAAGGTTCCTCCTCCCGACGCAGCAGCTCCTGCAGGAGTTCTGCAGCCTCCCCGTGAAGAGCACCACCAGCCCATCATCGGCAAGCAAGGCAACCAAACCGCCGCAAGAAGAGGCCGCCAGCGGCGGAGGCTCGTCGTCGTGGACCGCGCCGACGCAGATCCAGTCCATGGACGCGGCCGAGCTGCAGCGGCTCAAGGGCAAGCTCTACACCATGCTCGAAGAGGTGAGAGCTTCTCAAGCTTAGCTAATTAACCACACACACCACCATGGCAAGGAGGCCTAATTTAAGCAAAGCTAGCATGAGAGAGTGTCTCTCCTTGGAAATCTAAAAAGCTGCAGGCAAGTGGCAGTTCAATTATGGCTTGCCCAAGGAGGGTTCCTGGGACAAGCACAGGGAGGGGATTCCCTTCTTGGTCCTCACCATTCGCTTTTGGAAACCTCCATTCCTTTGCCTTAGCTACACCTGTAGCTAGGTATCTCTATAGGGAATTCTCTCTCTCTCCTCTCCTTTTCTCTCCAAGCATGGCCATGGCACTGTAGGTGTAGTAGTAGGGTTGCAGCTTAGCTAGCTAGCTCTCGATCTATGCAGCCTACTGTAGATCTATGCAGCCTACTGCTAGGCCTCCTAGCTCTCAATCCCTTTGGACTTGGCATGCATGCCCATCCCCTGCTCCTGCCTCCACCAGGATCTCTCAATTAATTCCTCAGACATTTACTCACTGCTTATTGCTTGCCATTCTTGTGATTACACTGCTCATCAGTACAGTGGAGTTCACAGGTAGGTGCAGCTTGGTCGTTGCAGAATTCCGGGCAGTAGTACAAGCAAGTAGAGCTACACCTACTAAGCTACACAGTGTCATCAAATATTTCCATTGTAATCATCTCGATTAATTAGTTGCTGAAATTACTCTTGCTTAATTATTATTATGCAGGTGGATAGGAGGTACAGGAGGTACTGCGAGCAGATGAGGGCGCTCGCGGCGTCGTTCGAGGCGGTGGCCGGGGAGAGGGCGGCGGCGTCGTACACGCGGCTGGCGTCGAGGACGATCTCGAGGCACTTCCGGAGCCTGAGGGACGGGGTGGTGGCGCAGCTGCAGGCGGTGCGGAAGCAGCTCGGGGAGAAGGACACGGCGGTGCCCGGGATGACCAAGGGCGAGACGCCCCGCCTCCGGGTGCTCGACCAGTGCCTCCGCCAGCACAAGGCCTACCAGGCCGGCATGCTCGAGAGCCACCCATGGCGCCCCCAGCGCGGCCTCCCCGAGCGCGCCGTCTCCATCCTCCGTGCCTGGCTCTTCGAGCACTTCCTTCACCCGTACGTAAAAATCAAATTAACCCCTTCCAACTCCATCATCATACATATATAAATCCATCCCAATCTCAGTATATTTTGATTAACATGCATGCATTCGAGCATGATTTTTTTTAGAGAAGGGTATTTTTTTTACCCGGTCTCTGCATCGAACCGAATATATATTGAAATAGGGAACTTAGTCCTGCAAATAACCTAATCTAAAATTCGCTCCTATACATTAAAGCATGATAGTATGATCTGTTTGAATTGTTAGAAAGGATGAGATGAAAGTGAGGAAGATTAACGACTTGATTCCCTTTTTTTCGAAAAAGAAGAATAAAAAGGAAAAGGGTAGTAGCTAGTGTAGCTTGCAAGTGCAGCATATTCTAACGAACTAAGGCTAAGAATCAAACACGTACGTACGTCATCTGCTACTTGCAGAAGAATGTTTGCCGGTTTCGTGACGATGCTCAAGCTCTCACCGCGGTATAATTGGGATTCTCATATTCTTAACTTCTATATATATAAGGTAGCTTGAGTTGCATTTAATTTATTCTGTAGCATTGTTCGTTTTCGGTAAGTATCAGACATATAATCAGATGCTCAATTAGCAACTTATTTCGTTTTTTTTTTGTAGAAACTTAATATATGGCTTTAATTTGGATTAGCAATTTTGTTCCCATTGACATGTTACGAAATCACCATGAAGCTTTTCTTTTGTTAACGCGCGTACACTTCAAAAACACGTATAATGTTCGTTCAAAAATAAAACACGTATAATAATCGTACAACAAAGAGGACGTACGGCATATGGAATTCATTTTAGTTATTAGCTAGTCTCATCGATCTGGTGTTCATCAGGAAAACTAATTGCTTGCACATATATTAGGACAATAATAAAAATGTAGAAATAAATAATGGACTATATATCTTAATTGTTCTATATACTGTTACAACGTCTACATCAAATACTCCACCACACATACTAGTCTTCTCGATCGGAATATTCCATGTATTATCCATGAATCAATTTTAAACAGTATCTTTAGATATCACAAGATCCATATAATAACGGCTTTTGGTCTATTTTCTCACAGTATATATATGTAACTAACCTATGATTTAGATGGAAGACATATTATAACGCCCTAATTGGCATCTTTTTCATTCAGGTACCCAAGCGACGTGGATAAGCACATCCTCGCGAGGCAGACCGGGCTATCACGTAGTCAAGTACGTACACGCTTACACATAGCTAGCTCTCACTCTCTCATCTTCACTGTTCATTCGATCAAATGATCAGGTCCAATAATACAAAAATGTTAACTGGTTCCTATCAACACGGTGATGATCATCGCATCGTAATCATTGCATTGTGTTTGCATCATTATTAAGATAACATTACATGATTGCGGCCAAGATTTGCCCCCACTAATTAACCAACATAAATTGATTCCACACGCAATGCTGCACTGCAATATCTCTTATTAGCTGCAATTTGGCAATGTGGTGATCGAGAGATGGCACATCAACGTACACACACCACACTCTTATTAGCTAGCTCTCAGTAGTCGGGTACCACGTCGGAGTCGCCGTGCGTGTCCTCTTGTGCGAGCAGATGTTCCATGAAAGAATCTAATCAACCTCTCTCTATCTCTGTCGCTCGCGTGCGAATTTGCAGGTGGCGAATTGGTTCATCAACGCGAGGGTGAGGCTGTGGAAGCCAATGGTGGAGGAGATGTACGCGGAGGAGATGAAGGACGAGGAGGGCAGTGGACAGTCCACGCAGGCGAGCAACCCGCAGAACCCTAACCCTAGCAGCTACACGTCGGAGGTGCGCGGCGGCGGCGGCGGCGGCGAGGACCGCGGCGAGCAGAAGCCGTCGCGGGCGCAGCTGCTGCACGACGCCGGCTCGCTGGCCTCCGTCGTGAGCATCGGGCACGGCGGCGCGGGACGGACGATGGTCGATCACCACCATCACCAGAGCCTTAATTTTGGCACGATGGACCAGCTCGACTTCGACGCGTACGAGGCGGCCGGCGGCGGGCAGGGGTTCGGCGCCGGCGGCGGGGTGTCTCTGACGCTGGGGCTGCAGCAGCAGCACGCGGACCCGCACGACGGCGTGAACGTCGCGTTCGCCGCCGCCGCGGCGCCGCCCAATTCGTCCGGTGTCGCCGCGGAGTACCTATTCATGGGCGGCGGCGAGCATCAGCAGCAGCTGCCTCAAACCGCCCAGTTCGGCGCCGTCATGGAAGGCGACGCCGCGTCGCACTACCGTGGCCTCAGCGCCACCGCCGCCGGGTTCCACCTCCTCCACGACCTCGCCGGGTGACCCGTCGCACATCAAACAGGTGGTAGACCGATCGACACGCGCGCCGTACGACGGAACCAATTGCCGGCGACCCCTCCTGTACGCGCGTGCGTGCGTGCACAGGCCGATCAATGTCCAATTTCGCGCATGCTTGGGGGGTGGGGATTAATTGGGGGGGAGTTAGCTAGCTAGCTCTAGCTAGGTTGATGTGATTGACGGGGACGCGCCACCGGCAAAGCTCTCGCTCTCGCGCGCGGGCGCGCGGGCGACACCGGCATTGGCGCGGCGAGAGAGGGGGGTGCGCGTTGTGTCCCTCTCCTGTACAAGTACGTATACGCTGCTTTGGATTTATTTTTGTAGTAGCGATTAGACATCTCGTCGCTCGATGGAATTAATTAATTTTCTTGGCAGCGCGTCTCTGTCTACGTACGTATATGTATTTTCTTTCCGTCTCGACCGTCGCTATTGCCGCGGGCGTACGTCGGCTTCGGCGAACTAATTGCTGCGTGCACCAAGGGTTGTTTTTTTTAAAAAAAAAAAGTTACACAGTACAACACACTCACAAACGCAGTACACTTACCCCTTTAAACACACACGTAAACCCTACCCCTATGAGCATATTTGAAGACAGGACCAACAAATTCTAGAGTTTGACGAAGTCACCGTAGACGTCGATCTCACACTCAGACAAGTACGTCGCCCGTGCACAAGGGTTGTTGGTTGCACACTCTGCACTTGCACCGAGCTGATGCTAGCGTAGTGCATGCGTGTACAGTGTAACAGCACGCGGCGCTTTCGTACAGTCTGGACACAGCTGCTGCCAAACGTTAAGTGAAGTGTACGAACTGATGAAAGAGATTCGTGTTGGGCCGTACGTGCAGGATCGATGGCGATGCATGGCTGAATGACTTGTGAACGGCTTCTTCGAACGAACGATTATCTCTGCCGACCTGTGTACAGTGGATTTAATCCTCGTGGTCGGTCGGTCGCTCGATTCAAATTAACACAGTACGTGTGTTAGGGATCAAGTTCTGGTAATAACATGAAATAATCACGCGTGTGTACTGTACCTTTTTTTTAAAACAACAAAACGTGTGTTAAAGTACTAACAAAGTAACAAGAAACTTACTCCCTCCGTTTCAGGTTATAACAAATTTTGACTTTGATAAAAATCAAACCGCTTTAAATTTAACCAAGTTTATAGAAAAAACAGTAATATTTTCGAAATTAATTATAAAAGTATATTTAATTATTATTTTAATAAAACTAATTTTGTAATTTAAATATTCCTATATTTGTCTATAAATTTAGTCAAATTTGAAGTAGTTTGACTTTGATAAAAGTCAACACATCTTATGACCTGAAACAGAGGGAGTAATATCCATTATTGATAAGGAAAAAATGGTGAAATAACTCAGGCCAGTGTGTTACTCCATAACAGTTAGCTGCCAACCGAGCTAAAAATCTTTCTCCATATATTGTAGAGTTGTGTGCAGTATACTTACTATTAATTCCCTCTGTGTCAGTATGAGTGTACCAAGGATTGGATGTGACATTTCATAGTATAACGAATCTGGACAGTTGCCTAACCAGATTTGTTGTACTATAAAATATCATATCCAATCCTAAATGCATTTATATTAGGACGAAGGGAGTAGATCATATTCTAGTAGAATACGAAGTTACAATCTAGTTTTCACTCACTCAAAATACCTATAAATTCTATTACTCCTTCTGTAAAATATAAGAGATTTTGCCTAGATGTGACACATCCTAGTACAACGAATCTGGTCAACGAATCTGGTCAGAAGTCTGTCCAGATTCGTTGTACTAGGATTTGTCACATCTAACTAAAACCCCTTATATTTAGGAACAGAGGGAGTACTAGTTTACTTTCGAATAGGTTAGATCATTCTAAGATCGTACAACAACAGTATCGCTCCCACCTTATCTATTTCTCCTTTCTTCCCATGTTCCCCTCGATCGTGACGCTCACTTGAGCCATCGCCTCCTTGCCCCCATTCCCTCCCACTCCCCTTCCCTCTCTCTCCTCCTCCCAAGCTAGGCGGTGGTGAGGTGTCCCTGTCCCGCACCAGCTACCCCACCATCGAGGACATCACTATCGCCCCACATCAAAAGTTCCTATCCATCATGGATCTAATCCCTCTGCCGCCGATCCTGCATATCGCCCTTCCTCAACCTCAAGGATTCGGCAACGTTGCTGTAGCCTCGTCGACCACCAATGTCCACCACCCATCGTTCGTCCCTGCGATCCACGGCCATCCCTTTATACCCAAGGAAACCTTATCTTTCCCTCCCTAAACCCCCCAATTGCATGTCGTGATACCCTAAAATTTATGTCCTTTGTCGAAGATCTGACGCCATTGCCACTACTGAGAAGCTGTCGCTGTCATCACCGTCACTAGTGAGTTATATCCCCCTCCTCCCTTCTACCCATCTCTTGAAAATTTTGGTCACCTCCCAATTGTATATAATGTACTCGAAATACCAAGTCCTTACACAATTGTTATAGTCTTGCAGCTGCCGAGCCTACATACATATACTCCAATGTGATTGTTAGGACATACCAAAAGGTGCCACACATCCTTAATATCTTCTTAAAAGCGGTAAAATCACTATTAAATCTATTGAATTTCATGACATGCTTATGCATTTCCTTCTTCAAACCTTAGTAGGCTTTTAATGGTCCAAAAATATCTAGTCTACCATAAAAACTATTCTCTTCATTTTTTTAATAGATAGCGTCGTTGACTTTTGAACACATTTTTATCATTTAAATAATTCAAAAAATTGTACAAATACATAAGTTATAAATTATGCTTAAAATACTTTTAGTGATAAAGTGACTCACAATAAAATAAATAATTATCATGTACTAGATTTTTTATATATAGAACAAATAATTAACCATGTATTTAAAATTTAACAGCATTATCTATTAATTAAAAAAAGAGGCAGTAGTATTATTATTGGATTTGTAATCAATGGACTAGTCAAAGCTAGAGAGGAGTGGTCCAGGTGGAGCGGGAGGAGAGTAGTTCACACGATCAGATGATGTGCATGCGGATGCGGCGACTTTTAGCAGTTTCGGTAGGTTGTGTGGCGTGGTCACCTTTGCTCGATCGTCTCCTGTGGGCAATGCTTTACCCGAGGCAATGTCCACTATCTGTAGGGCTCGCCATGGATGGGCCCTCTCAATGCCTAGCCCATCCACGGTTGTGGGCCGTGATTGAGGCCTATATATACGTGGCCTGACAAAAATAAGTCTATACGGCAAACGACATTCAGCCCGCAAGAGAAGGCCCGGCCCAACTTGCACTGCCGGCCCACTAAAGCAAGCCGAGGGAGAAGCTGATCGATCCTACAAAGGCGATGCCCGCGCATGGTGATGCATTGACCAGGCCATGGAGGCATGCAGAGAGAGAAGCTCTCTCTCACTCACTCGCTCGCCACACACCATCACCCATGCGCGCTAATTAACCTCTTTTAGCAACTGGATCTCGATCGCCGATCAAGCCTGGCCATTGCGCGCGGCTACGACGACGAGGAGGTCGCCATGGTGGGAGGAGGAGGAGGAGCCGGAGAGAAGCCGCCGGCGTCCAATGGCGTGCACGGTTCCGGCAAGGCCAGGTTCACCCTTCTCTACGGCCTCCTCCTCTACGTCGTCATGCCGGTGCTCTTCCTGTACATGCTCGTCGCCGCCGCCACCCCGTTCTACAACCCCCGCTGCTCGCCGGAGTCCAACGCCGCCATGGCACGCTTCGTCGTGGCCATGCCCAACGCCTCGTCGGTGAACGGCTCTTCACCGTCGTCTTCGTCCCCGCCTCCGACGCCGGTGAGGCCGATGCGGTCCGCGGACGAGGCGCCGACGGGGCTGCGGCACATCGCGTTCGGCATCGGCGCGTCGTCGGCGCTGTGGAAGAGCCGGAAGGAGTACATCAAGCTGTGGTGGCGGCCGGGGCGGATGCGCGGGTTCGTGTGGATGGACAGGCCGGTGGAGGAGTTCTACTCCAAGAGCTCCCGCACGGGGCTCCCGCCGATCATGGTCAGCTCCGACACGTCCAAGTTCCCCTACACCCACGGCGCCGGGAGCCGGTCGGCGCTGCGGATCTCCCGCATCGTCTCCGAGACGTTCCGGCTCGGCCTCCCCGGCGTCCGGTGGTTCGTCATGGGCGACGACGACACGGTGTTCCTCCCGGAGAACCTGGTGCACGTGCTCTCGCAGTACGACCACCGGCAGCCGTACTACATCGGGTCGCCGTCGGAGAGCCACATCCAGAACCTCATCTTCTCCTACGGCATGGCGTTCGGCGGCGGGGGCTTCGCCATCAGCCGCGCGCTCGCCGAGGAGCTCGCCAAGATGCAGGACGGTTGCCTCCACCGCTACCCGGCGCTGTACGGCAGCGACGACCGCATCCACGCGTGCATGTCGGAGCTCGGCGTGCCGCTCACGCGCCACCCGGGTTTCCACCAGTGCGACCTGTGGGGCGACGTGCTCGGCCTCCTCGGCGCCCACCCGGTGGCGCCGCTGGTGACGCTCCACCACCTCGACTTCCTCGAGCCGGTGTTCCCGACGACCCCGTCGCGCGCCGGCGCGCTGCGCAAGCTGTTCGACGGGCCGGTGCGGCTGGACTCGGCGGCGGTGGCGCAGCAGTCGGTGTGCTACGACCGGGAGCACCACTGGACGGTGTCGGTGTCGTGGGGGTTCGCCGTGATGGTGGTGCGCGGCGTGCTGTCGCCGCGGGAGATGGAGACGCCGATGCGCTCCTTCCTCAACTGGTACAAGCGCGCCGACTACACGGCCTACTCGTTCAACACGCGGCCCGTGGCGAGGCAGCCGTGCCAGAAGCCTCGCGTCTACTACATGCGCGACTCCCGGATGGACCGCCGCCGCAACGTCACCGTCACGGAGTACGACCGCCACCGCGGCAAGCAGCCCGACTGCCGGTGGCGCATCCCCGACCCCGCCGCCCTCGTCGACCACATCGTCGTCCTCAAGAAACCCGACCCCGACCTCTGGAAAAGGGTAATTCTCTACACGTCTCTCTTTTTCATCACACAGTGACACAAAGTAAAACTTTTGGTTTGGTCTCGTTATGTTTTCTTCTTGAAATGAAACACATTCTTCTATATATAAAACGTCGGTAACGCTCTCACCGTTCGGAGAAAAAATGACATAAAGTTTCTTTTTTTTCACTTTGTAAGCAATGTAAATAGTGACGTGTTGCGGGTGAAATTTGTGTAGTCGCCGAGGAGGAATTGCTGCCAGGTGGTGTCGTCGCCGACGAAGGCAGGGAAAAACCGGACGATGACCATCGAGGTCGGCGTGTGCAGGGAAGGCGAGTTCGCCAAGCTTTAATTAGGTCTGTGTGCTCAGCTTAGCCTAACTGATCTCTTCTTAATTTCCAGTCATGCATGCACGATGTCACCGTAACTATTGGATATTAATCTTGTGCTGCAGTAGCGGGATTAATTAGGAGAGGAGAAGAGGGATTAGCGGCGGCAGAAGAGGTCCCGGGCAAAAGAGAGGATGGAGATTAACGACCAGAAGTTAATCCACTGGGACCGAGTAATAGCTCATTAGCATTAGATCGCCACACGGCGATGTGTTGTTTAATTAGCGCGGCGGGTGTAAGCATGCACGCCGGGACTATTTTGATCTCTTCACTAGTTCACTTACATATTGAACCAACTCACCCACGAACCGGGGCTTTTTTTTTGCCTTTTCCTCTGCTGAGCAGAGCAGGAGAGGAAACAGCCGGAGTTTCACAAATCTTGTGTGGTGTCAGAACGATTCAACAATGGCAATACAAAACACTCATAGTTCTTTTATTGATGCCCTTTTGCGAATTTTTATTATTTTAAAACATTTTAATTTTTAATTTAAAATAAACATTCTCAGACTTATTTTCGAATCTAAATCTTTTAACCACGCCACCCTTGATATGGTGAAACAATACTTGACTTATTAGTTTTGTTGTTTTACCATATTAACCTAGATGGCGTGACAAAAACCTTGTCTCGCTAGTCTCGTTGGCGTGGTATCATTGTTTCACCACACCGGTAAGACTAGATATTCAAATTCGATAATAAGTTTTAGGTGTCTGTCATTAAAACTAAAAACAAAATGCTCAAAAAATAATTTTTTTTAAAAAAAATCCTTATTTGCATGGCTGATTAGCCAAATAAAATGGTGTTTGGATGAGAGAGACTTATTTTAGTCCCACCCTAAACAGCCCCTAACAGTCCCATCCAGTACTACCGCTAGCATCGATTTGATAGGCTCATGAGCTGAACAAATATGGGCCGGAAAAGACGGCCTTGACAGATTGTGCTGAACCCTGTACCATCTGCGTCTATGTATGTGGCACATGTTTTTTGACCGATAAGAACGCTTTAAGTCAAGCAGATTTGGATTATTTGCAGATATTCGTGCCCGCTCCAGATGACTGCCCGCTAGCTACCAACACAAGGACACAACACATCGCTCTCGCGCCCTTTGTCCGCATCCACCGGCGTTCCCACCACGACGTAGCCGCCGGGCCGGGGAATGATGAGCTGACCGCCTCGCGCGGCCGTGTGATCTGATCACTCATCTCCCAATCGCTGTCACCTCTCGAGGTGGGGAAAGTGGAATGGCCACCATGCCGACCTCGTATCGCTTCCATTCTCCATGGACGAGTAGGTAGCTCTCGTGAGCTTAATTTACAGCGCGATTGCCGTCGCCGGTGCCCGCCACACCTCTCGGAGTTGTGCGGATGGCTGCGATCGTTTTGCTGCTCTTCCTTGTCGTGGGCTTGATGCCGGTTTCCAATGGGCAGACGACGCCCTTCTCCCCGCGATTCTCCGTCTACCTCGCGTGCGGCGCCGGCGGGAACGTCGTCGTGACGTCGGACTCGCCGCAGCGGACTTTCGTCCCGGACGACGGCGAGCTGTCCGGGAAGTCCGCGAGGTTCAGCAACCCCGACGCGAGCCCGCCGTCCCCTCTCTACGCCGCGGCGCGCGCGGGGACGAGCGGCTTCTCGTACCGGCTCAGCTACGCTGCCGACGCGGCGCCCGACGGCAACACCACGCTCGTCCTCCGCCTCCACTTCTTCCCCTTCGCGTCGCAGTCCGGCGACCTCCTCTCGGCGCGGTTCAGCGTCTCGGCCATGGGGAGGTACGTCCTCCTGCCTCCTTCCTTCTCGCCGCCGCGCGCCGGCGTGGTGAGGGAGTTCCTCCTCCCGTCCGATGGCTCCGGCGAGTTCGACGTCGCCTTCACGCCCGAATCAGGGGGGCTCGCCTTCGTCAACGCCATCGAGCTGTTCCCCGCGCCGCAGGAGCTTCTGTGGAAGTTCCCCCTGACGGCGGTCAACACCGACGTCTCGCCGTCGCATCAGGCGCTGGAGACGCTGTACCGGCTCAACGTCGGCGGGCCAACGGTGACGCCGACGGGCGACACCATGTGGCGAACATGGCTCCCCGACGACTCCTACCTCTCCCCGGCGACGGTCTCGGCGGTGGCCAGCATCCAGGGCCAGATCATCTTCGACCGGGCGCAGGGCTACACGCAGATGGTCGCGCCGGACGCCGTGTACAAGTCGCAGCGCACGACGAACTCGACCACGTCGAACGTGACATGGACGTTCGCCGTCGACGGCAACAGCAGCTACGTCGTCCGCCTCCACTTCTGCGCCTTCGAGGAGCTCAGCTCCGTCATCGGAGAAGGCGTCGATTTCAATGTTTATCTGATGCAAGCCATGGGTACCCGGGAATTGAAGGCCAAGGACTACGCGACGCTGAGCAGTCCGACCCAAGCTTTCTACATGGACTATGTCGCCGTGGTCCCGACCGCCGGCGAGAACCTCACGGTGAGCATCGGCAGGGCGGCGAGCAGCGACAGCAAGAAGGCGATACTGAACGGGCTGGAGATCATGAAGCTCAGAGCCGTTGATATGACTCCGGCGAGCTCGTCCGGCAAGACGAGCAAGGTCGTCGTCGTAGCCGTGACCGCGGCGGTGCTCGGCGCGGCGGTTCTAGCAGGTGTGGCATTGTGCGTACTGCTTGTGCGGCGGAGACAGCGGCGGGCGACGCTGCCTGTGCCGGAGGAGGAGGAGAAGGAGAGCGTGGGGACGCCGTGGTCGCCGTTCACGCCGGACGGCGAGGGCTCGTTCGGCAGCGCCGTGGTCACGCCGCGGAGGATGAACATGAAGCTCCACATCCCGCTCGCCGAGATCATGGTGGCGACGGGGGACTTCGACGACGCAAACATCCTCGGCGTCGGCGGGTTCGGGAACGTGTACCGCGGCGTGCTCCGCGACGGCACCCGCGTCGCCGTGAAGCGCGCCAAGCGCGCGTCCAGGCAGGGGTTCCCGGAGTTCCAGACTGAGATCCTGGTGCTCTCCAGCATCCGCCACCGCCACCTCGTCTCGCTCATCGGCTACTGCAACGAGCGGTCGGAGATGATCCTCGTGTACGAGCTCATGGCGCACGGCACCCTGAGGAGCCACCTGTACGGCTCCGACGCCGCGGCGGCGACGCCGCCGCCGCTGTCGTGGAAGCAGCGGCTGGAGATCTGCATCGGCGCGGCGAAGGGGCTCCACTACCTGCACACCGGCCACTCCGATAACATCATCCACCGCGACGTCAAGTCGACGAACATCCTCCTCGGCGACGGCTTCGTGGCGAAGGTGGCCGACTTCGGGCTGTCCCGCGTCGGGCCATCGACGGGGCAGACGCACGTGAGCACGGCGGTGAAGGGCAGCTTCGGCTACCTCGACCCGGAGTACTTCAAGACGCGGCAGCTCACCGACCGCTCCGACGTCTACTCCTTCGGCGTCGTCCTCTTCGAGGTGCTGTGCGCGCGGCCGGCGATCGACCAGAGCCTCCCGCCCGACGAGATCAACCTCGCGGAGTGGGCGATGCAGTGGAGCCGGAGGGGCCGGTTCGACAAGATCGTCGACCCGGCCGTCGCCGGCGACGCCAGCACGAACTCGCTCCGGAAGTTCGCGGAGACCGCCGGGAGGTGCCTCGCGGACTACGGCGAGCAGCGGCCGTCCATGGGCGACGTGGTGTGGAACCTCGAGTACTGCCTCCAGCTGCAGGAGAGCCAGCCGAGCACCGAGACGGCGCTGGACTTGGACGACAGCGGCGCGCACCTGCCACGGGACATCGTCGTGGCGAGGCGAGTGGCGCCGCTCGCGCCCGATGCTTCGGCGGACGCCGCCGGAGACGACATGAGCTGGTCGGAGACGGCGAGCTTCACGGCGACGGGCAACGTGTTCTCGCAGATTATGTCCCGCGATGGTAGATGAGCAGAGTAGTCGCCTTTATAATGAGGAATCTGGTGGCGCACGATTACAAAAGGAGGTCAAAAGCCACGACACAATGGCAGGAAATTTTTAAAATGTTCCAAGATTTTGGTTACCTTTTCAATACGAATTTAAATCGGATTTGATGCCAATTCGAGAGGATTTTATCTGTTCAGTGTGAGTTGGAGTTCGAATTTGAATAGAATTTCCTCTCCTTTGCCGAGAGCACCGCTGCCAGGAGCTTTGTAGTAGGCGCTTGCCCTTCGGGCCCAGATAACTTTTTTTATTTTAAGATATTGATTACCTTTCAATATGAATTGAAATCGAATTTGATGCTAATTCACGAATCACAAGGAATTTCTCTGTTCAGAGTGAGTTCGAGTTTGAAGATGAATAGAAGCACCGTTGCCTGGATCTTTGTAGGCCGTGGACCGTTCGGCCGAGATTAGTTTTGGCCCATAAAAACTTGAGGCCCATCCGAGGGACACTCATAACTGATCTCCGCGTCACCAATCTCAAAGCACAGACACCCTCTTCTCCAGTTCTCCGCGACTCCTCGCCGCCGCCGCCGCCGCCGCCTGATCTCCCCGGAATTTATCGTCGGAGAGACGAGATCCCGGCGCCCTCTCTCTGCTCCCACGCCGTCGGAGTAATTTCTCCGCGGGGGACCCGATCTCCAGCTTCAGATACCGCCTCCAACGTCTCGCTCTTCCTGCTTAGATAGATCTCGGGCTCCCCGTACCTCGTACCTCCTAGGGCTAATGGTAAGCGGGTCTGGAATTCTGTATTACAAGGGAGGTGATTGCAAAGCATGATTTGATTCTGGGTTTATGACCAACAAATTGCAGGATCAGAAGGGTTTCGACGGCGATAGGTCGGAGAGTAGGCTCTATGTGGGGAATTTGGATTTTAGGGTATCAGAGTGAGTTATTTCTTACTATCTCTTGTGTGTTTAGTAGCATGTATTTTTTTTCGAGGTTTGCCTTCGCATTGTGCAACTCTTAACATTATCATCTGGTTTTTGCAGGTCTGACATTATCAAGATGTTTTCTCCATTTGGGAAGATTATAGCTGAGGATTTCTTGTGGCACACACGCGGCCCGAAGCGAGGCGAGCCCCGTGGCTATGCCTTCGTTCAATACACCACCAAAGAGGTAACAGCGGCATTCATTTCTTGTGGCGAGCTGTAATGGGTTCTTGTATTCTCACCTTTGCCACCTGAAGTGAGCATGCAGGAAGCACAGTTGGCGAAGGAAAAGATGAACGGCAGGTTGGTCTGTGGACGCCCTGTGGTGGTTCACCTGGCTAGTGAGAAGTGTTTCGTGGACTCCGGAAATTCCCACAGAGCAATGAAGGACAAGAAACTGGCAGGTGGTTCAGGAAGCAAATCGGTACAGACTGACCGTGCCGCGAAGATAGCTGCCATAAAGCACAAGTTGAAATCCTTAGAGGATGAGGGATGCAGTACAAAAAGACCAAGATTTAAGTCAGATGACTTGCCGGGCAGCGGCAAGCAATCTGATAAGGAGTGCTGAGATGAGATTGTTCAGGATCTTCAGATACTCTTCTTGTTCTGGTGATTTTGCTGAAGGTGCTCCTGACTGTAAAATTTTAGTTCTGTTATGTTAGACAAGTCACAGGTGTAACACTTTATAGTTTATCACATTTGTACACCAGGCTGTATCATCTACCTGCGATTAACACGAACGATTTGTTGGTGGAACCATTGTGGCATTCTAGCTTTTTAGCATTAAGTTCCAGCCTACTATTTATTTGTTCAACTGAATTGCATCATGTAGTACTCATAATTAGTTTATTCAGTTTTGTTTAAACTGTTGAAATTGCTTAAGCTCCTGATCGTATAATTCAGAAGATCATTTATATTGTCCCTTCTCCTGGAATTAAACAACAGGATGCCAACATTCTATAAAGGAAACACCTATGCAGCAACATACTTCTGTTTGTTTTTTTCCTTTTCCGATGATGGTCTACTGGTAAGAAGTGGGGACGATTTCACTGCTTATAAATCAGAATATTCTTGGTAAGATTATTTTTCCCACAAGTTAGTTTGGTGATGCAGATTCTATGTTAAGTTTTGGATGACATGGGCATGCATCAGCATCACAGATTCACAGATGCTTATATTTTTATACCACTAGTTGATGGTAGAACAACATGGAGAGCAAAGATTGAATCGCCATTTCCATTTACTTTCAAGATTTCCTGCTACTGCAGCATTCCTCAATTATCTTAGATGCTGTGAATCACTACATAAGACCTGTTCCTGTTCACTGATACACATGTCAATATTGTTAAGCCTCACTGATTCACTCTTTTTATCCCATCTCTGTGGTTTTCCACTAGAGAATAATAATATGTTAAGTTGGTTAGTATGATTCCAGTTTATGTGTGGAGTAGCATTGTGTGAAATAACATATATATTCAGCTTCTATGCCAATATGATTTTCCTATACTAGAATCTCAGACATCCATTTTTTGGAAGCCTTTAGATGCTGTTCTTTCTGTATGGACATAATCATGCCAGTTCTGACATCTGTGTATTTTTGGACATGATTTTCCAGGGTCATGTTCTGAATGATGAATCGAAGTGCTTTGGTTAAAGGGTCTGCAAACTTGTACACCTGAAAAGCCAGGAGTGGTGACCTGGTGGGGGCAAAATGTTCTTTACTGTTCGACAAAGTATAATCAGAATCTATCATATTACAAAGGTATGGTCGACACTAATTGGTATATAGTTGATATGTCCGATTTGTTGTTGAATTTTGGAACAATGATCTCTATACCAATGACAAATCAACAGAAGTAGTCTTTCATGTCTCAGACGTTGCAAAGCTGTCATTTCTGCTTCTCCTAACATGAAATCATTATACAACTACTGTATGTTGTGACTCCACGTTTTGTGCTTTATAATATCATGCACATCCTTATTATGCTAGAGCACAAAATGGCATCACCATTGAAACTATTTACCCTGTTGCTCTTTGTTATCTCTCTAGAAAACAGCTAGGCCTGCGTGGGTACAGAAATGAAAGGTCAAGCATTCAGAGTATCACCCCTTTGCCCTATTTGTGATCAGTAGTATGTTTGATGTAACTTATATTCTATTCCGTGCTAGAAGGTTTGAAGTTGTAGGCAATCTTTCATTTCTAGTTTTCTACTGGTCCTTGCTCAGATTTGTCAACAAACTGGGTTCCTTCATGCTTGTAGCAAGCATTAAGGATCCCAGGGTTGCCTAACAGACTAGCTAACTGGGATGCTTATAGTAAACAACAAAAGTCTCATTCATTGTCTTGGAGAGTATAATCTGGGAGTTTAATGGCGGATTGGCAGAGTAAGAAACTTTTCAAAAATGGCTTTTATTCATAAAAGTTTCGCAAAGAACGCAATTTATCTGATTGAACACAAGTTCACACCTTTCCAAACATGAGAGCAAAGACAATTCTTTTTTTTAAACATAGTCTTGGAATAAATCAATAATCTTTTTGAGATGAGAAATCTGTATTTTCTTAATCACAAAAACAATCAACTTATTTTTATTTATTTTATTTATGTTATGGTATGCATCACTTTCTTTCTTCGTTAAACCATTGGTGTGCATTGTACACTAGTTGGTGACTTGGTGCTTCATTTATGGGAAAGCAATTGATTTCATTTAGGGACTATAGTAGACTGCTATTCTGTTAGTAAGCTTAAGTCAGAACCACGCTATTGTTTGCTTGTAATGTACTTGTCTTGTGATGATTGTTTCAACGGAATGAATTCCCTAGATTTAGACCACAGCATGTCACCACTTCAGGAGTTAAAACAAGTGCTTAATATATACTTTCACAACGTGCAACCCTATTAACAAATGGTCTAGATCAGAGTATTGCTATTGATCACTGCCTCTCGACGTCTGTTACTGTTGTTCCTTTGGATGCTTACACAGACCATTGCCCTCTGTTTAAGGGTCTGGATTTCTTGATATTTGTTTTGCTGGGACCAGGTACATGGAACCCCATTTAATTTTCCTTCAGAATCTGGGCTTTGTTTCCCCAGTCAGCTTACACAACTCCTGCTCCACGGTTTGAATATTGCAGGTCTGATAGGCGAACAGATGCTTTGCGGCAGCTTGTTGAGATTTCCCATGTGAGGGCCACATATCGTGGGTTGATTTCAGCATATTTGCTTAGGACCATAGGTTTTATATCCCCCAAATTGATAGTGCTTTAACATGCTAGCTTCTTTTTCTCTGAACATTTAGCATTGTTCCGTTCTGAAACTCGCATATGAGACATGGCATGAGATGCTCCCTGCAGAAATGCTGTCCCTGTTTTTTGTCCAGATTATCTCAACCACCTGACTAATCCCGTATTATTGCTGGCAACATTAATTGGCTTGTCTTTGACAAGTTTGGGACTTTGATCTCTGCTTGCATATTGTTTATCAGTAGAATTTCTTTTTCCGTCGTTTGTCTGGTCCACCATGAAACAACCAACAATTGTTGAAGCAAACAACCAAGCTCCTATACTTGTCTCAAGTATATCAGTATTCATTCAGTAGTCTCTCCTAAAGTCACTAAATTCCACATCCAACTATTGTACTGACCCAATTTCTTGCGTACCACCATGAGCAATCACCTTGTCCTTGTGGGTATTTTTCGTTGAAAAACCTTATGAATAGTGGGCACATTTAACATGTATATATCAAAAATGTATTTTACGTCGAAAATCCGTATGAACCGGAGGCACATTTCACATGTAGATATCATCATCAAATATGTAAAGCGAAAAGAGCAGAATCTGTTTGTTTTGGGACCGTGAAAAGCACGCAAATTTGGAAGAGAGAACCCTTGAGCAACTGGCATGGAACCAAAACACAAGAGGGGGAAAAAATGAGTGGGCGACAACGTTGACACGGCACCAAACGCCTCTCGCTCCGCGACGTTAACTCGTTTGTCGCGCGCCCCAGCTCGCCGGCTCGCCTCCCCTATATCATCTTTGCCTCGCGCCACGCTCACTTCACTTGCAGCGTTCGCCAACAACGTGCACTGACCAAGCCACCATCGCCACCACCACCAAGGCACTCGCCGCGCTCGCCACGCTCGCCATGGAGGCCTCGCCGTCACGCAGCGACAGCTTCTCACACGGTTGGCTCAGGCGGAAGGCGCGGCCGGCGGCGGCGGCGGCGTCCTTCGAGCGCCTCGTCGGCGGCGAGGGCGATGCCGTGGATGTCGACGGCGATCTCGGGCATTCGTTCAACGGCTCTGTCGTGTCGTTCATCGACATGGACCCCGCGGAGCTCTTCTCGATGCGGTGGACGTCGTTGACAGCGGCGGCGGAGGAGGAGGAGGACCACGACGACGACGACTTCGACTTCGGCATGCCGTGCGTCGCCGGCGCGCAGTGCTCCTCCCCGCTGCTGGTCGGCGCCGGGCGCGCCCTCTCCGACGGCCACCACCACCACCTCCTCCTCCCGTGCGAGCCGGGCGTCGTTGTGGCCCGTGACCGCACGGCGTCGTACGCCGACGCGCCGTCGCCGAGCCCGTCGTCGCCGCTGTTCCACTCGGCGCTGAGCACGCCGGCGTCCGTGATCACCACCGCCAGCTCGCGCCGCGCCGGCGCCGGCAGCGGCAAGGCGAGGGCGCCGCTGCTGGCGACGAGGAGAATCCTTCTCAGGTACCTGCGGTTCCTCGTGCCGCTGTGCCGGAAGGTGAGGTCGCTCCCGCTGCGCGTGCTCTCGCCGCGGTCGGCCAAGGGTAGCCTCGCCGCCGCTTCGTCGTCGGCGTCCCCGGCGCGGCGGTCCACGTCGAGCAGCTACGCCAGCGCGGCGGAGTACTGGTGCCACGGCAATGCCGACACCGCCGTGCGCGACGCCATCCTCTACTGCAAGAAATCCATCGTAAGTTCACGACTTCACGTATGCAATTTCAATCCAGTCAAGCATACGACATTCATGTTTCACCAGCAAGTTTGGACTGATCGTTTCGTTCTTGCACGTTTCAGGGACAGGATATGTAACTGCTAATCACGATCTCTCGCAAGAACAGTTCATGTGAATGTTGGATGATTAATCAGAGAGAAAGATGAATACTTTGTCACCTCGATTCCTGATCTTTTGGGGGATTTTGACATGTGGTGTATATGCATACAGTAATATTACGGTGTATAAGTTGATGAATTGTGCTCCAAGGGGTTTAACCTTGTGAAGCTGTTTAATTAGCTAATCAATATGTTGTTTTAGCATAAATTAATTAACTACTGTGTTAGAAGAAGATGGTGTGTTCTTCTGTCCTCTTCTATCATTATGGTTAAAATGATTATTATATGCATGCATGTATCAGGGAAGACAGGCTCCAAGCATTAGGTTAACAAACGCCAACTTGTGGTATTTCCATTACTAATTGATGTGCATCACCTGATTAATTAACTCATATGTGTGTTTTGTGTTTTTCCTGGTGCACTATTGAAGTCATTCCAACCAAAGATGCTGACGGCTCACGATAAACAGAGTACTTGTACTGTTGATCTAGCCGGCATTTCCTTTTTCATCTGCAGTTCTTCACCACACCGTTGCAATAATATAAGCTAGGCACAACCCATCGTTGTTCTCTGTCTGCTGTGTTCAGACTTCAGAGGGGCCTCTGAAGTGGATGCAGTTCTCACACCTCGGCACTGTTCAAATGTTTAGCCTAAATTATCAGCTCTCGGATGATTATTTGAGAAACTTGAACAATGCATCCAGGATTGTTTCAGAGGTCAAACCGAATGCAAAAAAAAAAGAAGTTAAATACGATATTACGTTTGTTGCTCCAACTAGCAAGGCACTGCATTCTGCCGATATCTATCTCACCTAAAGAGTGCAGAGACTGCAGAAACTAGAACCCAGAGCTGCACATTAGTATTCTCACCAACATATTTATCAGAGCAATTAGAATCAAGCATTTTTTTTAAAAAAAAAATCAATCCATGTGTGCATGCAGCTTTGCTAGTACAAAAACGATAGCTACATGAGCATACAATAGGACTGCATCCTGACGATGCCACCAACACTGCAGGAAAATTCAGACCAGTGTACAGTGTGTTGCTAACACCATAAACACGTCGTTCGCATATGTGAAGCAGATGCTGCAGGTTATTGGGTTTTACAAACGCAGCCATGGAATCAATCATTGGGTTTACTTTAACCTCTGAAATCATGCAAAAAAAATGTTTTCGTGATCATCTGCAGTGAAAAAAATTGTGCTGCTAGCTCCGGCAATTTGGCCTGAGAGGAAATCGCAACCGACCGTTCGCTGTAGCGTGTACCCCGTGTGGGCGCCACCGGGAGATCGACGGCGACCACCGTGCCGCCGGCCATTGCCGGAGCTAACCAATAATTCGACGGCGACATTCTCGACGGGAACCGGGTTGTCGTATTGCCCGTGTCTCCGACCGGCGACAGTTCTCCGAGGACACGAACATTCTCTTGCTTATCCATCGATGCCACTGTGCACACACACAAAAAGTTGGGGTGATAAACTGATAATCAATTGAGCGGTTTCACTTGCAAAGCGTGGATAATAACATCAGCAGCAACCAATGTAGGATTGAGAGGTTGTCCACGCGTCGTGTCGAACTTTCAACAGCATCGTAATCATTTGCTCTGAGCCTCTGAACTATATAGTAGCCGGCATTATCGATCTCTTTTTTTTGCTGTGTGCTGGTTGGAACGTACGTTCAGGGAGTTGGATGCAATGGTGTGTGTCGTCGCAAGAGGCCAAGACCGGCCGGGAGCCCGGGACCCTTGGTGTATGGGTGTTGGGGTTGCGTCTGCTCGGGCGCACGGGACCATGCGGCCCACATGTGGCGCCCCCTCGCGCGGGCGCGCGTACGTACGTGACACCACGGGCCGAGCGCGACGCACGGGCACGGCGCGAGCTCTCTCGCGAGAGCTCTGGAGTCTGGATGGGCGCGCGCGCGGTGGAGCGACGCGATCGCGGAGCTTGCACGTACTCCAGGCGGCGGCGTACGTGATCGGCGGAGATGTGGTGGGTTGGGTGTTTGTGTTGCCCCGTGCGCGTGGGGTGGAGTACGTATGTAATGTACGTACTCGGGTAGTCGTGTGTGGGGTGAAGAGGCGAGGCGGGGAATGTTGGTCGGGGAACGGTGGCGCCCATCGCTCGCTGCTGTGCTGTGTGTGTCGTTGTTTGTTGTTGTGTGCCGGGGTGCGCTGCCGGCCGGAACGGATGGAGGTGGAGGCGATGGTGGGCCGTTTTGGTTTGATACTAAAATGTTGCCATACCAATGTTTTGGTAGTTTAAATAGTAAATGTGATATTTGGTTTAAAGCCAAATATTTGGTAATGCATATATTTAATTTGGCACAATTCTAAAATGTTTTTCACCATAATTTGAAATTTAGCTCTCAATTAGCATCAATCCAAAGACACTCATTTACAATTCTACCCTACCAAAATATTAGTAGGTGCCAAAGATGGTAGTGCCAAAGAGTTTTGGCACTACCAATACTGGTAGTGTACTAAACCAAACCAAACAAGCTCGGTGTCTTCTTGAACGGTCCGCGTCACCGGCGGCGCTGCGTGGCCAACATACCGACACACGTGTTACGTGTAGTCGCTGTAATAGGCCGTGTCATGTGTACCGAGGTCCACGGCCAACACAAGGCACTGATCCTTTTTTTAGTATAGTTATACAAATAGTTTTCTTAATAAAAAAATTCAAATGAAATATAGTATAACTACAAAATGCATGGCAGTTAGTACAAAGGTCAGAGATTTGGAAGATTATGGTGGAAAAAACTGTCAAGATGTTTTCTAGCAGGGAAAATATTAGTAGTGTGGTGGTGAAATTCACAAGGATAATCTTACGAATATTACGCATATGCAGACATGCTTTTAATAGATTTTTAGTGAGATCAGAGATGTGCCGCTGATTTTCGTCTCTTGGAGCGTATGTTAGAGGGCGCATATGCGGAGTGTGAGCGGGGTGTTACGTGTGTGGTGGCGTGTACCGTGTAAACGAAAAAAAAATGTTTTCTAGAAATGTCGTTTTTACCTTTCTAAAAAGAAAATCAAATAGCTCAAGGGGTTTAGGCCTTTCGAGTGTTTCAGCCCAATTAATCGGATGCTTGGGAATGGGCCTCTGGGTGCTAAACCAGAAGGAAGTCCATTCTGAGTCCTGATATACGGCCCATACGCATGTCGGCCTCTCCGGGTTCTCTCCACACCAGCACAGCAGCGAGTACAGCCAGGCGCACGCAGACACGGGAGACAGTGGCGCACACAGTCGCTCGCTCGCTCGCCTGCCTCCCCACCTCACCAGCTCACCCCACGCCTCCCCTCCCCTCCCCTCCCCAACCCTAATCCCCTCCCCGCCGGCGCGCTCCCCTCGCCGCTCGCCGCCCCCCACGGCAGCCGCAGGGCAAGGGAGGGGGGAGACACTGCCCCTGCAGGTGCACGCGCCGTGGCGGCGCGCGCGCTCTCTCTCTCGCGGGGAGGAGGCGGACGCGCGCGGCCCCCACCCGCCGGGATCGGCGCGCTCCAGATCCAGCGGTGACGGCGGGAGCCGAGGTGAGGCGGGCTGCTTGAGTGGTTACAGTGAGTTGTTTTTGGTGCTGAGTTCACCAGCAAAGCGAATCTAGTCGCATTCTTTTTTTTTTTTTTTTGGGGGGGTGGGGGGGGGGGCATTTTGCTGGAACAAGGGAGTGGAAGTAGGGGAAGTAGTACATTTCGTTGCTCGAAATGCTTACTATCGATTAAATGTTGGGAAACTGGAGGTGGTAGCATGGTGAAAAAGGCAGAGAGTTTAGCTGACGCTGTAGGTGGTTTCACAATGCTCTTGGTCTTGGATGTAACACATGCTGCTCACTTCGTGCAGCAGCCAGGATCCTGAGCTCCCACTTACTATCTTAGTGCTATGTGAGTGAGGAGAAACGTATACTTGCCTGGGATTCCAACATCTGACCAGTTGCTAAGGCTAACGGCCCATTTTTAGCTCAGTTAATGTGAACCATACCTGAATGCTTAACGAAAATAGTATATATTTCTGTGTTTCTATTTATAGAGTAGCTTGCAAACTCATTATCTCATTCACGTGGAAAATGTACGCCGTTAAGGAATCGTTGCTGGCGAGTTGATTGGGAGTACGAGTCTCTGGGATATGCATGATTATGTACTTGACTTTGTTCATGAAGTGTTACTCTTGCACTTTTCTTTCTAATGGTTCTATTTTTCTTGGTGCATTACCATTCATTTTACGTGTATACACAGGCTTTTTACGCCTATTTGTTTCATGCAGTGCTACCGTCCCCAATGATCCTACGAGTAGAGCTACTGGACTTTTACTGGGACTGAGGACCCTGTACAAACTGCCTCATGCATGTGCTTTCTTATTGGGGCTAAAAGAATGGAGAGTTCCAGCTCTGGTTCTTGTCCTCAGGGTGAGTATGTCAATCTGCATATTATTATAGCCAGTAAATTTTATCCAAGCTTAAGGGGAAGATACTGAGATATGAATATAGAAGTCTGCTTGGAACTTTTAGTTCTTAACGCTGAACCATTCATATGGGTGTGTGAACTAGGTTGCAAATGTGTCAGCACTCAGCAGTAGCATTAACATTGGGGATGACATGGTAGAGCATAGATGGGACAAGCATGTCACATTATTTTCTTCAAAAAATTGGCATGTTAACATAGTTTTACAGATGAAGCGATATGGACACTATGTCTACAATATATACTGTCTTGCACCTATTTTGAAAATTTCAGCTTTTCTGATAATACCCAGCACAACCATTCTCTTGTAATAATAAGCTACTTATATTATTTGCTGATTAAGAACCTGTTGTAGTGCATACTGAATATTCCTGATAACTTGATGAATATAATAATGATTACGGTTCCATGATATACTAGATTTGCTAGGTAGCAAACTCCTTTCCTTTCATGGAGAAATCAGTTTAAAATTTACTGTGGATTTTTTATGGGTATGCATATTATGTGCAGGCCATATGCTTACTAGGCAAAAGTCCATATTTAGTTGAATCACACTATACAATATCTGTAATTTCCCTTCAATGTGCTATTCTAAAATGATTGTTGCATTGCAGGTACAGTGTATCATTGGTTTGTCTTGTTTGCGGTTTGGCTTTGTGGCAGCCAGCATGTTCTTTCGCAGAAAACACCACTTGAACCAAAAGATAAATTCCTTCTATCTGATCCGCCAATTGGTCTCTTTGATCCAATAGAGATTTCACCATCTGTTCTTCCACACAATGCTAACCCAGTTGAGCCACTGTCACCGATGTATCCAAACTACACATCATATGATCCGGTCTTGACTGGAAAATGCCATGTAAATTTCTCAGCGCTTTCTTATATGATGGATAAAACAGCATCTGATTGTTCCATTCCTTTAGCACCACTAGTTGCTGATGTGATATGCTGCCCCCAAGTTAATAGCTTGATGAATATTTTCCAAGCTACATATGGTGCTGGAAACAATACACTAGTTCTGAACCAGGCTTCAGCAAATGCTTGTTTCTCTGATGTTATGAGCATTCTGGCAAGCAAAGGAGCAAACACTAACATCCCTGAGTTATGTACTCTAAGGCCATCAAATCTTACGGATGCTTCTTGCCCTGTGAAGGATATTAGCACATTTGAGAAAATAGTTAATGTAAGCAAGCTTCTAGACGCATGCAGCGATGTTGACCCACTGAAAGAGTGTTGTAGACCTGTTTGCCAGCCTGCAATAGTGGAAGCAGCAGTTCACATATCCTCTGGAGGAGCAAACATGTTTGGAAGTTCTAGCATATCTGGAAGTGATGCTGGGATCAACGTCGTTAGTGACTGCAAAGGGGTAGTTCACTCCTGGTTATCTATGAAGCTTTCATCAGAAGAATCAAACACTGCTTTTAGAGTATTATCTGGCTGCAAGGTGAACAAAGGTATGTGATGTCATACACTGTTTGGTTTGGTTTCATCTGTTAATGGGATAATCTGTAGATATGTTGTGTACTGTGGCCAAGTTTTCGGTACTTTGTGCTATGTGCACAATGTGATCTATCTGACTCATTGAATCATGCAGTTTGTCCGTTGGAGTTTGATGATCCTTCTTCCGTTGTTAAGGCATGTGGCAAGGCATCTTCTTCAACGCCCTCATGCTGTGGGGCATTGCACTCTTACATTGCAACTCGCCAGAAGCAAATATTTGTAACAAATTTGCAAGCAATTAACTGTGCAACCATGTTCGGATCAATGCTACAGAAAGCTGGTGTATCAAATGATATTTATGAGCTTTGTGATATTGATTTAAAAGATTTCAGCCTGCAAGGTATGGACAGAAGACATGATAACTTGTAATCAATTGTACTTCACATTGGAATGATCTAACTTTGTTTACTATTCTTGGCATTATTCTCCCACTGGAACAGCATTTGGTCAGCAAGGTTAGTTCATTCTATTAACTTTATTTGGTTTCCATCGGTCTGAAGTCCTGTGCTAATGCCAACCTTCCTTTTTGTAGGCTGTCTACTTCGCAGCTTACCTACAGACATTGTATTTGACAATGCTACGGGCATTAGTTTTACATGTGATTTGAGTGACAACATTGCAGCGCCATGGCCATCATCATCATCTGTTCAATCCTTGTCACTTTGTGCTCCAGGTAAGGTGACATTTCAGGTTTAGCACTAGAAAAAACAGTGAGCTTCGTACAACACAAATTGACATGATACCCCTCCTTTGGTTTCAGAAATGTCATTGCCTGCATTGCCTGTCGCGCCAACATCTGGAAGCTCAGGTACTTAATTTACCTTTTTGTTGGCAATACAATATATATCTCATTTTATTCTTTCATGTTTCTATTAGAATCATTACTCTCTTTTTACATCACTATAACTCTATCCTTATGCCAACAAACTGAAAAGACGCTTGTTATGGCAGTAGGTATCTCCAGAACTGGAATTGGAATTTTGGCGCCTCTTCTATTCTTTGCGACGGCCATCACCTTCTGAGAAATGCTTCACCTAGTGAACCAGGAGCTTCTTACCCCTGTTGTATTTTTTCCCCTCTGTGCAGGCCCACGTGTAAATTGAATTGCATTTCATTCTTGTAAATGAGCCTTTCCCTTCTCTGTTCTTTTTTGTTCGGTGGATAGCATTGCTGTTATGTGTTAGAGAGGACTGTTGTACCATCAGATATCTGAACAATGGAGGTAAATTTCTAGATGTTGCTGGGCAACAAAGGCTATGGACTTGGAATGCAACTCTAAATGCCGACCCATTATTAAGCTCGTGCAACAAAATTCCATGAAACCGGCCTTGAACTCTTGGACTGAATTTTCTCAGGTAACACATACTACTACTATATGCACCGAAATGGAAAAGTTTTTGCACAAAACGCACCGTTTAGCAGTTTAAAAAACGTGTCACGACTTTTATCCACTCTTTGCAGTGGAAACAAACGGGACCTATGTTTATATCCCTTCTGTTTTTCAAATATATGACCGTCTAAAAAATGCATGTGACTTCCACTGGTTGCAAGAAACAGCATGATGCTACTTGCTAGCCTGCTGACATACGCAGTGGCAGTACTGTACAGCCTATCGCAGCTGGAAATGAGAGAAATGGAACCAGCATAACCAAATACAGATCGGAAAGTTACGGGAACTTCTCAACCTAGATATGTAGCGTCTTTTAACATTCCTGTGTCCAAATCCTGGACCAGATTGAGCTGAACACATGCTATACCGAGTTCTCCCACTAGCAAAATATTCATAAAGCTGAACACATGCTATCCCGAGTTCTCCAATTAGCAAAATATTCATAAGGCAGGTAAAAAAATAAATATTCATAAGACGCATGATTCTGCTACAAAATGTTCTAGATTTATTAGTAGGATGATTGATATGACATAAAAGTAGCTCTACATTGCCATAATCAAAATATAACCAAACATAGCTCCTCTAGCTATCTCTATTCTCAGGGCAGCAGATTAGCCTAGGGGTGGCACAGCTACAATCAAAGGGGCGGTTCACTTTGATGAAAAAAAAAAAACCTTACCAAATTTTGGCATTACCAAACTTTTGTTGTAGTTGCCAAAATTTTATAACTTGCCAAAATTTTGGCAGGATTTCTTATATAGTTACCAAAATTTAGTAGCAAACTAAATATAGCCACTTTTTTGGCAACTTTACTAAAATTTGGTAAGGTTGAAAATGACACCAAAGTGAACAGGCCCAAAATATAACTAAACATAGCTAGCATAGGGGTGGCACAACTACTCTCAAGCTACTACACCGCCGGCTACTCGCTTGGATGAGCCGGAGCCACCGCCGCTGTCGCTCTAGCTCCTTGGTTTGGGGATGAACGATGAGGAGAACTTAGGATAGTAATCCAACATTTTATTAATTATTTTTCTTTTTTCATTTCTAACTCAAGCCCTATTTAGATTCTAACTTTTTCTTCAAACTTCCAATTTTTCCGTCACATCGAACTTTCTACACACACAAAGTTCCAACTTTTCCATCACATCGTTCCAATTTCTTCAAACTTTCGATTTTGGCGTGGAACTAAACACAGCCTCAATATTATTGGACTAATTAAACTATCATCTATAGTAGGGCAGGGACGGACCAGAGTGTAACAAGCAGGGGCCTTGGCCCCCACTCAATTTTGCAGCGAGTGGGGGTAAATGCCCCCCTTACACTTTTTTTTCAAACTTCCAATTTTGGCGTGGAACTAAACACAGCCTCAATATTATTGGACCAATTAAACTATCATCTATGGTAGGGCAGGGCAGGGACGGACCTAGAGTGTAACAAGCAGGGCCTTGCCCCCCACTCAATTCAATTTTTGCAGCGAGTGAGACAAATGCCCCTCTTACACTTTTTAATTTCTTAGTCTACCTAAGCGGTAGATCCTTAGCCCCCACTCTTCTGCCTCCGCCTCTTTTTTACTTTCTTAGTCATCCCCCACTTTTCTGCCTCCGCCCTTTTCTTACTTTCTTAGTCTACCTAAACTAGATCCTTACTTAGTCATCTTAGTCCCCACTCTTCTTAGTCCCCACTCTTCTGCCTCTGCCCTTTTTTTACTTTACTTAGTCATCTTAACCCCCACTCTTCTGCCTCCGTCCCTTTTTTTACTTTACTTAGTCATCTTAGCCCCCACTCTTCTGCCTCCGCCCCTTTTTTTTACTTTACTTAGTCATCTTAGCCCTCACTCTTCTGTCTCCGCCCCCTTTTTTTTACTTTACTTAGTCATCTTAGCCCCCACTCTTCTGTCTCCGCCCCCTTTTTTTACTTTCTTAGTAGCGGTAGATCCTTAGCCCCCACTCTTCTGCCTCCGCCCTTGTAGTAGGGGCAGCGTGAACATCCTTAGCACCCACTCTTCTGCCTCCGCCCTTGTAGTAGGGGCAGCGTGAACAGGGATAAAAGCGGAGGCAAACGGCGTGAACAGGGATAAATTTGCAAATCCTAAAAAATAAGGATAAATTCACAATTAAGGTTAAAAGTTGGGGCATCAACATAATTATCCCTTTAGAAAATCCCATAATTGATGTAATTCCTAGTTGTAGTTTCCGTACATATTTGTAGAGGTAATTTCACCAACAAAAGGAAGTACCTCAACTCAGTATTTATACAAGCAACGAAACAATTCAACAACTCGTTGTCCTTTGCATCCTATCTCCCAAGAATTCAGCTTGCTGTAAATCACCAATATTAGCGGGTCTAAAAACTCATCAACGTAAAGAACCACAAAAACTATCAGGCTATCAACCAAAACCGCCACATGAGTGACAGAAAAGAACCACAAAACTGTCAAGCTTTGGATGACGTGTTTTAACATTTCATGTTTCCCGTTGCAAGACAACGCAGAGATACAAGAGATTCATGCGTGAATAAACATGCCATGTATTTTTAACAAATGCTGGCTACTGTTACACTACAGATTCAATTCAACAGGTGATAACTGGTGGCAGCGGCTACAACCGTGTTGACTGCTCCGACGGTTTTTGATTCTGCAAAGAGGATTCATCACCACCAGTACCAGTGTCATGCGATGAAGTTGATTCGCTTGAGGAAGGCTTTGCGCCATTCGAAATGATGTTCTTGAACCAAGTCCCCTGGAAAGTTGGGCCATTTCTGCTTTGGTTACTTGGGGACTCTGGTTGTGGGTTTTGATTTTTCGATGCCAGGCCTGCCATAAATCTGTATGCTACTCTACTGGCATTGACTATTTCTGTTTTAGCCTGTCTGAACTGCAAAACAGAATTTCACAATAAAAAAGCATGTTAGGAGAAATAATGAATGTGATATCACTACATATAAGCAACACGGTGATCAAGCTCAGAATCGCTCATTTATCCTACTTCATATTGTAGGAATGGTCTATAATCACATTAGCAAAAACAAAAAAAATGCATGCAACTGTTGTTGTCCAAACGTAAATGGCATTGAGTGTACAACTGTCTATATCTTGATGAAAATAGCATAAGATCTAAGGGTTTTTATAGGGTTCTTGAGACATATATGCTTCATAATGTTAGTCACAAGGTATATCCCTCATTTCAGTCATACTATCCCTCCAATTAATACTACAGATACCTATACCCCCCAAGGATTGTAGAAAGCCTCAAGATCTAAAACATGAATATGGAAAGTAACCAACATGAGGAAAGTCGTGAAGAAAAAGAATATAGATGCAACAGTAGTGACAAGTAGACCATTTTGAGGTATTTATCTAGTAATGGACATCTTGTAACTATAAAAGGAAAAAATAGCATTTACAGAAGATAACTGGAGTATCTTAGATGGGCATGACAGTATGACATGACCATAACATCTAAAGGGATACTGTCAACAACTTCAAGAAAGGTGGCTGAAAAGTTTGTTGCCATTTATAGTTATGCAGATTCACTTAAGTAGGTGTTTCACTTTCAATGCATTATCTCATTGATCAATGTGAGAAAGGGAAATGGTCAGTCAACTGATGAGCTAGTGACTATGATGGCTACACGTACATTGTTTGAATGCATGGATTAAGTCCATAACATGGCAATTTTCAAGGATTCATGGCGTAGTGGTATCATGTATTAACACCTAATGTATTCACAGAGAAGATGCTAACACAGAAGTATATCATGTAAATGAGTCAAAACAACAGAGCTAACGAAGTAGATCATGCTGTGCTCACCAAGCCAAGCTGCCATGTAAATGAAAATCTATGAACAATCAGACCAGCACTGGATTTTCTGGTGAAGGTCCTGAAGGATAGACTAAGCAAAGTTTCTGAGTGACATACATGGTCAAATCTATTTTTGTGGTAAAGCCAGGAATCTAGAGATGGGGTGCAGACTTTAAATTAAGTAGTTGAATAGAAAAGTCAAGTGCACCACATAATAAAATAACTCAACTACATACTGTATGTACTATAGTCACAATTACAAAATCAACAAAGAGAAAACTTCCCTATGAACATGAATATTAGAGTTAGATTAGATTTGTATAGATTGTATCCGTATATAACTCTTATTTAAGAGTTTGTTGTAATCTCTATTGTATTGGATATATAAATACAATCGCCCTCCCACGTTGGGTTGTGAGGCGTCTCATAATTCTCTACATGGTATCAGATACCGGTTTCCTTCTAACCTAATTCGCCGCTTCCTCTGGCCTTCGCTTTTTCCGCGTTCGCTTCTCTTCCGCTGCCCACGCGACTTCCGCGTCCCCACCACCGCGCCGCGCCCCAGCGATTTCCCCTCACGATCTCGCCGCGCCCCAGCCCCACCGCGCCTTCCGCGTCACCATCGTGCCACGACGCACCGCGCCGCGCCCTCGCTCATTCCGCGCCGCGCCACGCTCTGCCCCCATCGCGCCACGCCGCGCTCTGCCCTGCTCTGCTCACGCTGCGCCGCCTTCTGTCTTCGCCGCGTCGTGATTATTCTGCCTCTCTGCCATGTCTACCGAGTCCACCTCCTCTTCCACAACCTCGGGAACAATGGCATCTACATCATCCGGCTCTACTCCATCTTCTGCTGCCAGCACCAGGGATTCTACCGGCTCGATCTTCGTCAACCCGTATGCCACCGTCAACGTCAAGACTCACATACCAATTACCCTGGAGCTCAAGCACCCCAATTTCAACAAGTGGAAGACCTTCTTCACTTCTATGCGTGGCAAGTTTGGGCTCCTTCCTCACATTGATGGCACCGCACCCCCTCGTCCCGAAGACTCGACTTGGGCACAAGCCGATTGTTGTGTTCGGGGCTGGCTGTTCAGCTCCGTTTCCGATGCTATCCTCGACGTCGTCATGGAACCCGACCAGACCGCCCGCGACCTATGGCTCGCCATCGACGATCTCTTTCAAGCAAACAAGGAACCCCGCGCCATCTATCTCAGTCACGAGTTCCACTCAATGACGCAAGGTGACATGCCCATTGCCGATTATTGTCAGAAGGTGAAGACTGCTGCCGATGCCCTCCGCGACGTCGGCCACCCTGTCACCGAATCTCAGCTTGTCCTCAACTTGCTGAGCGGCCTCAACTCTCGTTTTTCGAGCACCACCGACAACATCGCCAGCGCCCCTGTTCTGCCCTCCTTTGCCTTGGCGCGCAACACCTTGTTGCTCAAAGAGCTGCGAATTGCCAATGCACACAAGGTCCAGGCTGAGACAGCCATGGTGGTGGCTGCCTCCTCTGCCAATGACTGCACTTCCGGCACCTGTGCGTCCTCTTCTTCATCCCAGTCTCGTGGCGGTGGCTCCAACAACGGTGGTCGCCGCAACCAGCGACCAACAGCAGTGGTGGCGGCAATGGCGGACGACAGAACAACAGCAATGGCGGCGGCTATGGCAACTTCGGGAACAATTTCCAGCAGCAGCAGCACCAGGCTGGGCCACGACCTACCGGCCCATGGGTCTGTTTCAATCCATGGGCTGTGCAGCAGCAGCAGTCTCTCTGGCGTCCCAGCAACAGTGCCGGCCTGCTTGGCCCATATCCTCAAGCACACACGACATTTGCAGGCCCATATGTCTCTCCACCAATGCCGGGCTTGCCACCAATGCAGCAATCTCAGCCCAATTGGGATCAGGCAGGTCTGATTACTGCCCTCAATCAGTTGTCCGTGCAAAGTCCAAGTCCTTGGGTGCTTGACACAGGAGCCACTTCACACATGTCCTCTACCGACGATATTCTCGTTACTCGTCTTCCCAATTCCCATACCTTCATTACCGTTGGCAATGGTCATACTATTCCTGTTATTTGTCGTGGCACTTCTTTTCTACCTATAGGAACCACTAAATTTGATCTTAAAAACATCCTTGTCGCCCCCTCTTTGGTTCGCAATCTACTTTCTGTTCGTCAATTCACTCGTGACAATAACTGTTCCATTGAGTTTGATGAGTTTGGTTTTTCTGTTAAGGACCTCCGTACCCGGCGCGTGATTCTTCGCTGCAATAGTCGTGGTGACCTCTACACTCTACCTACTGCTGCACCTGCTATTGCTGCCCACAGCTTCCTGGCCCAATCCTCTACCCTGTGGCATCGTCGTCTTGGTCATCCCAGTTCAGCTGCTATTCAGACTCTCCACAAATTAGCTATTCTTCCTTATACTAAGATAGATCATAGTTTGTGTCATGCGTGTCAGTTAGGGAAACACACGCGTCTACCTTTTTCTCGGTCTCAGTCTAGTACATCTTCTCCTTTTGAGCTTGTTCACTGTGATGTGTGGACCTCTCCTGTCTTGAGTACTTCTGGCTTTAAGTATTATTTAGTGGTGCTGGATGATTTTAGTCACTTTTGTTGGACTTTTCCTCTTCGCCATAAGTCTGATGTTCACCAGCATATTGTTGAGTTTGTTGCTTATGTTACGACCCAGTTCGGCTCTTCCATTAAGTGTTTCCAGGCGGATAATGGTACCGAATTTGTTAACCAAGCCACTACCTCGTTTCTCGCTAGCCGTGGAACCTTGCTTCGCTTATCCTGTCCTTACACTTCTCCTCAAAACAGCAAAGCCGAACGCATGCTTCGCACAATCAACAATTCCATTCGCACCCTACTCATACAAGCATCCATGCCTCCTTACTGGGCCGAAGCTCTAGCCACAGCCACATACTTACTCAATCGAAGACCCTCAACTTCCGTCCACGACTCCATTCCGTTTCAAATCCTGCATCACAAAGTTCCTGATTATTCTAATCTTCGGGTTTTTGGTTGCCTCTGTTATCCTAATCTTAGTGCCACGACTCCTCATAAACTCTCTCCTCGATCCGCTGCCTGTGTTTTTCTTGGTTACCCGGCTTCTCACAAGGGCTATCGTTGTTTGGACATTTCTACCCGTCATGTTTTCATCTCTCGTCATGTGGTTTTTGATGAACAGACATTCCCGTTTGCAGCTATTCCCCAAACTGCTTCTTCTTTTGATTTTCTTCTACAGGGTGTTTCTAAAGCGGTAGCTCCGTCCTCCTTGGACGTCGAGCGTCCGCGTTCTCTACTGGTCGCTCCCTCTCCTGAGGTCGAGCCGCTGGATGACTTGGCCGGCCCTGATATGTATCGGCTTCTTCTCCATAATAGAAGGCTACAATCATCGCAAGCTCCAGAACCAGCTATATTGGCGCCTTCCAGTGCATCCTCTGGTGCCGATGCTAGTACTACGGGCGGGAGCATGTCTTCTTCATCACCAGTGCAAACTATATCGAATTCTTCTATTGCTCAGCCGCCTGCCTTGCATGGTGTTGCTTCTGCTCGGCCGCTGATCTCTCCATATCGCCATACGTATGTGCGTCGTACTCAGCCTGTGGCGGTTCATGGTCCTATACGCACCACCAGAGCTTTTCGAGCTGCACAACATACACAGGATCAACAGCGTCATGCTATGGTAACTCGCTCTCAGACCGGCAATCTTCGTCCTGTCCAGCGCTTTAATTATACCGCTATGCAGACTTCTGTTTCGCCAGTTCCTTCCAATTATCGTAGTGCTTTGGCTGACCCTAACTGCCGTGCAGCTATGGCTGATGAGTACAAGGCTCTTGTTGATAACAACACTTGGCGTTTGGTTCCTCGACCTCCTGGTGCTAATGTTGTAACCGGAAAATGGATCTTTCGACATAAGTTTCATTCCGATGGGACTCTTGCTCGACACAAGGCACGATGGGTTGTTCGTGGCTATTCTCAACAGCATGGGATTGACTACGATGAGACTTTTAGTCCAGTTGTTAAACCTGCTACTATTCGTGTTGTTCTCAGTATTGCTGCCTCTCGGTCTTGGCCTATCCATCAGCTTGATGTCAAGAACGCATTTCTCCATGGCAATCTAGAGGAGACTGTATTGTCAGCAACCATCTGGTTTTGTTGATCCTTCTGTGCCTACTGCTGTATGTTTGCTCCAAAAACCGCTCTATGGTTTGAAGCAGGCTCCTCGTGCTTGGTACCAACGGTTTTCAACATATATTCGTCAGTTGGGTTTCACATCTTCGGCATCTGACACTTCTCTCTTCATTTATAAAGATGGAGATAATGTTGCATATTTACTTTTGTATGTTGATGACATCATGCTGACTGCCTCGTCCACTTCACTTCTTCAGCATATTACTGCTCGCCTACACTCGGAGTTTGCTATGACTGATCTTGGTGACTTACACTTCTTTTTGGGAATTTCTGTCACTCGATCTGCAGACGGTTTATTTCTTTCTCAGCGGCAATATGCTGTTGACTTATTGCGGCGAGCTGGTATGTCGGAGTGTCATCCTACTGCAACACCGGTTGATGCTCGATGTAAACTTTCTGCTACAGATGGAGCTCCCGTTTCAGATCCTACTGAGTACAGGAGTCTAGCTGGGGCTCTTCAGTACCTTACTCTCACGCGGCCTGAGATAGCTTATGCAGTTCAGCAGGTATGCTTGTTTATGCATGATCCCCGTGAGCCTCATCTTGCTCTAGTTAAACGGATTTTGCGTTACATCAAGGGTACTCTACACATTGGTCTTCACATCGGAACTGCACCAGTTGACTCTTTGACAGCTTATTCTGATGCTGACTGGGCGGGTTGTCCTGATTCTCGTCGTTCCACATCAGGGTATTGTGTTTTCCTCGGTGAAAACTTGGTCTCATGGTCCTCCAAGCGACAGACCACTGTCTCTCGATCTAGTGCTGAAGCTGAGTACCGTGCAGTAGCACATGCTGTTGCCGAATGTTGCTGGCTTCGACAACTTCTTCTTGAACTACATATTCCACTTGCTTCGGCCACTATCGTTTATTGTGATAATGTTAGCACCGTCTACATGACCGCTAATCCTGTTCATCATCGTCGAACGAAGCATATTGAGATTGATATTCATTTTGTTCGAGAGAAAGTTGCTTTAGGACAAGTTCGTGTTTTACACGTTCTGTCCTCACATCAGTTCGCAGATATCATGACCAAAGGCTTGCCAGTTCAGTTATTCACTGAGTTTAGGTCCAGTCTTTGCGTTCGTGATGTTCCTCCCGCTTTGACTGCGGGCGGGTATTAGAGTTAGATTAGATTTGTATAGATTGTATCCGTATATAACTCTTATTTAAGAGTTTGTTGTAATCTCTATTGTATTGGATATATAAATACAATCGCCCTCCCACGTTGGGTTGTGAGGCGTCTCATAATTCTCTACAATGAAGTTTATTAAAAAATTATAAAAGGATTTATTGGGATGTGCATGACACACTGATAGCCGCTATGGACATGAACTAAGTTGAATCTATAGGCTTTGTTGAAGCTTAATGCCATTATAAATGCTGTTCTAAAATGAGCATTACAATGAATTCACCACTCAATGAAAACTAAGCATTGTAATGAAATATTTAGTTCAACACACACAAAAACTTAAACATACCAACAGGCAAGAGTGTGTGCTACACAACAATGAACATACAAGAGAAAAACTTGCTGATGCATAAGTAAGAAAAGTTAAAATAAGCATACCTTAACTGCTGTGTTCTCAGCAACTACCACAGCGGTATCACCAGCATTGGCAAAACGATTAACCCAGCCTGCACAGTTTTTAACACAAGATCAGTTAAAAAAATATATTATCTGTCATTTTAAATCTGAGCAGGAATACAACCATACTTAGCATGGATAAGACAAACAATTAATTTAAGTAAGTTGTGACTTGTGAGCAAATCTCATCTATTTCACATAAAGGCACATCGGCCCTAGCTTATTATTGTTCTTTATCAGTTCATCTAGTTCTGAAATCAAGTCCCTAATGTTATAACATACAGCCAAGAGAATTAGCACCTCCAAGAAATGCTATCCCTCCTGCTAAGCTGCAGCTCTACTCACTAGCCCTCTAACAAAATAAAACACCCTGAATTTGAGTTCAGCACAACTGCTACTCTCTAGTAAAACTTCTTGGCTACTGTCTAATCGAGTACCACCAAGTTGTACACCCATCCCTCCCCGACAATCTCCAATTCGTAACAATCTCCTCCATTTCCCCAACAGCATATTTTGCATGAACTAAATAAATTAGGATCTGCTGTTACTATACCTACCGATGTTAATGTTAGACAACGCCGCATAGTTTCTCTGCATTACAGAGTTGAGAATTGGTATCCCTTGGGCACACATACACATTGCACGGGCAATTGCTACTCTCTAATCGGAAGAGCGGGAGCTGCGAATCCCAATCCCCTTACCTGGGAGCTTGGGGACGGCGAGCCTCTCGCAGAGCACGTCGCAGAAGTGGTTGCAGTTCCTGGAGAGGAGGTCGTAGGAGTGTCCCGGCCACTCGCGGCTGAGCTCCCGCAGGATCCGGTTCACGGTGGCGATGGAGCACTCGGTCTCCCCGAGGACGATGCACTCGCGGTAGGTGTACATGGGGTTCTTCCCGATGGGGCAGCTGAAGACGCCGCTGCCGTTCTCGCAGAACCCGAACGACCACTCCTCCTCGCCATAGACCTGCGCACCTCCGGGATCCGAACAAAAAAGGGCGAGAGAGAACCAACCAAAATCAGCGAGATCTGGAGGAGGAAGGAAGGCGAAGGCGAAGCAAAAGCAAATGCGCCCCTCACTAGGGGGGATCTGGGAGGCCGCGCGGAGGCGAACCTGGACGGCGCTGTGGAAGATGCCGCCGAGGCCGATCCGGTCCTTGAAGATGCGGTTGATCTGGAGGATGGTGTTGTTCGTCTTCTCCGAGTCGCTGTTCGTCACGTCGTACACGTGGAGCACCACCTCCTTCATCTCATCAACGGCGCAGCGCGCCCCCTCCCCGCTGCCGGCTGCTCCCTCCCTCCTCCTCCTTCTCCGGCGGCGGCGGCGAGGGGTGATTGGGTCGCCGGTGGCGGTCGGCGAGCGAGCGGGTGGTGGTTGGTTGGTTGCTTGCAGGTGGTGGTGGTGGTAACGAGTCTCGTGGGCTTGGGTCGGATGCACTTATCGGCGAAGGGATTGGGGGGAACTTTTGGAGGTAGGGTCACTGACAAGTGGGGCCCTGGTCGACAGCTTCGCCGTTTCAATTGGGTCTCTCTCCTCTCTTCCCGTAATCTCTCGAGCAACCGGCCACGGAGAACACGGTGCACGGTTTCTCTCTGCATTTCTCGGACTACGGAAGTTGAAGGTCTCTCTCGTAAAAATCTTACAAACAAGGCCTTATACTTTCTCCATCCAAAAAAAATATTATGCAGTTCTGGATTGGACAAAATAAAAATAGACCAATTCTCAGCTATAAATTTAAAATTGGTTCTTTTGGGACAATGAAAGTATAAGATTTGCATGTTATTTTGAAGGTACATAGTGCTAGCGATGTTACAATATACTTCTGATCTCTTTCTCTTATCGCCCATGTGTACTATCAGTGATCTAATTATAAGACGGCTTGGAATATGAACAAACCAGATTGGATGTTAGTTTCTTTTGTTTTATGTGTACACACTGCTTTACTATTCTTAATTTGATCACTCGTGCAAAACATCATCTGGTACAAATGATGGACTGATTATGTGACGGTGTCACATGGACCGACAAGCAAGAGTGATGACGCAAAGTGCTTAAATAAATACAATTCGATCAAGCAAGAATATTGCTATCTAATAGTAAAAGTACCAACATTAATCATCGTGGGAGTGGCCAGGGAGAAGTTTGTATAGTATCTGTTGACAATAATTTAGCATTATATCAAATTTAGGCTAAGTCTAAATAAGGATCAGAGCCATCACACAAAGATTGTTGGTCTGACTGCAGGTAATAGGGCGGTCGGACTGGATAATGAATTGCGATATGACTGGCAAACTCTAAGTCCGAGTCCAATTTGACTCTTTTCGTGTTCCCTTGATTAGAGGCATGCGTTTCTCGAGTTCTAATGCATTTCTACGCCTAATATGACATGGATATACTCTTTGTTTTATAAGACCATCCCTCCTATATTTATAAATATAGAGGGTCAGGATTAATTGAAACAGTACCCAATTGACAAAATCAATGTATAGTTTTACCTTTTTTTATCGCTTTATATTTTACCCTTTCAATATTTTGGTGTTCATCATCTTTTATCCTTATAGCGTTAGATGATACTATAGCGGACATGCTAAGCCTAAGGTAAATTGGCGTGCATGCGCTCGGTGCCTCTTCAAGGCATGCGTGTTAGCGCGAACAACCTTATTAGTATCGAATAAACTATCATATATTTATGTCAATTTTAATTTAGCACTAACCTGTGTGATAGAGTGAAAGACATTTCTTATGGATCTCAAGTATAGTCCTTGATGAGTTCGAGAAAAAGTTGAAGCCAAGGGTTGAATGCATTTGAGGCCCTGATCGAATGTACTGAAATGGGTGGATAAAATTTTGGATTAAAGTGGTACGCTTTTCAAAATGCCAAACGGTATGTTTCGTGCGAAAACTTTTCTATATGAAAGTTGTTCTAAAATATCAGATTAATCTATTTGTCAAGTTGTTAATAATAAAACTTAATTAATCACACGTTATTACCACCTCGTTTTGCGTGAAACACTTAATTTTCATTTTCACCTTCAGGAGATTCAAACACCACATAAGTTTCAGTGTCAGATTCCAAATTTCCAATAGAACTTTTTACTCAAGTGCTACTATTCTCCATCATAATGTACCGGACAAGGATCCGGTGCAGTCATACTAGGGACTGCAAGTTTGGCAGTTGCGATCGTTTTTCATCATTGGATCAAGGCAATCAACTGTCCAGAGAGACGTTACGGTGGTCTTAAACAGTAACAGCTACAGTACTGCTACAAGAACAAGCTTCGTATTCAGGGAAGGAAATTGCTTTGCGTACGATGAAATTTGTGCGAATTTTAGTACTCCTACGATCCTACCATGCATGTTTTCTTGATTGGGTGGAAACATGTTGGACCCCACGTTTGCAGCACACGCCAGTATAGATGGCCAAAGGGTCCACCCGGCCCGGCCCGGCCCAAGCACGGCTGGGTACGGCCTAGGCCGTGCCGGCCCATGGGCTGCACCTCCCGCCCAGGTACAGCGGCCGTGCTATGCCGGGTCGTCAGGCCTCGGACCTTTTGGCCATCTATACACGCCGGAGACTATGAAGTATCGTAGTCTGATCGTATGAAATTTTATCATACGTATAGCAATGCTCATATCCCAATGTAGTAGGCATACAGATACAGTACATATCTCTTCAACTGGCCAGAGCAACTTGAGGCTGATGTTCAGCAGAGCTGTTCACCGGCCACCGTTCAGCGAGCCGACGGACATTGTAGCGCACGACGACCATGTCAGCGACGTCAACGACCCGAAGTCGATGGAATCGACGTCGGAGAAGACGAGCACGGCCTCCTCCGGTACGTCCTCCTCGCCGTCCAGGTACTGGCAGACCTGCCTCATGCTCGGCCGCGCCTCCGGCCTCGCCTGGCTGCACGCGAGGCCGAGCCAGAGCACCAGCCTCGCCTCCTCCTTGTCGTAGCGCCCGTCGAGCCTCTCGTCGACGGCGTGCACCAGCTCGCCCCTGGCACCGTGCTCCCGGACCCAGCGCAGCAGGTTGACGCCGGTGGCCGGGTCGATGGGGCGGCGCCCGCACGCCGCCTCGAGGAGCAGCGCGCCGTAGGCGAACACGTCGGTGGCCGTGGTGGCCTTGCCCGTCACGGTGAGCTCCGGCGCCATGTAGCCCAGCGTCCCGACCACGCGCGTCGTGGCCGGGTCGCCGCCGTGCTCGTAGAGCCGCGCGAGGCCGAAGTCGCCGAGCCGCGCGGCGCTCGCGTCGGCGCCGAGCAGCACGTTGCTGGCCTTCACGTCGCGGTGCACCACCACCTGCTCCCACTCCTCGTGCAGGTACACCAGCCCGGACGCCACGCCCCTGAGTATCCTCACCCGCTGCTCCCACGTCAGCGCCGTCGCCGTCGCCGTCGCCGGTGCGCCGCCGAACAGGAGCGCGTCGAGGCTGCCATTGGGCATGAACTCGTAGACCAGGAGGAGGTCATGCCCGCGCTTGCACCACCCGCGGAGCTCGACCAGGTTGCGGTGCCGCATGCGCCCGAGGCTGGCCACCTCGGCGACGAACTCGCGCATCCCCTGCCTCCCGTTGCTCGAGATCCTCTTCACGGCCACCACGTCGCCGGATCGCCGGAGCACGCCCCTGTACACCTCGCCGAATCCGCCGGCGCCGAGGAGCTCGCTGTTCTTGAACCCCTTCGTCGCCATGTAGAGCTCTCTGTACGGGAGCCTGTGCGGGTGGTCAAGCTCCCACTCCTCGAGCGTGTCGGCGAGCGCCGCCCGCCGCCGCAGCCAGAGCGCGACGCCGATCGCCGCCACGATCACTGTGACCGTGGCAGCGCAGGTCAGAGCAACGATCTTGACGACGACGGACGCGGAAGGCGGCGGCGCCGGCTTCTTTGGGACGCTCGGCAACCGAGAGAGATCGATCGGCCGCGCGGCGCCGCCGCCGGTCCGGAAGCTCCATGCGAGGACGTAGTGCGAGCTCGCGAGCTTCCCCGTCGACGACGAGAAGCCGACGTACATTTCCTGCTTGAAGATCGGCAGGAGGTCGACGGCGTGCGATATGAGCGGCCGGCGAGGCCGCGTCGGCACCGTCGACGCCACCGGAGCGATGGTGACGTTGAGGATCTTGGCGCTGCCGTCGTAGTCTACCCACGCCTGAATCGGCTGCGCGCTCTCCAACGTCAAGTTCCTCTTGCCACCGCCGCCGTCGGTGAAGTAGGCGGCCGGCTCCGACACGTTCGACACGAGGCTGTTTAGGTCGACGCCAACGTGGTTGCCGTTCGTCTCGTTCAGGAGCCCGTTCGCCTGCACAGTGTCGAACTCGACGGCGAACACGTGGTTGGAGGGGTCACCCATGTTGCTCTTCCCGAGGAGGCCAAGATACTGCTCGGCGGTTGCGCCGGGGAGCACCTTGGAGGCGGCGACAACGAAAGCCAAGCCATGGCCGCCGACGCTGCCGTTGGTGACGATGTCGAAGACGAAGGCCGTGCTGAAGGAGACGACGGCGGCGTCGCTCACCATCTGCACCGGGGAGTCGAAGAACGCGTGGCCCATGATATTGTTGCTGTCGTTGGTGAGCTGCAGCGCGCCGCCGCGCAGGACGGTGGCCGAGCCGTCTAGGCTCAGGTTGGCGGCGTTGCGGAAGCCGTTGTAGATGAAATCGACGTCGGCGGAAGAGAGGAGGAGGCAGTGAGCGAGGATGGAGAGCACGGCGGCGAGGTGGCGAAGCGCTGCAATGGACGCCGGAGACATGGAAGAAACTAAACTGTAGTGCGTAGGGTGTAGTTCGACAGCTGCTGTAATTGAGAACTGGGATCTGTTCATGCAGTGCAGTGCAGTGATAAATAGACGTCACTACGTCAGGCTGATGAATCTTGTGGATTTGGATCCTCTGTTTAGGTAGACCAAGTCACCGGTGAACAGTAGCAAATGTAAACACCACTAACAAAAAGTGATCGAAAGTGAAATTTACTTTGATATATCATCTGTGGCGAAGCCAGGATTTAAAGATGGGGGTGCCATCTACGAGACGTGGTAACTCACTTAGGGTTCGGTGAACAGTAATATTATAGCGTTGATGTATGATCGCTAACTCGACATCATACATGTTATAGCGATTAGCTACAAGAGAGAATGAGAACCCATTGATCATAATTTGCCAATTTAAAATTCAGTAATATTTTTAATATATAGATGATTAAACAGTTTGTTCCATGATTTTAATTGAAGTCTTGCAATCATTTTTAAAATGGTAAATCAGTTAACTAAGTCATTTCATAAGTCCTATATATATAGCTAGGCAGTTGTCCTATATAGTTAGTTTCATCCGCAACTAATAATATAATTAATTGCTAGATTATAAGGGCTAATTATCCTTGGGAGAAGAGAGGGAAGGGGAGGTCACATAGGGGTTAGGGGGGGGGGGTTGTTGGCCCTCCCTGGCCCCTACGGTGGCTTCGCCACTGTATATCATGTCGATGTAACATATTTACCAATATCGTGACTATAAAGGCCTTGTTTAGTTGGGAAAATTTTTAGATTTGGTTGTCACATCGGATATACGGACACATATTTGAAGTATTAAACGTAGTCTAATAACAAAACAAATTACAGATTCTGCCAGTAAACTGCGAAACGAATTTATTAAGCCTAATTAATCCGTCATTAGCAAATGTTTACTTAGCACCATATTGTCAAACCATGGCGCAATTAGGCTTAAAAGATTCGTCTTGTAATTTACACACAATCTGTGTACTTGATTTTTTTCCCTATATTTAATATTTTATGCATGTGTCCAAACATTTAATATGACATGATAGTGTGAAGATTTTTGTTTTGGGAAGTAAACAGGGACTAAGTATAACAAAGATGTAAAGTCTTAAGGGCTAACACCGTAAGTTAGTAGGCTAACAGGCTTAATTCATTCATACGGAAGTCCCTCTTTTATCATTGATATAAAAAGTCCTTTTCTTATCTAGCTATTTTTTTTAGCGTAGCGTAATATATGTGTAACCAGTTTAGACCTGTCTAAACTAGTTAGAATGAACAATGTCTTGTTGTTTATGTGCACTGTAGCATGTGATATCTTCTATTATTTCTTCAATTGGGTGGCTAAGATTACCCCCAAAGTTATAAGTCATGAATCCATCTACAGTGATATGGAATAGCAATAGATCATCTTCACTATTTAGAAGATGACAAGGTGAACGACTTGAACGGTTGACCCTTAATTTGTGGTTGGGAAAACTTTGGATTATACTCGCGGAGTTCTGCTTGAAATACATGAATTCTTTTTATTATAAGTTTCCAATAAAGAAAAGAATTTCTTGTGGCAAATATCAGATCAATGTCTTGAAATGAAAAATTACTATATGGCCTGTCCGCTTCCCATCCTGCCCTGTTTTCTCTTCTATCTTGACAATTAACTTCAGGAAAGAGCGTATAGCTCTGCGCCTCTGCCTCCCCTTCCTTTGGCACCACCTTATCCTAGCATCCACCGTTCAACCACTGCCTAAAATGTAACCGATGCTGAAATAGTGTAGAAGAAAGAACATGCAATTGTCCACAATTTTTTGTTATGTTGTTTTCATGCAGTGGCGGAGCCAAGAATTGATCACGCCTAGGGCTGAGTAGGGCTGAATTGATGTGTTCTTAGCAAATCTCTTTATATCTTCAGTTTGCACAGTTTTTGCATAGGATTTTAATGGGAATTTGGTCCTAAGCCTAGAGCTCAAGCCCTAATTGCCCCACCCTTGGCTCCGCAAATTTCATGGTAAACTGAGGGATCTTGTTCGGTCACTTCCAATTACGAATACAAGAACCAGAAGACAATTGTTTGGACTTACTCCCTCCGTCCCAAAAAAAATCAACCTCCTAATACAACGAAACGAATCTAGATATACTCTATGTACAGACTCGTTGTACTAGGATATGTCCCATCCTAGTATTAGGTTTGCTTTTTTTAGGACGAGGAAGTACTATATAAATAAATAGTAGTCTAAGTAAATAGAAGGACAGTCCGTGTTAAAACAGCTTGCCTCTCTGTCCGAAGACAAACAAGAGCAGGAAGAGACCACTTATTAAAATCTCAATCAATTTCAATTATTATGAAGAACCAATGGCGAACAAACTACTCCCTCCATCACATAAAAACCTAGTACCGGATTTAACACATCCTAAGACTACTTATAAGCATTTTTAGCATAGTGACAAGTCAAACATTTTCAACTTTGACTATTAATAGCAAAAAATAAAAAAAGATCAATCATGTAAAATTGATGTTACTAAAATTATCATTAAACAAACTATCATAATATGTAACTCTTTTTATTTAAAGCATCTTATTTTTATAGATATTGTTGGTCAAAGTAGTATCTTAGAGAGCATGTCTTAGCCCCCCTTAGCGGGAACCAAACTCAGCAACAGGGCTCCCTAAACCGGGGATTCATCGAAACAAACAAGCAGCAAACAGCTTTCAAAGGAAAGGGAGATAGATTGTGCCTTTCTTTCATTTATTATTTTTCTTTTCTGCAAGGTAAGGGGCCTTGAGAGTCCAAAAATACTTATATTTTAGAACAAAGGGAGTATTAGAATATGTCATGTCCAATGTTAGATTGGTTTTTTATGGGACGAAAAGAGTACTGGATGTGGTGGTTGTTGATTGATGATAGAACCCATGCTGCATCATATGCTAGCAACGATCCCAACTGCCAAACTTGTAGTCCCTACTATGGGGGTGTTTAGATCTAGGGATATAAAGTTTTAGCTTGTCACATCGGATATTATATAGAGGGGAGAAATTTGAAAATATACTTTATTTTTTTCATATTTTGCGTTTAGATACCTGGCTGTGATTAATTTACAAAAATATACCCAATCCGTGAAACGGATGCGCGAGAGCGAGGACGAACCGCAGACTAGGGATGCGGGAGCGGAACGCGAGCCGGTCGCGCGGAACCAGGATGCGCGACCGAGCCGGTCCCGCATGACTGGACTGCGGGACCCGAGTTGGTACCATGGCGCCGATGCGCGGGGGTGATGGAGCCCTTGGGATCGCGAGCAGGCACGGCGGTACCGCAGAACGGCGGCACAGGACCGGTGTTGTCCCGCGGTTCCAACACGCAGAACCGAGCAGGTCCCGTGGTCCTTCCCTTTCCGTGTGTTGTTTGAGCTGTGTTCTTCCCTCAATTTTTCCAACTCATCCACGAGCACGCTTTTTAAACTGCTAAATGATGTAATTTTTTGTAAAAAGTTTCTATACGAAAGTTATTTAAAAAAAATCATATTAATCCACTTTTGAAAAAAATAACTAATACTTAATTAATCATGTGCTAATGGCCTGCTCCGTTTTCCGTGCATAGGAGATTGGATCCAATTCGGGAACCTAGATGTGGGCGGCATGTGGGAGCGCCGGTCCCGCACATCCAGCATGCGGGAGCGTTGCGCTCACCCGTCCTGCGGGACCGGCGCAGTACCGCATCCTCGGCCTGCGGGACCGGCTCGGTCACGCTTCCTGGTTCCGCATGACCGGCTCAGGTTCCGCTCCTTCATTCCCAGTCTGCGGTTCGTCCTCGTTCCCGCGCAACCGTTCCGCAGATTGGGTATATTTTTGCAAATTAATCACAGCCAGGTATATAAACGCACAATATGAAAAAATAAAGTATATTTTCAAATTTCTTTCTTATAAAGAGTATCTACTATGGGGGTGTTTAGATTCAGAGGTGTAAAGTTTTAGCGTGTCCCCACTGGGGGGTGTTTAGATTCAAAGGTGTAAAGTTTTGACGTTTCCCTACTGCACCGGATCCTTGTCCATGCCTCTACATTGGGACAGCCTAGTAGCACTGTACCAATGAGCAGAATCAGTGTTAACTTAAGATATTAGTCCGAAATGGAAATAACATGGATGGGATAATATCAGAGAGAAGATGTCAACTCAGATATACACGGGCAGTTCAAGCCATTGTGAAGACAATTACAGGCTTAGATACATAAGAACAGTTATGCAATCAACCGGTATAATACAGGCCCAAGTTCAGGCTATCTGATAAGGAATACAAATGTTGTTTCTTTAGACAGGCCTTAAGAAAAATTGTCACTATAACAATAATCCATGCTCATTCGCCCAACAAGTGGGCATAAAATTAATAGATGCACAAAGCAAGGGGATTTGGCTTTTCTAGAGCTACCGATCTTCAGATGCCAGCATTGATAAATTGCTCTGCACTCAAGGCAAAAGAAATGCAAAAGGTTAGAGATTAAATGAGGAATTTCATTTTTGAAATGTGCAGGTATGGCAAATTAGCATTTGAATTCTTCAAAGCAGATCTTAACAGGGAGGTAACATTCAAAATGGTGAAGTGAGCATATTGACTGTTGAGAATTATCAGAAAACATGAAATTTGTGGCAAAAAGGTATAGAATAGTTTTGTCTCATAAACTTGAGTTATGAACAGAATTTTATGCAATGGTATATTACGAGTATAAAATCGCAGTGGAATAGGCATTTGTTTGGCTTTAAAAGAACATTCATTCTCCCAGGGTCTAAATTAGTCAATCTGGAAAACTATCCATATGAAGTCTTCAAAAAATCTCTGCAGGATGCTAGAATTAGCCATCTACAATATTTTAGATCATTGGTTCTCTAGAACGAACCTGAGCTCTTAGTAGGGAGGATCCGGATTAAATGCCAAGGATTCCCTCCAGATGAGTTCTTTTATATGTTCTTCAGTAAAGGATGGTTGCTCAAAATCAAAGCTGAAAGGTGCTGGGCAGGTGGGTTCTTCATTGATGTCATGAAGAGAAGCCAAGTATGGGTGATGAAGAGCCTCATCAACTGCATGGAAAAATAATGTTCAATTTACAGTAAAGGCAACAAAAGTGGAGTAGTTGGTGTAAAGTCAATGTACCAGTTATCCGTCTGCTTGGGTCAAACACCAGCATTTTCTCTAACAGATCGACTGCACCAGCAGACATGTTGCGGAAGCGCAAGCGGAAGTCCTGCCTTGGGTACTGTGGTAGCTGTTTCATGTATCTTCTTGCATTATCACTCCGAAGAAACCCTAGGCTTGAGTCATCTGGCGACCCTATCAGCTTTTGAAGAGAAAAGGGTCTGATTAATATTGATACCACTTGGGTTACAGGGATACATTTTAGAAAAGCAAAGAAAACAGAAAAAAAAATGGACCCAAAAAAAAACACATTTACATATTCAGAGTTCAAGTAATGTATCTCTTATTCAAGTACAAATAAAAAATTACGTTTATGCAGACATTAAAAGTATGCAAGCAATGAACCAGACAAGCCTTACCTCAGTGATCAATTTTAGTTGCTGAATGTAATCCCTTCCAGGAAACAGGGGTTGACGAGTCACAATTTCACCAAGTATGCATCCAACTGACCAGACATCAATAGCAGCAGTATACTGCGAGCAGTTCAACAGCAGCTCTGGTGCTCGATACCAACGAGTGACCACATACTCTGTCATGAGGTCAGTCTCCGTAGTGGTTCTTGCAAGCCCAAAATCAGCAATCTTGAGATCACAATTTGCATTAAGGAACAAATTGCTTGGCTTCAGATCACGGTGCAAGACATTTGCCGAGTGCACATATTTTAGCCCTCGTAGCAACTGGTACAGGAAGTACTGCAATGCAAAACATGTCACTTGTGATTATTAAACCAGATAAACAAGAGAATGTTAAGCTGAAATATGGATAGGATGAAGAAAACATATAGCGACCAAAGGAACAAGGTGCATGGAAATCTCTGTCTAGATTTTCTGCAAGCAAAATGTTTCAGCAAAGCACAAGCTGGAAGCAACAAACCTGGCAGTGGTCATCAGTCAATGGTTGATTTGAGCGTATGATCTGATGGAGATCAGTATCCATCAACTCAGAAACAATGTAAACATCATTAAAGTTGTCTCTTCTTGGGGGGCGAATTATGTCCTTTATGGCAATAATCTGTGATCCAGTGTTAAAATCACCATCAGACTATATGATATAAATGTGTGAGTCAAAAATGTATCACACGCTCTTGACCGCCCAACAAAAAAAAAAGGAAATAACAGAAAGTGAAAACCACATTCCAGTTTGTATGTTTAAATAAAGCAAACAAAACTACCTGTAGAGATAGAAACCTAATAAACATATGGTGTCAGCTGAGCCCAAGGTTACTCCTTATGTACAACATCCTGGCTTGGATCTGGCACTACTATGACTTAGTAATGAAACGACTAAAGATGAAGTATTCCACTTGTAGCATAGCAGTTCTTTGTAAGTATAAGAGTGTTGACATCCCCTACGGCCCACATGAGTGCAAGGTTGTTAAATCGTAAAGTCGAGTTGAGTCATCCCTCTGCTGACTTGCCCGACTAGTTGTGGCTAGTTAGGACTATTGTTCTGGTTGACTGGTCTATTAGACCATTACAACATATATATACCGATTGCCTCTACTGTTAATCTGTTTGCCTCTCCTCTCTGTTTCACTCATTAACAATGGGCCCGATGCACCAGGCCTCCCAAGCGAGGCCCAATTTGCTCAATAGTGGCTCATTGATGCTGCCCTTACTCCATAGCATCTTCTGCTGCCAACAAGTTAAGTCATGCCCCTTGGATGACTTGTCGACTAGTCCAACTAGTCACACAACTTGATAGCAGAGTATGAGTGAAGCAATGAGTGGAATATAAGGGATAGGATGATCTTTCAGTGGAGTACAATTAATCTATCATAACCAATAATAGCAATTAGTAATGCACTCTTTACAAGCAAGTAAGTAACTACAGAAAGGTCTAAAGTGTTGCTGCCGCTTTTCTAACAAATTATGGAATATGGTGTTTGCACTCGAAAAATGTCCTTAGGAAAAGTTAGTTACCAATGTAAACTAAATGTAAATCACACCCAATAAATTACCTAATAGTGGTAAGGCCAAGTTCGATCAATAATCACTAGGAATGTCGAAAACCAATTTAAACAAACAGCTCTTACATTCTCGTGGTCCATGTGGCGAAGCAGCTTGATTTCTCTCAGTGTCCGCTTGGCATCGATATGGTTGTCGAATGCATTGCCAATCTTCTTGATGGCAACTTCCTCGCCGTTCTCCGAGTTAACAGCCGCGCTACAAATAGGAAAAACAAAATTACTACTACAATATAATCACATCTACTCAAGCAGTCAAACCATAACATTTTTGGGCCGCCGTGACCCATTTCCCCCACACATCCTTATGCCTAAAACACAACATCCGGAGCCAAATCTACGCGATGTGTCACGAACACATAAACGCCCTCGCGAATTTTCGAACAAAAATAGCAACTCGGATTCGCTATTAATTAGTAAACCCACACGCATAACTCGGGAGGGGAGGGGAGGGCGAGGCAAACGCACCAGACAATGCCGTAGGCGCCCCGGCCGATGGGGCGGATGGGAGGGGCGTACTTGGAGGAGACCTCGAAGAAGTTCCCGTACACGTTGTACAGCACGTAGCGGCCCCCGTGCGTCCCCATCCCCTTGATCTGCGCGCCGCCGCCGCCGCCCGCGCCGCCGGAGGAGGAATCCATGGCCGCCGCCGCTCGCGGGGAGGACGAGGTGGAGGGGGAGGGGAGGAGGCGTAGGGTTTGGCTCTTGGTCGCCGCGACTAGTCGTTGATGGGAGTAGGAGGAGGAGGAGGAGGACTATGGTGGGAGAAGCTTCCCCCTCTTTTTGACTCGGGCGGCGACCGCGGAATGGGGATCGGAGCGAGGCGGAGGCGGCGACGGACGGTGTTGCGGCCTTGCGGGAAAGGGATGCGGGTGCGGGTCAATCAAAGGGTGATCACACCCAAACACAACCAGGTTTGCAATTTCGGTTTTTTTATTTATGTTGGGGCGTCAAAATATCTTTGGAAATTTCGGATTTTTTTGGAACAATTTTTTCTTCTGAATTTTAAATATTTTTTTAAAAAGTTTTTTTAAATAAACTTCGGACAAAGTAGTGTCGGGCTGTGGGTGGGTGGGGGAATTGTAAACATGACATCGATCCGGTCGAGGTCCCGGGTCACCGGTATATTTTAAAAATAATTAGATTGAATATATTTGTATATACTTTCAAAATAAAAAAGACTTTAGTTAGAAAACGCGTAGACATCAACATGCTGATAACGCGTAGACATCTAGAAATATGCGTTATCAAAATCAATCCATTCATCGACCTGGTGGAGATTTCGGGCCACCGACCTGATGTCGAATCCTCGAGCCGCCAGTTGAATGACACACTTTAAAAATATATTTAATGTATTTATATATATATATATATATATATATATATATATATATATATATGTCTTAAGAAGACGTATTTTAGCTATAAAACTGTAACATCCCGGCCTAGGGCTTAATAGGATTAATAGAATACTCATATCAACAAGTTGCAACTTCTTGCCTGGAGCAATTTGGGATGGGTGACCGACCGGGAAATTCTTCCCGGGTGTACACGAGTGAGGACAAAGTGTGCAGAAAAGACATGTGTTGGTCTGTGAGGACAGTCTATGACCTATGAAAGCTGCCAGATGTAAGTGGGCCCGGCCTGGGGGAGGCGGGACGTTACAAAAACGTGTACACAAACCAAGAAATATGTAAATGTTAATTCAAAACCAATATCAAGTAATAAAAGTAGTTACAACTAATAGTTTAAGATAAATGGTACTACGAACTACAAAGTTAAAAATGTAATCAATATCAACATGGTGAAGGCATGAAGAATAAATTATTATTTCAAAAAGAAGGACAAAGGAAACGTATTTTAGGCTCAAACCGTTAGGAGAGCAACATATTGGTAACCATTATAACACATTTACATATTTTAGCCTCAAACTGTAGCATTTCTAAATCTCGCAGATATTTGATTGCTGCTTCACGAGCTTTTCGTCCCAAGCCGGGTTTTCCCATGTTTATCGATGGCCTAATACTACCAATCTATATAGCATTTAAGTTATGCTAACTTTTTAATTCACCCTCAGAATTGTTAAACTAGACTAGCTTTTTAGTTCAATTAATCTTATCTCATTAGCATTTTAATTGCACAACTTTTTTTCACCACCAAACCTCTACTTAATTACAACACAAAGAAAGTGCCAGTTAATGTTCGTTGTTTGGTCCATGTGTGTGTTGTGCAATGGAGTGGCTTACTAATAACAAGGCTCATAGAGAGGTGCCCAGAGGCATTATGCTCGATTACTCAAAGAAGGTAATTAACAGAGCCATCAACCTTGTGTAGTGCCTCAGCAGCTCAGCTTCTGCCATCCATGCTAAACTCCGAGAGCTCACTCCAATAGCAAATTGCTAAACCCAAGCAGCGAGTGGGCATTAATATGGGGAACTACTCCCGCCATTCTTTTTTACTAGTCGTTTAAGAAATTGACATGTTCCAGTAAACATGTTTGGTTATTACCTTTTCTAGTCATATATTTATAAAAAAAATGTAAAGTACATAACTAAATGGAAGTGTTTTTTAAGACAAATCTATTGATTGATACCATGTTCACATATCAAATATTAGGGAAATGCTATAGGATAGTATCATGTTTGAACGGGATGATACCTCAGAGGTATCGCCTGATACCTGGTATCAGCCGATATCTACCAGGTATCAGGCGATACCTTAAAGGTATCATACCGTTCAAACGGGATATTAGCTGATACCTATGGTTGTAGCTAGAACTCAAATGATCTATCTCCCAAGATGGCAAGGTGGCCAATGATGCTAGGTTAGAGGTGATAAAGTGTTTCAGAGGAGAAACTGATATGGCGAAAATGATAATTAGTAGATTCGCCTTGAAAACACTTTCATTATGTACTTTACATTTTTTTATAAATATATGACTAGAACAACAAGTATTTTAGAGACCATGTTAATATACTCAACAACAAGAAAAAAGAACGGGGTGATAGTTCTCGATTCTAGGATTGTCTAGCTCCTTCTTGAGTTTGGCGCTTGCAATTGGAGCAAGAACTTAAGAGTTTAACATTCTCTTCTACTCCTACTAGCTAGCCTTGAGCATGTCAATGACTCATGTCGAGATGTTTTTAGCCTCCTAATGGATGACCATGCCACAGCATCTGTCTCGTCGATGTAGTACACCACGACACAAGCCAGAAACACCACACAAGATTGATAGCTCTGTTATGTGTTTGGATGGATCATGTGAGGAGAAAATAGTGAATTTTTATTATGAGTTGGTAATGTTTACTCGATTTGACTGACCGGTTTCCTTCTTGCTTTGACATAAGTCATAGGTTGAGCCCAAATAAATGTGGAACACATATTTAAGTAGTGGATTATATTGGAGTAAGTGTGGAACGAATCGATCGACACATAAATTTGCACTGTTTATCTCTGTAGAATGCTCTAAATGGTTAATTATATTAGTGAGTGACAATAAAATCTTCAATGAAATGGACATTTTAAAGAAACAGAAAAAGAAAAATGCCCACATATTGAACCCAAACGGCCAAACCTAACCAATAGTACGTCCTAGTCATGTGTGAGGTCCAGGCATAGCACATTTGCAAAAGTCAACCGGTCAGCTTCTGAGCATAATTCCCTCTCTGACGGGGCAATCTGCTGAACCTTTTGTTGGGTATAGCGTCAGGGCCTGACGATACGTACTACTGAGCCACTCATTTTCTTCAGAGGTCGCCTTCACATATGAATGTGTGATTCGTGTGCGAAAGCGGCAGTGTCTGAACCCGCAAGTAATCTGAAACCACGAGAGGTAGACTTTAGGATAGCCTTAGCAAATTATCAGTAAGGCAGCTCATTTATTATCTAAAAAGTTCACTGGGTCAGCAACGTATGATCGTGGTACGGACAAAGGAAAGAACATCACAGCTGTAGCATTACATTAAGCGGCAACGTACGCGTTACCGAAGCTAGGCAGAGATATACATCTTTTAGGGTTGGAATTGTGTTTTTAAAAGCATTGCCTTTAAATTAGGTGATATATCACATTCACTCCACATCGTGTGGAATTAATTGTGTTGATTGTCAACTTTCCCAATCTATATAAAAGAAGTCTCGCTATCAATGTATATTTTTAAGGTAGTCCTGTCGATACCTACAGTTCAATGTTCAAGTTTTTCTAGAGGTAACTCAATGTACAAGTCAAACATTAACAATGCACAATGCTAAAGCCCTAGGCCGCCCCAGGCACCCAGCCCAGCCCAGCCCACAGTAAGCTCCATCTCATTTAATTTTTTTCAAGGAAGAGAAAGCTTTATCGATCATTCAATGCCCAGTGTACAATCATGGGCAAGCAATTCTCTAATACACAGGGGGAATTGCATAAGCCACACCGCACACGGTGTTTTGTACGCATTGTAAGTTGAGCTAGTTCATGAGCTACTTTATTACATTCTCTTCCAATTTCTCGACTCGGAACGATGGTAGTAACGCAGATGCCGATCTTGTTTGGCATAGCCTTGATTTATCCTCTCTTGGTGACACCAAAGAGGAGACAACGTTAGCGCAGTTACTCTCTATTATACCATACTATTATTGCCGTGTTCATCTTATCTACCTTTAATTATACATTTTTCTCCATGGTATCGCATATTATCCTCTTCTTCTTTCTTCTTCTTCTTCTTTTTTCTTTTTTTTTATTTACTTTTGAACCCTTACGTGTTGAAAAAAAGCCCGCCATTACCATGCTTTTGAACCCGGACCTCTCTCCCTCTATTTGTAAACACAAATAAAATCCTAAATCATTTCCATTGCTCGATCCGTGTATGTAATGCAACGACATGGCTTACCAATAACACAGTTGTAGGCGACGCTCAAGAGGCATCATGTTGGATTACTCAAGAGGGTAACATAGCTATCAACTTAAAACCTTGTTTAGTGTTTCAAATGGTTGTGGTGTACAACACCGACAAGACAGATCTAGTGGCATGGCCGTCTATTCATGAGGCCAAAAGCATTTGGATGAAAGTTATGGACACGCCCGAGGATAACCTGCAAAAAAAAGATGCTAATTAAGCTTTGATCTTACTCTAATGGTAGTGTTTTTTTGTAAGTCGTATATTTGAAAATAAAATGTGAAGTACAGTACACAACTGTTTTCATGACGAATCTACTATAATATCATTTGCATATATTGTTGATTGATTTTTTTTTAAAGATCTTATGACATCTAACTGAATGTGAAGTACATGCATGCATCGAAGGATGGCATCTAGTATTTGTGAATAATAGAATGGGTGTAATCATCCTAGATGCCATCCAAAACCTAGATGATCTAACAATGTCGAGTTCAAGGTGGCCCTTCAGTGGTCAAGAGGGATGTAAATGAGTAAGCCGCGAACCTACTTATCGGTCAAAATAAAAAGGTTTACAGCTTATTTTAACATATAAGTAGGTTTCACAGGTTAACCACTTGGACCCGCTCACGGCACCACAAAGTGCAAATAGTAGCACGGTTTTGATTTGAATGAACCTGTACTATTGATTATAAGCCCGTCTTGAGCGGAAGCTCTCCCTTGCAAAGTGGTTTCAGTCGCAAGCTAAGGTCTGACTGAAAATTATAAAATTTCAAAGCAAGGATATTTATGCGGTTTTCCATTATGAGGAGAAAAAAAATGTCCATTTGCTTTAGGTCGCGTTACACCAATATATGTTATAATTGTTTGTGAAATTGTACGTGTTTTAAATAATAGTTAAAAGTGTACTAATGCTTGTCTTTATAGCAGGTGAATAGGTCATACATCACATTCGTACCAAATGATGGTGTGGAATTGACGAATTGTATGGATTGTCAAACTTCTGTGATGTGTACTGTATAAAAGAAGTCTCACAGTTGACGTGTAATTTTAGGTAGTGCTTTCGATGAGTCTTCTTATGTAGGTTAACATACCACGATATTCAAATTTTGTAAGAGACAACTCAATGTGCACTTGGAGGTAATTATATACTCTTGCTACTACGAACATACTCTCTTCGTTCAATAAAAAACAAACTCAACATAAAATCAATATAAAATATGACATATAATATATACTGAGTTTGTTTTTTATATAACGAAAGAAGCGTAGTACAAGCATTCACACCATACGCACATATAGGAAGAGACTGTGGTCTTGTCCTTTTCTTCAACAAAAATTGGATAAAATTTTGGATACTCGTGGCACGCTTTTCAAACTATTAGACGGTACATTTCGTGCGAAAACTTTATATACGAAAGTTGCTCTAAAATATCAAATTAATATATTTTTCAAGTTTATAATAATTAAAACTTAATTAACTAGTAACTTAACGTGCTAAAGCTACGGTAACATTCGGTAAATGTCAACCTTCACAGGCAAATAAGGATTTTATCCCATAACATTTGAATAAATAATAAGTTATTAAACTTACATTTTCATTCATAAATAAAATGAGTTAGGTAAAAGTTAACTAAAAAACCGCAATATCCATCCATCGAGGTGACAGAAAGACAAATACAAAAATAGAAATACATTCTCAAGCTCAAAGTCTCAAACCCGCAAGACCATCGGAAACATAGATGCAATCCAATGATCCATAGTCTGCCAGGCTACACGCTATCTACTCCCCTCTTCACATCACTTTCAGCAATGCACACATATATGATGGGAAATGAGAAAGTGGAGTTACAAATAGATTTCAACCGATTCCAGCAGCATATCCAAATTACAGATTCATCAGGGAAAAAAAAAAGGATTCAAGGGCCTGTCTTGCTCACAATTTCCATCATAGGAGCAACTTCTTCTGGCCACAGCATACATCATACCCTCTTCACTCCATGTTTGCCTTCCTCACCGGGCTTTCTGTTCATCCACCGTGGCAAAACATACCTCCGATCTTTCACTTTTCAAACAAATATTGTTCATGAGAACAAGAAATGCATAATTCACACTGCCTGATTAAAGTTGTCATCAGAGGAGTTGAGTTCCAAATTAGAACGATCCTCGTACTCACAGATATTACAACCATTTTGTAACTCTCACTGATATCATGTTAGGACTCCGTTTTAGGTCAGAACAATTCTTCTACTCAAATATTTTATACAAAATTTAGCCCTAATTAGAAAGAGTTATTACTACAATTTTTTCAAATCAATCTCTAAATAAAATGACCCTCACCTGAAATGAAAGAAAGTATATGCATAAAGATGAGATATAATTCAAAGTTCAAACCTGACTGGTCAAAGTTTTCAATCAGAGGAGTGCGCTTCAAATTATAACATGTTCGGTACTCACATATTCTACAATTTTTTTAACTCACTGATCAAGCTCTAAACCAGAGGGCTCTGTTTCAAATTAGAACAATTCTGTTAATCATAGATTTTGTACAAAAGATTAGCCCTAATCAGGAAGAGTTATTATTCCTTGCATGGTTATAAATAAATATGGCCAAAAAAACTATGTGGTACTTCAATAGTGCTGTAGAAATGCTTCAAAAGGGAAGGTTCATACCTTATCACAGATTTCCCAATTACTCCCATATCAAGTTATCAACCATATACATCCAATGATATGCAAATTGCAAACCTGCGCACATTCAGATAACCAACCTGGAATAGCAATATGCCTATCTTCATTGAGATTTGAGTCATTGATCATGCAGGAAACAATGTATCTGAATAGAAAGAACCAAACTCAGTTTCACTAACTGCAAACAAAAGTAGCATGAACTGATCAAGGCCAACTGCATAGTACTAAATTCACCAAAACAAAAAGGAAAACTGCAGCATGATAGTATTCATTAAGCAGGATATCCATTCCACGTGCAGTAGGCAAAAATAAGCAAAAAAAAAATCAAATTCAAAATTCTAGAGCTTATAACTGGATATCTTATATAGAGCAATTTATTTGGGCAAGGAATAAAGAACAGAGAGTTGCACACGTCTGAAATGATAAAACTCACTGGACCTTACTATGCAGTGTCCATGTAAAAGGCTGTTTCAGGGAGAGCCTTGACCTAGCTGCAATCTAGTGGTACTCTTTTCATGCAAAAATCCTAATCCTAAGAACCAAAATACCAATAAAATCTTGGATTTAATTCCTAGGATAATTTATCTTACTTCAGATGTGAAGTAACTGTAAGCATGGATTTAGATTTTAATCTGACATTGTCCTAACTGTACATGTACTTCAAGATGTCATTAATCAAGGACTGCACAAAATCATTAAATTGCATGGTATTGGTGATAGACAAATTTGCTGTACCATATATCTATAATCATCATTCCTGTACATCTTACCAATGCTTCCCATATTATCAGTAATCAACAGTATAAAATAGGTTGTGAATATCTGAAAATATAATACATAAAGCACAATAGAAAACCTTCAGGAAAAGTTTATTTGAGTAGTATTACATATATTTTGATCTATTAAGATGTGAGATTTGTGTCAAGTTTCATAAGTTTCATATATTTTCAGCAAATATACCACTGGAGAATTGATAACAGGAATTATTGTAACTATAAATGAATGACAGTCCAGCTACTCTAATGACATGTGAACCCAAATGGCATGTAATTCTGAACATACATACATTAGCACAACTTGAAAAGAAAAAAAATGAATCGATCGTTGCTATCTCAGGCTAGATCAAGTCCTAATAATTTTTAGTCATGGATACCAAATGAACGGGATGAAAACATTGATTTTATTTGCACAGTTTGTACTACACTTTAACCATCAGAAAAACAAACACCTCGGAGAAACTTGACAACACTTCAATCAGGGGAGAAGGATGCGGCGACAACAAATTGGGGATCGGCGCCGACTGAACCCCGCGGCGCTCCCGACGACGAGAGGGAATCGGCGACGTGACGGCGCGACGGAGGCGGGGGATCGGCAAGAACGGGGCAGAGGAGATGCGGGATCAGCGACGGCGACTTAATTAATTATATGTTAATATCACCTTATTTTATGTAAAACACTTAATTTTTATCTATATCTTTATTTTCATGAGAAAAAAACGCCACCCGTGTCTTCGGTGCTCCGTAACACGCGTGGGCATTATTTTGAACAAAATCAAACTTAATCCAACTGTGGGATTAGCTAAATTACAAGGAAGCCCATTAAGGCCCATAAACGCATGGACTTTTGCAGGACAAACTACTCTATGGCAATCTCGTTAGTCGTTACATATGGAAACAAGGAAGCATATTACAAGAAAAAAATTAGAGAGCAGTTGTTTTTTTAGGAGTAGCTATATTTATGGCGCCATATTTTTCACCAAAAAATAGTCTGCATGCATTTACCTTGTAAGTTCCTAAATTACATATGTAATTTTAGTGTATTTACAATATAAGTCTTGAAATTACATATGTAAGTATTAATTTTAGTGTATTTACAATGTAAGTACCAAAATTACATATGTAAGTCCTAAATTATACATGTGTAATTATTGTGTAAATAGAGTAATTACATTCGCTGATGACCAACACATGTCATGCAAAGAAAAAGGAGTCGCGAACTTAGAAGCAAGTTGTTCGATCAACTTATCAGATGTACTTTGCACGAATCATGAAGAAGATTAGATGGTAGATCGTCAAACTGACTGTATTTAGCCTAGAAATATGTTGACATAATTTTAGCAAAGCCGTTTTTTTTTCTTGTCCTTTTTTTTGGACTATGGGTCATTAGATCATGTGCTCTGATGACCTGCAGGCATCGTTGTATTTTTACCCTAGTGAAGGAAGATACCAATGGTTTTGATAATTTGATATCCTTCCTGCCTACCATGATCAGCGCTGAAACTGGCAGATACATATCGCCGTCACATGTATCTGAACCAGAGGAGAAAGATAACATGATGCACATTCCAAAAAAAAAAAGTTAACTCTGATAAAAGAAACAGTCAGTCACCCAACTAAGAGCAGGTACAATAAGCTACGAAAGCTGGCGATAAAAATGCCACGTTGGCTTGGACGCTGAGCTAGCGCAGAGAGAAGAGCGAAAAGAGAATAAGCCGGCGACTAAACAATCGCCGGGTTGCACACACAACCCGAGAGAAGTGGGCCCACTGTTGTGCACTGCAAGGGCTGATAATCATAGTCATTGGCCCAGAAAAGTAAAGGAGGAGAGAGGGTATGATGATTAAAGAATAAAATAGTATCCTGTGGACTGATGAGCAGATATGTTACAGCCTATTTATTGTGCATGTTAGCTGTTAGTTTGATTCTAACTGACGTGGGAAAAATTATCGCCAGCAGCAGGCGCTATTATTAAACCTGCTCTAATCCTTTGTTCCAATTGTGATCAGGACAGCGGCAGATCACACTCACATGCATTCTCGGATCATTGATACCTTTTCTCTTCCCAACCGTAATAACTGTCAGGAATCTCACACTCCAACTGCCGCAACCACCGTCATTGACCTGCCAATACGGCAAGATACAAATATACTAGTATTATACTACATGAACACGTATCGTCTGGTCCAGATTACTCCCTGCCTCTCTTAAACTAATGGATTATTCCTCTTCTATTAACAAAAGGACAGATTAAGTATCGGCACTCTACACAGTACATACACCGACAGCTATCTACATCAAAATAAACATAAAATCAGGAAAAGCCAAAACAAAAGCGATCGAAAATGGTAGCAGCAGGCTAGTAGTAGCTCTCATGGCATGTGCAGTACTCTCGCTCTCATCTGATGGCGTCCATGGCCTCCTTCCTCTTGATCCTCTTCTTGATCTCCTTGTCCAGCTCCTCAGTCCCACCCACCTCCTCCAACTCCTAAAATCCAAAATCATCACGAATTTCAGCACAAACAATCAAATTCGCTAACAAATTTGCGCCGTGAGCAATCGAAAAATCAAACCCATTTTACAATTCACTGCATTTTAAAGATGCCTCTATTCCACAGCCATAGCTGCCACAACTGCTGCGGCTACGACAGTTCGAAGTGGTTGCAAGCTATAGCAATTTTAAACTGTTGTAGCTGCTACTACTGCTACAGAAACAACTTCCAAACACAATGCAAAGAGAATCACTAACCTTGGGTCCGAGGAACAGGCCGTAGGGCACGCCTTCGAACTTGTCCGTGTGATGTATCTACACAAGAAAGAAACCAGACATAGTAGGCATCATCAAACAACAGGTTCTCGGAGCGACGACATGTCACCTGCCCAAGTGGCAGCTGACGAGGCGTCGTTGTACGTGTGGCTGGGAGTATTTTTACCTGGTGGGCGGCAGCAACTCGGCGGAAGTAGGGCACGTTCTCGATGGGCCCCACGGGGAAGCGCCGGTGGACCAGGCCGTCGTGGACGAACATGTACGCCATCCCGAACAGCGTAATCCCAAGCCCCTGTTGCGCGCGGCCACGTCAGCGCCAACCACGTGACACGTCACCCATCAGACGATAAAGAAGAGCCTCAAAACGGATACGCCCCCGACCACGACGTGACAGCCAGAGAAGGCTTTTTTTTTTCTTTTTAACTCCTGGTACTTTCCAGTTAAGTAATGTAACTGCTACCTCCCTCTTCAAATAAGTATAATAAGGAGTATCTGTGTCTAACTTTTAACTATCTATTTTTTTATAAAAAATTAATCGCATATAAAATGATTTTCATATTTTATCAGCTAATAATATTATTATTATTAATTATAAGAAATTTTCAAATAAGATAAACATTCGAATGTTGAGTATAAACATTATAAAACTACGGAGGAAGTAGTATGTTACTGTGAGGAGGAGAGTTATTTACCGCGCCGAAGCAGAGGCCGGGGAGGAGGCCGCGGTTGAGGAGGCCGTAGGCGAGGAGGGAGATGGCCGGGGCGGCGTTGGCGATGGCGAAGACGTCGTTGAGCTCGAACGGGCCGTCGCGCGGGCGGTGGTGCGACTCGTGCATGTGCCACAGCGACGCGTGCCACAGCGCCCGGTGCGCCCACCGCGCCCAGAACTCCATCCCCACCGCCGCCCCCACCGACAACGCGAACGTGCCGACCATCTCCGTCGCCGGAACGTCGCCGCCGCCGGCCTGCACCAAGAAACAATGCGCGTGTCACCTTAGATGACGGCGGCGAGCTAGGCCGAGAGTACGAACCTCCATTTGCCAGGCGAAGCGGTAGTAGACGGCGGCGGCGGCCATGGACGTGAACCCGAGGCTGGACATCACCGCCGCCACCAGGTACGTGCGCCGCTCCGACCGCTTCCTCGCCGCGCGCCGGGCGACCGCGTCCTCCTCCACCACCGCCACCACCGCATCCTCCTCGCCGCCGACACCCGCCCCGTCTCCCAGGACGGCGCGTGTGGGCGCCGCCACGGCGCGGCGGCCGGCGACGATGGGCCGCAGCCGCGGCACCGCCGACGGCGAGACGCGGGCGGTGCGGCCGAGGAGGACGGCGGGGGTGATGACCACCAGCCTCGCGACGGCCATGTACGAATGCGGAACGCGCGGTGCGCGCGCGCGCGCGCGGCCGTGCGAATCGCGAGTTGTTGACCAGTGGACAGACGCGAGCCGGGGACGACGCGGGCGGCGAGTGAGCCTTGGCTCCGCTCGTCATGGTCCCCGTTATATGAGCGGGCGTAACGAAGCGTGGCCCCGCGGCGTGGGTCGCCCGTGTCAGCGCGTGCCACCTCGGCCAGGTGGTTTGCCCATCGTGACGGTAAAAATGTGGCTCTGTACACGGCCCGAAACTTCACCGACCTGAGTAACCTGGCGCGGTGCAAATTCGATCAGCACACATGTCACACCGCAGAGCGCATATTTCACGTAAGTTTTATACTCCCTCTGTCCTATTATGATTTAACTTACACTCCCTCTGTCCTACTATGATTTAAGAGATGTAACATATTCCTATATTATGAGACGGAGAAAGTACAAGTCTAGTTTTTTCGATCGTAAGTTCATGGCTCACGTGTCACACTTGGTTAATTTATGCACGCTTTTCCGGTTAAGCGTGTCCACTCTCAGACCTTTCCACTGTCCCGTCGTGCAAAGATACGTCTCGGGAACAATTGGACGCGAGCGGAATGGCGTGTAGTGAGAAAGGTAGTAGTACAATCTCGCCATGCTCCGGTCGAGTTCTGCCGTGCAAGTCCCAAGCGCGCGAGGGTCCACGTGTTGCCGCCGGCGGGGCACTGCCGTCGCCGTCCCACGATCTCCCATATGCCGCCCACGCCCTCATGTTTCCTCGTTGCACTTCACTCCGCCGCGCGCCGTGGCCCCGTGTGGGCGCATCAGAGCAAGTTTAATAGTATAGCCAACTATTAGCTTCAATTAATCTATAGCTAATCTAATAATTTATTCATACAATAGTTATATACTACACTATTAATATCTGGTCCCACCACCTGTCATACACATACTATGTCTTGGAGTCCGTGCTACAGCTGGCTATAAATATATAGCCCGCTACTCTTCTCTCTTCTTATTTATCTTCTTAAAATATGTTTGTAGCTGTTTTATAGCATGCTATTGTTCCTGCTCTCAGCTCATGCCAACCAAATGAAGCATTCCGGCCACAGCGATCCCAAATATCTCCGTGTCCTGTACTTTCTGTCATTCTGTGCGTGAAAATCTTCGTGGTGAACAGTGCGATGGATTGGTGTCTGCCTGTGCCTGCCACCGCAGCCGCGTACTAGTAGTACTAGCTACTCCCTCCGTCCGACAAACCTGGATTTCCGTGTCCAATGTTGACCATCCATCTTATTTAAAAAAAATTAAAAAAACAAGTCACGCATAAAGTATTAATCATGTTTTATCATCTAACAACAATGAAAATACTAATTATAAATAATTTCATATAAGACGGACAATTAAACGTTAGATACGGAAACTCAAGATTTATTTTTTTTTTGGACGGAAGAAGTAGCTCGAGGAATTGACATGGGACACCTGGTGAAGTGGTGATGTCGTGACGTGGATGGGAGATTGGAAATCGGGAAAGGGAATGTTTGCCAGTGTCTTACCCATATTCCTTAATAGAAAATAAAAATTACTTTATATATAAAACTTTTATATATTAGTTAGTAGCGTAATATACATTGAAAAATTTAAATTTAAATTTTTGTTTTGACTTATTAGGCTAGCCGATGAGGCTATCAGATTTTTTTTTCCTCTTCCGTTGATCGACTGAAGAGCAAACGGAAGGAATCGACGTGTATAAATGGAAGAGGAAAGTTCATCACCGGTCCCTAAACTTATATCGCTGTGTCATCTGGTCTCTAAACTCGCAAATCGACCGTTTAGGTACTCAAACTTGTTCGACTGTGTCATCCCGTTCCCTAAACTTGCAGATCACTCGTTTAGCTCCTCCAACTTGTTCAGTTGTGTCACCCCGGTCCCTAAACTTGGATTTGAATATCATCTAGGTTAAATAGAATGGTCTAAAGACTTTATATTTAAAAATAATTCATAATTTTTTCATGTGAACTCTAATGAAGACAAACTTTATATCAAACTTGTAGCCCTCGATGCGATCTACAACTTTCTAGTTGATTTTTTTTATTTTAAGTCATTTTTTGTCCCAAAATGTAATTTTAAAAATAAAATTTCAAAATCTATAAACATGCAATAATATTTTGGGGCCCTAAACAGTTTTAATTCAAAAACTTTTCAACTACAAAGTTGTAGGTCGCGTTTAGGGCTACAATTTTGATATAAAGTTTGTCTTCATTAGAGTTCATATGAAAAAGTTATGAATTATTTTTTGATATAAAGTTTTTAGACCGTCCTGTTTAGGGACCGGGGTGACACAACTGAACAAGTTGGAGGACCTAAACGAGTGATCTACAAGTTTAGAAACCGAGATGACATAATCGAACAAGTTTGAGGACCTGAACGGTCGATTTGCGAGTTTAGGAACCGGGATGACACAGCGGTACAAGTTTAGGGACCGGTGATGAACTTTACTCTAAAGGGAAGAGTAAGATGATTTTCCCTTGAAGATGACTCCATGGCAGAATAATTCTCGATGGGATGCAAAGCCGGCTTGCCCACCTTGCATTATTGGCTTATTGCGTGTATCGTATTTTTGGCGTGGAAGGTGGATTGAAAACAAGAATATGCAGATTCGTCAACCAATATATACATTGCATCGACAAGTTATTCCAAGCTGCGGAAATACCATGGTCAGTTCATCGAACCTGCAAACACAAACACCATGCTTAATTCATCGAACCTGCAAACAGAAACAGTACGGTGAGTTCCGATGAACCCATTTCGTGGACTTTTGAACATTCGAATAAGTGAATATGAGGGCGTAAGAAACAAAAGGAAAAATGGTGAGTTCCAATGAACCCATTTGGTGGACATTTCAACTTTTGAATAAGTGAATATGAACCCTAAAAAAAGATGTATCTCGCGGCCTTTTGAACTTCTTAATAAGTGAATATGTCATCGTAAAAAATAAAAAAACTATGGTGAGTTCCCAGGAACCCATTTGGTGGACATTTGAACTTGAATAAGTGAATGTGAGAAAAAAATGAACTTGAACTTGAATAAGTCACTTGGTGGACATTTAAAACATTTGGACTTGAATAAGTGAATGTCATTTGGTGGACATTTGAACTTGAATAAGTGAATGTGAGAAAAAAAAAACAAAAATAATTTGTGGCTGCTGGGATTCTTTGGTGGACATTTGAACTTGAATAAGTTAATGTGAGAAAAAAAATGAACTTGAACTTGAATAAGTCATTTGGTGGACATTTAAAACATTTGGACTTGAATAAGTGAATGTGGGAAAAAAATCAAAAATAATTTGTGGAAAAAGTGAATGTCATTTGGTGGACAATTGAACTAGAATAAGTGAATGTGGGAAAAAATCAAAAATAATTTGTGGCTGCTGGGATTCGAGCCCAGGTCTCCACGGCCACAACGTGGAATTCTCACCACTAAACTACAGCCACTTTGTTGGTACAGGTTGGATACTAAACTCTATAACCAAATAACTTCCTACTTCTACAAACGTATATGTAATCCTGTTGTTGTATGGTACTACTCTTGCCACCGAAGCTAAAAACCAATCAGCAAATATTGAATGTGATGAGGGTGTGGGACTTTTATAAATCTGCTGATCCTCTTATGGATCAATTGGATTCGTCAGTAATCACCATGTTCAAGACTTATAAATCTGCTGATCCTCCGATGGATCAATTGGATTCGTCAGTAATCACCATGTTCAGTATACAATTCAGGATCGTATTCTAGTCTATCTATATATCTATTATATTATTATAAAACAGCTTTGAAAAAAACACCACGTTCGCTGTGGGGGCTAGAAATTCGCACATTAATCGGAGAAAAAGAAAAGGTGAGTCCAAGTAGAAATACAATTCAAAAATAACTGAAATTCGGAATTAAAAATAAGTAATATTGAAAGAAGTGTCTATATAAGAACCCAATACGAGATTAATCAAAATTCAGAATTAAAATAAAATAAAATCCAAAATTAGAAAATAAAATGAGAGTCCATGTATAGGAATATAATTTAAAAATAACTAAAATTCAGAATTAAAAATAAGAAATATTAGGAGAAGAGTCCATATAAGAACCCAATACGAGATTAGTTAATATTCGGAATAAAAATAAAATAAAATCCAAAATTAGCAAAAACAAAAGAAGAGTTCAAGTAGGAATAAAATTCAAAATTAACTGAAATTCGGAATTAAAAATAAGCAATATTGAAAGAAGAATCTATATTAGAACCCAATACGAGATTAATTAAAATTCAGACTAAAAAAATAAAATAATATCCAAAATTAGAAAAATTAAAAGAGAGTTCAAGTAGAAATACAATTTAAAAACAACTGAAATTCAAAAATAAAAATAAAAATATTAAAAGAACACTATACGGTATTAAATAAAATTTTTAAAACATAAATTATGAAATTAGAAAAAGAACAAAGATTTCAATTAGGGATATAATTTATAAATAACTAAAATTGGTGATAAAAATAAAGACTATTGAAAAAAAAGACCATCTAAAACACACGATGAGATAACTTAAGTAACAAGTATATAAAAGAGTAGAGTGGTCGCGGTTGATACGACATATAAAAACTGTTAGTAAAACACCAAATAGAATCCTAATGATGATTAAAAGGAGGGACGACAGGCAGGCCGTGAAGCAAACGGGTAAGGCGGTGGCCGGGACTTTTAGAAAGTAAAAAAATAAACCCCATTGATAATTATATTTGATTTTTTAAAATCTCAATGACAATAAAAAGGAGAAGTAGCGGGCGGGGTGTATAGAAATATAGTTGCAGAACCGCCGACGGTTGATGGGACTTCTAGAAAATAAAAAATAAATTCCAAAGATAGTTATGTTCGATTTTTAGAATCCCAATGACAATAAAGATTAGGCGGCGGATGGGTCGTAGAGGAGTATAGTGGCATCGTTTGACGTGACTTCTAAAAATTATAAAAAATGAAACCCAACAAGACAATAAATTCTAAAAACTACAAGGTCCAATTTTTAAAGGTTCGGAACTTTTAAAAAGTAAAAAAAAAACCCAATGATAATCATGTTCGATTTTAAAATCTCAATAACAATAAAGTTGGGAGACAGCAGGCGAGCTATAAAGAAGTACAATGGCAAAGCCATTGATGATTTGGCGGGACTTATAAAAAGTAAAAAATGAAATCAAACAATAATTATGTTCGATTTGTAAAATCCCAATGACAATAAATAGAAAAGACAGTGGACGGACCATAGAGGAGTATAATGGCAGTGTTTGGCGCGACTTCTAGAAATTATAAAAACGAAACCCAACAAGATAATAAACTCAAAATACTATAAAATCCAAATTTTAAAGGTTTCAGGAAAAATGAATAGAAATAGTGGTAGACCGAGCAAGCAAATAAAGAAGGATATGACAGAAGTAAGGGGTAGCAGCTGGTGTGACTTTTAAAAACGAGTAAAATGCACTAGCGGTCCTTAAACTTGTCGGGAGGTTTCACTTAGGTCCACAAACTTGCAAAGCGCACATCAAGGTCCCTAAACTTGGTTTATTGTATCATCCTGGTGCAAAGCTGCGTTTGACCGTGGTCTTGCCTACGTGGCACGCCACATGAATGATGACATGGATTTTTTATTTATTTTCTCCCTTCTTCCTTCTTTTTTCACCACTGCGACAACCCCTCCCCTCGTGCCGCCTCTCACCACCGAGAAAAAAGAAGGAAGAAAGAGAAAAAAGAAGGAAGAAGGGAGAAAAAAATAAAAAAATTCCATGTCATTGCCCACGTGACGTGTCACGTAGGCAAGACTACAGTCAAACGCGGTTTTGGACCGGGATGATACAATAAACTAAGTTTAGGGACCTCGATGTGCGCTTTGCAAGTTCGTGGACCTAAGTGAAACCTCCTGACAAGTTTAAGAACCGCTGGTGTATTTTACTCTTTAAAAACTATATAATTAGAAATACGAGGATGATACGGGGATAGCTATTTAATAAATTTTAAGTAAAATTATACTGAAAAATATATGTTTTTGTTTGGGTGCTAGACACGCAATTGCGCGGCCTACCAAGCTAGTTTTGTTACATGAGAGACAAGCAATTAGATTTCAGCCTGCCAATCTTTTACTTCTGAACCAGATGGACATGTCCAGCAAAGTTCAGAACCATGGGAGTTCTGGCTTGGCCGCTTTGTATCAATTCATCCATAAAACAGATATGATACCCCAGTTCATAGGTTACAAAAGCGAACAATCGAATTACAGTACTCCTTGCAGAAAACATCTTATCATCAGGTACAAAGAACAGAGAATTGCAAGGCCATACTAAATTTTTATTTTAATCAGTGGCGAGTAAACATGCTATGGACATGATCATAACCATTCTCACCAATTTATTTGTACTTCTATGACGAATCTCTGAAACGAAACACCCTTCTTGCAGTCTCTGAAACTAACCCATCCATGATGCATCGAGTTCATGTCTTCTTGGTGGTTGTAGCAATGTAAGTCTCGTAGGCGAGCTGCGCCGCCAAAAGATCGACCACCGCCGTCCCGACGGACTTGAACACCGTGATCTCGTCGTCGCAGCGCCGCCCAGCCACGCTCCCGGCGGCAAGCTCCGCGAGCGTCCCGGCCACGTCCTCCCTCCGGAGCACGCCGCGCTGGAGCGCGCCCACCAGCTCTCCGGCCTCCTGCATCGCCGCCTCGAAGTCGATGAACACCCTCCCCCGCCGCAGCGCCTCGTCGTCGCACTCCCTCATCGCCGGCGTGAACGAGCCCACGAGGTCCAGGTGCGCCCCGGGCTTCAGTAGCTCCCCGCGCACGATCGGCTCCTGCGACCCCGTCGCGCAGCTCACGACGTCCGCCGCGGACACCGCCTCGTCCATGCTGTCCGCCTCCTCGACGGCGACCCCCGGGTGCGCGTCACGGAGCCTGGCGGCGAGCGCGGCGGATTTGGCCTTGGTGCGGTTCCAGATGAGGATTCGGGAGATGGACGGGAGGGCGGAGAGGTGGGCTTCGGCGAGGTAGGGCGCGAGGGCGCCGGCGCCGGCGAGCGCGAGGGTGGAGGGCGGGCGGGTGGGGGATGCCAGGAGGGACGCGGCGAGCGCGGACACGGCGGCGGTGCGGAGGAGGGTGAGCGCGGAGCCGTCGAGGGAGGCGAGGGGGACGCCGGAGGCGGAGTCGAAGAGGGAGACGGCGGCGTGGACGGAGGGGAGGCGCGGGGAGTTGGCCGGAAACGAGGTGACGGCCTTGAGCGCGAGGTAGGGGAGCGAGGGGTGCGCGCTCCAGGATGGCATGAGGAGGAGGGAGGCGGATGGCGCGGTGGGGAGCGGGAAGGAGACGCGGTGCGGGCAGTGGATGCCGGCGGCGAAGGCGGGGAGGCCGGCGCCGAGGTGGGAGATCAGGGACGGGAAGGGGAGGACGGAGTGGAGCGCCGCCGCGTCGATGTAGACGAACTGGTTCGCCGGCGGCGGCGGCGCGGCCATGCTGCTCCGTGGCGTTCGGGAATCTTGACGCGGCGGTAGAGGAGCGGAACGGAAGGCTAGTCAAGAAGGGGGATAGGGTTGACCGGCGTTGACTTGTTCTGAATTTACAGGAACTTGCATGATTCAAGTCGTCGATTCAAACTTGCATAATTTTTATTCATGCTGAAACCTACATAGAAACTTCACACTTTTGCACAATTTTGTTCTTCATGTAGTTTGCAGCTTAGACCATTGAATTAAGAATCAAAACCTGTTTGAGCCTGTAATTCCGCAACGATGAATATCGGACTGGACAGTCAGATAGAGCGTTCCAGGTTAGCAGAGCATTTTAACGGAGCTTGTAGATTTCTCCAGCTATGCATTTCTCGTTCTTCAGAATTCAGATCCACTCGTCTTCAGGGTTCAGAAAAATGGAGCCTCTAGCCTCTGCTTTTATCATACTGCAGTACGGGACTAACACACTCGTAATCATCTCGTGCAACCAAAAGCTAACCCGGTGTCCCGTCTCGCATCAGCGTTTGAACTAGCGTGTAATGGCCAGATTAAACAGAAAGTGCAGCCTCTGCGTTATTAGCGTGATCACCTCGTGCAACCAAATGCTAAGCTGGGTGTCCTGTCTCGTATCAGTGTTTTGAATTAGTGTGTGATGACCAGATTAAACAGTAAGGACACTGTTATCTTACAACCTCTACATAAAGCCTAAAAATATAGTACGTCGGTTGCTTTTTGATCGTCAAAAAGGCCCCATTAAATTCTCAACATTGGATTTATGTCACTTTGGTCGGACCTAACTATGCAATCAATTTAAAGGAAAACAATAAAATCGAGCCCTTTTTCGGTGATCGTTTCTCTGCAGCTCTGTCCTCTGTTCTGTACCAGACGATGGGCAACAGCAACAGCAACAGCAGATGGAGTAGCACGGGCTGCACGGCTCGCAATCGTCGCAAATGGAAAGTGAAGGTCAACCAAAACAAAACAAGATGAGCCGTAGCGAGGGTAGGTTATCTGTGATGAAATCAATCTATTCGAGTTCAACTTCTAGATTTAACATGGATGCTTGTACTTTTGGCTAATTGTTTTTTTAATAGTAGGTGACGTACCCCTCGATATCAAATTGTTCGTGGTGTTTTCATGAATAATTTCTATATAATCCTTTCGAACACAATATTGATCCTATGAATAATTTCTATAGAATCCTTTGTAACACAATATTGATCCCTGCAAATTCCTCTGAAAGGGGTATTCTGGATAAATCTTGAAAGAAAATAAGCATAATTCTCACCTCACGTTTTCATCTTATGTCATGAGTATCTGTGCTTTTAGGATGCTCAACTATATGCAGGATTCATCAAGCACAGTGCATGGCATTTTTTATTTCTATGTTTTATCTACTAATATTATGTTTAAAAAATTTGGCGTAACAAAGGCATGCTTTTGGAAGCAATTATGGATCGTTAACACATCATTAACACCGCGCCGAAAAGCTTCCCAGGAGGTTGGTGCCAAGAGATTTACTTCAACGTCATCTGTTTTAGCTTTTCTTTCTTTAGTTTTCTTTCTGTACTTAACGACACAACTTAAGCGTGGGAATGAAATGCTAGGGATACCCGGGTTGTTTACCCCAGGTATTGTAAGATGGACTCTTACATTTCCTTTTATATTTTAGCCCAACATAAGCTTTTGGCCTCTTGTAAATGCCTTAAGAACCTCGACTCTGTTTTGCACATTAAACTACCACGCATCTCACATCGCACCTTAGCAGTGACGAATGCACGACTAAATTTCAGGGGATGTTGATTGAATGAAACGAACTAATATGATCTAACCTAAATACAAGACAAACAAAAAAATACATACATAAATACTCCCTGTCTAGATTTGTAATCCCATAAAGTATCACATCCCTCTAAAATCACTTATATTATGGGACGGAGAGAGTATATCGCATGTATATGAAAGAAAATAGGATAAACTTATCTTTTAACCATTGGACTTTTACTTCTATCTAGCAAACATGAGCATGTCTACTCCCTCCGTCCCATAAAAAATCAACCTAGTACTGGATGTGACATATGCCCAGATTCGTAATATTAGTATATGCCACATTCGGTTCTAGATTCGTTTTATATGGGACGGAGGGAGTAAGATTGAACTACCGTAGGGGTGCTTCATCTCTCCTTGCCCCTAAGGGTTGGGATCACCACCGCACCGTAGTAATAATGTGCCTATGATTTTGTGGTAATGTTTGAGGGTATAAACAAAGGACTATAATCTTCAATATTCCATTTAGGCATAGTTTTTTTAATCTGAATAGATGATGTGTTATATGATTATGTGATAATGTTTGAGAGTACAAACAAATGAATTGACTATTAGAAAGTTGAAAAGCCGTTTTAAAACGTACTACAAGAAACTTACATATATAAATGATTTCCAAAAAATGACTCTGTTTGGGAGCTTGGGAAGCATGCCGCACATTATCTTCATCCGTTAATGCATTATGTTATTTTATAAAGAAAAAAGGACTACCTCGAAACAAAGTATGGAATGCTATTCTTTATACGTGAGTTTTGTGAGACGAGTGGGAATTGAGGGAAGAACCCCTGACAAAGGGAACTGATAAATAATTCCACTATACATAACCTCAAGTCAAAATTCAAATCTAGTCTCTATATGAACCTCTAAGCAATTCCCATCACATTTTTTTAAAAAAAAAGAAAAATAAACTTTTAAATCTCATGGTAATCTTACCGTTAATTCTCACCCTAAGCCCTAGCCAAACAAACCGTAGGAGACACCCCGAAGAAAGCCAACCAAACCAGCACACTATCACTATCTCAAACCACTCTAATTAATCCCACTTCCTCTGTTTCCTCTGCATGCGATGCATGCGTAGATCATCAGATGAGCCAACCAAACCGACCACGAGAAGCTTCCACGCCGCCGCCGCCGCGCGCGGCCATGGCGACCCGTGTGAAGCCGCCGCCGCCGTCGCGCCCCGTCGTCGCCAAGAGCCCCCCGCGCCGCCAGCCGCACCCGCCGCCGCCGCCGCCGCCGCCGCTGCCGCGCCACGCGCTCCATCGGCAGCACGAGCGGGAGGGGGAGGCGACGATGTCCGTGTGGAGCGTGGGGTTCATCAACGCCAGGCTGTCGCAGCGCACCCCCGTGCTCGGCCTCCGCCTCTGGGTCCTCGTCGCTGCCGGCGCCGCGGCGGCCGTCGTCCTCGCGCTCCTCATCGTCGTCTGCCTCTGCCGGCGCTGCCGCCGCCGGAGATGCTCCCGCCTGGCCCCGGCTCCGCCGCACCACGGGAGGAGCAACCGGTCTCTCAAGCAGCAGCAGTCGATGGTGTCGGACAAGGACATCGAGGAGGCCGCCCGCTGGCCCCCGCCGCCGTCGTTCCAGCCGCCGATAGAGGTCATCAAGGCGGAGCAGACGGCGCCCCTGATCATGGTGGAGGCCGCGAGGACGAGCGGCGAGACGGCGACGAGCAGCGGCGGGAGCACGCGCGGGTGGAGCACCGAGAGCGGCGGCAGCGACGCGGCGGAGCCCGAGGCGTCGCGGCGAGGGTGGGGACGGCGGTACACGCGCCGGGAGCTGGAGGAGGCCACGAACAGGTTCGCCGCCGAGAACGTGCTCGGCGAGGGCGGCTACGGCGTGGTCTACAAGGGCATCCTCCGCGACAACACCGCCGTCGCCATTAAGAATCTCCACAACAACAGGTTAAAACTCGACTAGTACTTCTGTTTGGCCGATTCAAATTTCAAAAATGTCGATGGGTTTGAAAACGCGAAGCAAAATATTTCATCCGAGATCGTTCCGATTTGTGTTTTGAATCAGAAGTTTTGGATTGATTTTGATATGCAAAGCTTCCCATGATCTCCCGATCAACCTTGTCTGTTCCTAGTTCCGCTATTAGCTCGCCAGTAAAATCTCTCAATCCTAACGACCCTGTTGATCAGGAAGAGCATTATTTCCGTTAGTTGAGCGCAACAAACATAGGCAGTTGTTAGATTTGAGATTTGAATTTCGGATGGCGAAAGCAGTAACTGCTTCTCATGGCATCCTGGACCAATGTTTCAAACAGAGTCCCGCTCAATCTTTAGTGGGAGATGGTACTTTTACCAAATTAGGTTGCTCAGGTATAAAATTTCACCTTATTACTTAGTAGAAGTAGAATTGAACCAAAAAATCAATTGAATTCCATTTGTTCTGTGCTTAATTAGGGGACAGGCAGAGAAGGATTTCAAGGTGGAGGTCGCGACGATCGGGCGTGTTCGGCACAAGAATCTGGTCAGCTTACTGGGGTATTGCGAGGGAGCTTGCAGGTGCGCATGGTGCAGTTTTAATCCGACGACACATTTCTTCTCTCTGTCCACTGTGAACTGAAAGCAAAGTTGTTGTTGGACAGGTTGCTTGTTTATGAGTATATGGAGAACAGCAATCTTGATAAGTGGCTGCACCATGGTGACGATGAAATCAGTCCACTCACCTGGGATATGAGAATGCATATACTTCTTGGAACAGCCAGAGGGTAAATTTTTGCCTTTTTGTTATCCATACTAACTAGCATAGAGGAAAAACTTGATTTGCAGCCATTAAAACTTCTAAGATTTACCAATGCTAGTTGACACATTTTCAGTATAAAAACCACTGCTGGTTGGTATGATTAGGCAAGCCATTTGCCAGTGGTTTTTCTTGAACAATCCATCTGCCGAGTACTGAAATGGTCATGTGAAACTTCTGCCTGTTCAGGTTGGCTTACCTTCACGAAGGCCTGGAGCCCAAGATTGTTCACCGAGACGTCAAATCCAGCAACATTCTTCTCGACCGGCACTGGAACGCCAGAGTATCAGATTTCGGGCTGGCCAAGCTCCTGTGCTCGGAGAGGTCCTACGTTACAACTCGTGTCATGGGAACATTTGGGTCAGTTCCATTTTCCATGTCTTCTCTAAGAGAGAGTACTATACTATTCATTGATCGGCATTCACTTACAAACTCTCCCTTCTCCCCTGTTGCATGCAGGTACGTTGCGCCTGAGTACGCAAGAACTGGGATGCTAAACGAGAGGAGCGACGTCTATAGCTTCGGGGTGCTCATCATGGAGATCATATCAGGCAGAACTCCTGTGGATTACACTAGGCCAGCACCAGAGGTTAGCCGATAGCCACCACTTAACTGACAATGTACTGAACTGAACCCTTTCAAGGCAATTGGGACAGAATTATTCAGGCTTGTGCTCTCTCCACAGGTGAACTTGGTTGAGTGGCTGAAGCGCATGGTCGCCGAGAGGAGGGTGGAGGAGGTGGTGGACCCCAGGCTGCCGGAGACGCCGCCGCCCAAGGTGCTGAAGCGCGCCGTCCTCGCCGCGCTCCGGTGCGTCGACCCCGACGGCGGCCAGAGACCAACCATGGGGCACGTCGTCCATATGCTCGAAGATGACCTCAAATTCAGAGATGTACGTCGTCGTTGTCGCCGACAGCATTAACCTGCAGCTGGTACTCAGTACTGCTACTCTTTAGGTTGCTGCATGCTGACGTTTTTGGTCTCAATCATCTGCAGGAACTGCAGCTTGCGCGGGATCTGTCGCCTCACGCATCCGACAGTTACGAGTACGAGCTGTGAGCTTGGCGGAGGAATGTGTCGTTGCGAGGCAGAGTTTGTATGGGGCTTAGAATTCTCTGGTCGTTGGAGATTACTAGATTTTCGCATTCAGGCTCACAACCAGATGTTCTTGTACAAGTCGATCTCTTATCTTTTACGTTTGTATTAAAACGGCGACGGAAATGGTTAATCGCACACAGAAGGTATACGGCGGTGATGGTTGCCAGCTTCAGCTTCGTTTATGTGATTAACCTAACGGTAAGTACATCGCTGTTTTGCTGCTTTCCGTGCTTCCTAGCTTGTTGGATCTAAACCAGCTGCTGCTGCTAGCCTGCTACAGCACACGAACGATCGCATGGTGCTGTGTCGTACATGTCCATTGCTCTAACCTCTAAGCATCAAGCCTCTTCTGTTAAAATGGCACTTCATTGGGGAGTGGATTCTAATACAAACTGCTGTAAAAAAATTTTGAAAAAAATTAACAACGTAGAATATAGTGACATGTACTTCACTAAAAATCAAATCCAAATTTGACCTACACATTGAGAAACAAAAAAAAAAGATAAATTCATATATGAATAATACTTTTTATATCTCAATGTGTAAGTTGAGTTTGGATCTAAAATTTTGTGGATTGGTATATCTATATATATGTTGTAGGATTGTCATGGCCACACCAAAGCAATTTCTTCCTCTGGCATTCTGGGTGATACCAAGCGAGAGATCAGAAGTGCCAGCTAGGAGTGCTTCTACACCACTGACATGAGGGTTCACCCTTGCTGACAGAGTGGAAAGTGTATTCTCGCTACTGTACAGTGGGCCCCGGTGACCATCCGGTTGGGAAAGATATTTCTCGTGTGGCCGGTCCATATCCAAAAGCATATCTAAAGCGCATTCACGCGCCACCACTCGCTCTAGGCGACAAGGCTCTTAAATCACACTGAAACTCTCAAACATCATAGCAGAGTGCGCTCGTCTCGTCGTCTCCGATCGACCAAACCAGCGAAACCACCATCCGCCGGCAATGGCAGCCTTGCTCCACCAGACACCACTCCAGCCACCTCAAACCACCACGAGACCGCACCCGTGGACGCACACCTCCACAACCAACCTCTCGCCGCCTCACGTGGCACTCCCCCAGCGACGGCGAGCCCCACTCCGGCGGCTACAAGCCGCCGGCAGCGGCGGCGCCATCGGCTCCTCCGCCGTCACGGACACCGAGAGCACCACCACAGCCAAATCGCCTTCCAAGAAGAAGAGCCGCAAGGAGAAGCAGCGGATGCGGCGGCAGGAGAAGGAGCAGGAGCAGCGGCAGATGGTGCTGGAAGCGCTGGACGTCAAGAGCGGCGGCGAGGTGGACGAGGACGACGACGAGCTGCCGCAGCCGGTGTTCGACCGCATCCTCCGCCGGATCATGTTCATGGTCGGCGTCCCGATGGCGTCCGGCGTCGGGCTGCTCAACCTGTACGGCGCGCTGGAGCGCGGCCGGGGCGTCGCCGTGCCGTCGTGGCTGCCGCTGCTGACCATCCTCGTCGCCTTCGGCACGTCGGCGCTGGGGATCGCCTTCGGGACGCTGTCGGCGAGCTGGGACCCGGAGAAGGAAGGGTCGCTGCTCGGGCTGGAAGAGGCCCGAGCCAACTGGCCCGTGCTGTGGGAGGAAGAAATCGAGAAGGCCAAGAAGAAGAAATGACTGTACATTGATGCTAAATTGCTACTAGTAGAAAGTACAGTAGAGCACTGAAAATATGTGTACCTTGCCAGTTCAGTGTGGTATATACTACATTTCGTAATGAGGGGATTGATTAGTTCTTGGTTAATCCGCAATTGCATGTAGATATGCTATAAATTTTCACAGCAAGTAACACTAGTTGTCTTTGAGATGCTGAATAATGTTATTAAGCAATGAGATACTGAATACTGATACAATAGAGTAGATAGCTAGACAATATTGAATACGCAGTGGCTCTGCGAGGTGCCCCGCGTAAGAATAGCTAAAATTGAAAAATTGAGAGGAAATCAAACCAGAAGACAATACTGAGTCAGTTGTTTTGATTGTCCTAGGCTCCTGGGGTAGATGGATCAATCTAGCCATCTAGTGACACCATCTTCTTCACTCACAGCTGCGAGGATTTCAATATAGACCTCCAATACAACCTACAAAAAAAACAGTTAGGAAGCTAATATTATTAACAGCTCAGTACAGTGCAAGTGGATGATCTCCAGCTAGTCCTAACAACTAACAATGGAAGTGTGGAACTTCTAATAATACTACCTCCGTTTTTTAATAGATGACGCCGTTGACTTTTTCTCACATGTTTGACCATTCGTCTTATTCAAAAAATTTACGTAATTATAATTTATTTTGTTATGGGTTGTTTTATCACTCATAGTACTTTAAGTGTGATTTATATCATATACATTTGCATAAAATTTTTGAATAAGACGAATGGTCAAACATATGAGAAAAAGTCAACAGCGTCATCTATTAAAAAACGGAGGGAGTATATGAGTGGAGCCTCTTCTTTCCATGATATCGCTGGATATTAGTATCATTGATCGGGTGCATCTTAATTCTCAAACCTTGATGTTAAGTACTATAAATGATGATAACAGGGCATACCGAAGGAATTTTGCGGTTGACCAACTTGCAACAATCCAGTAAAGACCCCTCCAGCGTCCAGCTCTCCCAAACATCAAAAGAATAGCTCGCAAATACAAGCTCCATAGTCTTATTAACCTGGTGACATATAAAAGAAAGTTGAACATACAAAATCAGCAATCTAGACAAAACATCATATGTGATTCTGTTCCAAAAACCATTCGAACTTGCTACCATGGAAGCAGGCATGCAATGATAGACAAAAACTATCTGATGATAGTCTTACATGTTATATGTAGCATAGCATGGCATCAAGTAGGCAACTATGAACACTGAACAATCAATGAACCAATTACTACAGCATTAAGATTGATGGCAATACAGATGCCCAGTATCAGTTAACTAACAGTTCTTGCGCAGAAATTCACCTAGTATTATCTTTACTTTTACTACTATAGTATCAAGCTTTCATTATGTCTTCAGTGAATGAGTACAAACTTAAAAGGATGATACCTGCAATAACTTGCCACCAGCAACAAAAGATCGCAAGCCCATAGTATCCTGGAAGTGCAATCCATTATTTAGTAGCTGTATGGTGTAGTTGTAATGTTGTATACAATATGCAAACAAATCTACTTAATAGGTTAAGGAACAACAAAGCAAAAATGAAACAAAAGAATGACAAAGGGGGGAAACGATCACCTTGTTTCTAAAAGTAATTAGAAACTGAGCAGCAGGATCCCTCTTTGTAGCTTTTGACACAACATCAAGATACCACCCAACTCCTGCAACTCTTTCTCTTGCAACATGAAACCCTGAATTATCCCTGGTCCTTAGGGCAACAACGAAGCCATCTTTCAATCTCTCAAGAGGTTTTATACTAAGCCCTGCAGTCAGTTTATTTTCAGAAATTATTTCCATTGGAAATTCGGCAGAAGATCTCAGCTTGGTTTTACAATCCTCAGGGGAAGCAAATCGTGAACTGGAACTTAACACTTGATCCTTGCCACTCGTTACAGTATCATCATCCATACGTGAGGAGTAATTACTTCCACCTTCTAAAGTTGACAACAATTCGTCCCTTTTCTGTTGTGATTTGCGGCGAGCAGGTCTCTTTTTCCCTTTCTTTCCAGATCGGCTGCGCCTTCCTTCTGATCTGGGCACAACATTTTCTCTGTTTTGAGACTGCCCTGAAGCTTGGGGCTCCTCAGAGTGGGAAATGGCTCTTCTCTTGTCACATTCTAAAGTTAACTGACTTTCATCTGTCTGCTGTCCACCATCGCAAACCTGTTCTTTTGCCTGTTTTGCTAGCTGATCATCCTCACATCCAGCTTCAGTTATTTCTTCTTCATCATCAGAAAGAGCATTGTTTGGAACAACACCATCATAGAAAAAGGATTGCAATATTGCGAGTGCCTTTTCTCTGATTTCAATCCACACTTCTTCACTGTAATCTGCACTTCGAGGAAGAATTAATACATTCGGCATCTCACGCACCTGTGAGTGAGCAGTAAAAGTATAATCAATGACATTGATCATTCTCTAGTTTAATCATCATGCTGAACGACAGAATACATCAAGAAAATAGAAGAGTATCAGTTGTTGATCTTTTGGAACAAATAAACAGGATGACTAGTGTTGTATTTTCTGTTCCTCCTTATGAACTCAAAATACTTTCATTAAAAAGCCAAATTTCCATGTCAATACTTCATTTGCATGTTCCTATTTCCATTTATGTTACACAAAGAGCACACATCAAATAGATTGAATTTGAAAATGAACGATGCGCCATGACAAAATGCTACATGGATGAAATCCTCCCTTAGGCGTACTAAAACAAAGGGTACATCATTCTTTAGAATGATGTCGCTTGACCACAGATAGCATTTTGGTTGTTTTAATCTCAAATCCCATTTGACTCAAATTCAATTGTGCCCTGAGTTCCATACCCATGCTTCCATCCATTGTGGACCTTCAGCACCATCCAATGCGCACCCAGCTATAGTGCCATCAATTAAGAGTTGTTTGAGTGCACAGTCATCTATCAGTTGACAGCTACCGGTATTGACTATGAAAGCTCCTGCAAGGCTCAAAACCAGAATGTGATATAGCATGCACAGAGAAAACAGATAAACAGATTCATACTACAGCAAGCATGGTAATACCGAAAAGAAAGGGAAAACATGAAAAGGAAACTGGAAAGGATCTACATTACCAGGTTTTATGTGCTGCAGACGCTCGGCATTGAGTATATGTGTTGTATCATTTGTTAACGCACAGTGAAGTGAAACAAGATCACTTGCTGTCAATAAATCATTGAGAGTATCCATTCTTCTGGCAGCAGAAGGAAATAAAATAGAAGGCCGCTTTGTTTTCCCATTAGCCTTTACCAAATATATTTAACAGTCAGAAATCAACCAGGATAACCTTGTTACAAGGTTGAATTGTGTTCTATGACTAAATTAAGGAACACATGGAAACTTATCCAAGCGAGCAATAAAATTTCTGGTACTAGGCACCAGAAATGAGCATATCTAAGTATATAATAACCGAAATGAATACTTAATAACTCCACCAATCAATGTATTGTGAAAGGAAAGAATTGGGTGTTTTGATTCACAAGTGTTGGAATAGAGATCAGTCAACACTAACAAGCAATGAACAGTATCATGATCTTTCAAATATATCTGTACTTTCTCCTGTTTCTTTGTGTTGAAATTGAAGTTAGTAGAGCCCCAAAAGAGACTGGTTTGGATGAAATTATATTTTCCCGTGAAGCACAATATAATCATAGCCAACAGATTAACAGAGTTGAAGTTCAAGTAGTGCTACATAAGCTACATAACACACTAAATGCCAAAAATCTGATCACCAATAAATGGAACCAACGCAGGAAAACTAGCAAACAGATCATCTACTACTCGCGCAAAGGCCACTTATGAAGTTTTCAAATCACATAAGCCAACAATGCGCGCCATGCACTGACTGTCAAATGCTAGAACCACAGTGCTGACAGGTGACAGCAGTGAACCTGCAAGTCTAGATCGGAAGATTTTGTGGTGAATACTGAATAAGTGGCGGATCAGGTACCTCATGGAGCGGATCGAAGTAGAGCACGCTCATACTGAACGCGAGGCTGCGGGTGGCGAGGCATCGCGCGGCGGCGTTGACCCCGACGATACCAAGCACTAGCCCACGGCAGCGCCGCATTCCGCGGCAGAGCGGCTGGACGGAGCCGAGCCACCCGGCGGGCGGCGCGGAGTAGGAGGAGGCGTGGCGGGACAGCAGGTGGGTGCGGCGGAGGAGGCCGAGGAAGAGCGCCATGACGGTGTCGGCTACCTCCTCGGCGCGGTTGGCGTCGACGTGGACCAGGCGGAGCCCGAGCTCCGCGGCCACGGCGGCGTCCGCGGCGCGGTCGGGGGAACCGAGGCAGAGGATCAGCTGCCAGGGGCGGAGCCGCCGCTGCGCGGCGCGCGGGAGGAACGCGAGCGAGGTGAGGAGCACGGCGGCGGCGGCCTCGACGCGCCCGGATGAAAGCGCGGAGAGCGGGGCGTGCTCCACCGCCGCCGCCCCCGCGAGCACCTCCTGCTCCATCGACGGGTCCTCCAGGCAGTTGAGCGTCACCACCAGCGGCTCCCCGCCGCCGCCGCCGGCGACGGCGACGGCGGCGGCGGCCGGCGGAGGCGAATGGGCCGGGCCGTGCAGCATCCTGGGCCCACTCGTCTGAAGAGAGGCCCCGGCTCGGGTCGGGATTCGGAGCGGAGTGGCGCGGCGCGGTCGGGGCGTTTTGGTTTTTGATGGGGAACAGTAGTGAGCCGGCCGTGCCCCACGCGGAGCCACTACCACGATTGGTCAAACGGTACGCTTTGCACCGGAGAGCGGACGTGACCGGCCCACCATGGTGCACATACATCTCATGTGGAAGCGGATCCAACTTTGGGTTGCAAAGTCACATACGTGCAGTTCTGCTGTATCCACCGTTCGTTATCATTCGACGATCCAAAATCGTCCTTCCAACTCCTTTCTTCTTCCTTCGTTTCCTTGCTCCTGTTTCTGCGTACCTTCATGGCTGGCAGCCATGGCTGTCACTCTTGGGTCTTGGCCAACAAAGCATGCAATTTCTGCCGCTCAAAAGGTGTAGACATGTTGTTGAAAATTTTCTTTTAAGGCTACAGCTTCTGTCTTAGTCAGATTGTTGTCGCAACAAGAAAAATGGCATCCGATTATTGTTGAAGCTTCTCCCTTTGCACGATCTTACCCAGAGTCCAAGACCACCGAATTTGAACATCAGCTTCTCCAGTATGGGCATTTATTGCATTTGATGGACTCTCATCAGTACTTAACGAGCTGATATTTCGAGGATGCCCTTGGTATTGTCTCCCCATGTCATCAGCAAGCTCTATTCGCGCGGATGGCTGTCGTTCCGTGGATGACAGGATGAGACGGATCATCTCTGTTCACGCAGTCACACCTGCAGCGAACCCCTTTCTGTTTTTTGCATAAGTAATGATGCGATTGAAGTTTCTTGCAATCCAACGACGGCAGCCGGCCATGAAGTTGTGCAACGAAGGGAGCAACTGAGTAAGGAACAGAGGAAGAAGAAAGGAATTAGGAGAATAAGTTTAAACCGCCGGATGATAATGGACAGCGGATAGGATGTAACTGCACGCTCGTAACTTTGCTACGCAAACTCAGAGGATCCGCGTCCATCTCATGTGGGTGGGGTCTATCTATATATTGATCGATAAATTACATTATACTAGTAATTATAATAAGTTTTATAAATCTACAACATAAATTGCATGTAACTTTTGAAAATTTCGTCGTAAAATGCTATTCCATGAAGTGAAAATCGGGGATCAAATCTCCTCACCATATGTGTGCTGTGATTTTTTTATTTCCTAGTATGTATGGATCTTGAAGTAAATCTAATGGTTCAAAATTATTTAAAAGTTACTCCATCTGTTTCATAATTTAAGTCATTCTAGCATTTCTCACATTCATATTGATGATAAATCTAGATATATGAATGTGAAAAATGCTAGAATAACTTACATTATAAAACGGAGGAAGTATGTATAAGTTAAATTGTAGTTAATGTAAGTTATAATATAATTACACTATAATTATTTGTATTTATATGTGACAAATCTTTAGAAAAATATTATCAACAAATAAATAGCAAAACTATTTCTTCAAACACGCATGCAGCCAAGCGATAATCCCGTGACCCACATACTCATTATTCCCGTCCACATGGTTTCATCTCGCCAGTGTACCGGCTCCTATGGTACTTGCTCTAATGTTTACTCCCTTCGTTCTATAAGAGCAAGTATAATAGACAATTTAAGCCAGTGGTAATGCATGCATGAAGAAAGAATGATGAGTTGGAAGAGAAATATATAAGCGCGGGCGATTAATTTGCCATTGGATCCAAGCACACTCCTAGGTAAGATAGGGAGATAGGGCAACATCGACCGATAGAAACATGGTTTGTAGGGTCTACGTGAGAGCATTTGTGTGAAAGTTAAATTTTAAAAAATATGTATCAATCTATTAGAGTTCGTGCGAATAGTCTGATGCTATACATATGGACATATGGTCTTTTGGTCACCTCCACTGCTGACTAGGCATTTTTAATCGTCAGCAGCTATCTACACCATTAAACCTACTTTGAAACAAATCTAACACATAATGTGAGTTCAAATTCGTATTTCTAGAATGTGTCATATTTTATATTAGATTTGTCTTTTATAGGACGGAGAGTACTTGATTTGACTGATTTCGTTTGTTTCGAGATATAAGCCAATTCAAGTTTGAGATCAAATAAATTTATGCACATATTTAAGTAGCGGTTTATATGTGAAGGGATGGCGACCATAAACCTCAATCACTGTTAGCCATCCATCTGCACGATACTACCCAGCCAGACTCCAGCCGCCGCTTCCAGACGCGTCGGCCCCAAGAGACGAGGAACGAGTCTTTCTTCTTCCCCGGCACCGTCGCGGCAGTCCGTTGCTGCCGCTGGCCGCCGCTGTGCGCGTGTCCTCAAGGCTGCCGCTTCCGATCTTGGAGAAGCATGGGCGGGCGACCTCATCTCGGTTTTGGAGAAGCCGGCGTCATCAGGAGTAGTACAGCACTCGGAAACCTCTCCGTGTCTCTGAGAATTACAACCAAGATGAAGACGGGCCCCCATGGGGATGCTGGTTTCGGAGAAGGTGTGGTAGGCGCAAGCGCAAGCACCCGCGAAATCGAAGACGGGGCTCCATGGGGATGCTGGGTCTGGCGAGGATCATGTCGATGAAACGCCGGCGGCGGCGGCGGCGGCGAATCCAGGCCGGTATGCCTCTTTTTCAGCTTGCTCTCTGTTTTAATTCTTGTTCTATAATAACCAGATCCATTGACCTAGATAGCTAATCATCAAGTTAAAGGGCATCGTCATCGATCTGTGCACAGAAAGCTCAAATTTTTATCGCCCTCTTTTCCATCAGCTTGTAATCTGTTTACAGTGTAATAAGAAAATATGCATATTTTCGGAATCGCTAGATTTCTATCGCATGATTCTCGGGGGGCCAAAATAATGCGAATGAAGCCAGTAGAATTAGGGTTCTGGATTTGGGGAGGAATTAGGGAGAGATTAGTGGTCCGAGAGGTCGATGGGCCGGCGGTGGCAGCAGCGATCAGCAGTCGAGCCAGTAGGGCTAGTCGGCTAGAGGTTATGGATCTGGGGAGGAATTACTGAGAAATTGGTGGTCGTGGAGGTCGATGATGTGGCGGTGGCAGCGACGATCAACATTTGAGCCAGTAGGGTTAGGGTTCTGGATTTGGGGAGGAATTGATGGTAGGGAGGTTGATGGGCCGACGGTGGCAGTGGTGATCGGGACAGGGAGGTGGCGGATCACTCCCTCCATGCAGAGGAGGATGGATGGTTGATAGAGGGTTTAGGCTTTGAAAATGTTAGCTCCAGCGGCGGTCATGTGTGGCGGCACCAGCATTGCCGAATCTGAGCTGGGTGTTGTGGCAGCAGGTGCGAATATAGAAGCCCGTGAAAGGGGAAGAGAGGATGTGCGGTGGCGGAGGAGGAAGGAGCTGCGATAGGTTGGGTTGAGTGAGCTACGACTGGTGCTCTTGGGGTTGGTGCATTTTATATGAGAGCGCAAACCAACCTGGACCAGTAAAATCAAATGGTTATGTATGTCTGTGTGATTTTGCTTCCTTATGTTATATAGCAAGTCCAGTGTTAAGACACAGACATGTCCGGTTCGGCCAAACAATCTGGACACCCCCCCCCCTCTCTCTTCTCCACCATTTTGTTTTCTGTAAGCAGACCAGATTTGTTCCCTATCACCATCAGCTTGCTGTGCTGTAGATGGATCGAGTGCTTTAGACATGGGAAGAAAGGATTCACGCAGCAGGTCTGGAAGTGCCAAGAGGAGGGGACCACATCTCACACTGGACAGGCTCCCACGGGTACATAACATAATGCCGAGAGGCGATCTAGTTCAGATTTTAGCAAAACATTCTGGAGAGCACAAAAGATTCAGCAGTGCCAGTGCATGGACCTGAAACAAAATTATGATATGTATACATTCAGGCATTGTTTCAGCTCTTCTGAATAAGGGCATAGCTGCTTCAGCAAATAAGTAAACAAATAATGCTATGAGATTAATAGAATAGGAATGCTATAGCAATATTAACTTTATGACATGTCTTTCTATCTCTTGCTTTTCTCTTGTAAGCATTATCACTTTGTCCAACTCAACTTCGTCCTCTTGCCATCCTGTTGTTGAAGTTGTCTGTTATGTATCTCTTGCTTAGGATGTGTTGCATCAGATAATTGCTCTCCTGCCAATGCAAGATGCTGCACGTGCTGCCTGTGCCTCACGAGAACTTTTACAGTCCTGGAGACATTATCCTGAGCTCAAATTCAGTGCCAAAACACTAGCCATGGATGGACAACACAATTGTATACAAGGTCAAATGGATTCATATATCAAGAGGATTGATATTGCTCTGCAAAACTGCACTGGTGGTTGGGTGAAGAGGTTTAGGTTTGAACTACAATTTTTTCATGAGTTGTCTGCCCATCATATCAACCATTGGCTTGATGCAGCTATCCCTGGGATCGAGGAGCTCACCCTAGAGCTGCCCCGGGATGATAAAATGAAATATAAATTCCCATGTAAACTCTTGTTTGAAAAGGGATGCTCAATTCAGTCTCTGTGTCTCTATTCCTGCGCTTTTCACCCTGATCAAGGAGCTTGTTCCTTCAGAAACTTGAAGAGAGTGTACTTTAGCTTGGTGCATATCACCACAGAAGAACTATGGATCTTTCTTTATAATTCTCTTAGTCTAGAGCATCTGGAACTTGGGTTTTGCCATAAGATAGCTTGCCTTAAAATACCTTGCACACTGCAGCTGCTTAATTTCTTGCGGGTCAGACGATGCAACATGCTGCAGATAATAGTGAGTGATGCTCCTAATCTCTCCACCTTTCACTATGAAGGGCCCCTAATACAGTTGTCACTTGGAGATTCACTGCAACTGAAGCATGTAAACATATCAATCTACCCTTGGTTTAATTTGTTTGAATATGCTCGCAAGCAGCTTCCAACAGTTGCCCCGAACGTTGAAACTCTGTTCCTGATGTCTGCGAATGAGGCTGGTATTTTCTATCCACTCATATTTCAGCCGCATGGAAGATTCCTGCACCTCAAGTATCTGGAGCTTGTGATTGTTGGACCAAGGAATTATGGCTTTGGCTATCAGTACACTTATCTGGTTACTTTCCTCAAAGCTTCTCCTGTGTTGGAAACTTTTATCTTGCACGTATGACATTTTATCTCTCAAAGCAAAATTTTGTCCTCTTTCATCCTTCAGCTGTTTCCCTTGTCATTTTATCATTAAGAATGAATGATATCTTTTTTCCTTTCATTTTTACTGTGCAGGTGGAGTCTGCTAAAGAGCCCTATCCATTGGTTATTAATCCTAAATACCTAAAAAATCATTTGCTACCGGAACATTGCCACCAGAGCATCAAGCATGTGACAGTAACCGGTTTTTGCCACACGCAGGAACTAGTGGAGCTGATATTTTATATCCTTGAGAACGCAACTTCGCTTCAGTGCCTTACACTGGACAACCGAATTCGTGGTTTTGAGAAGGACTTGGTGGCATGCATCACACAAGACGCTGGAACCTGTGATTATCAAGAGTGGTGGAAAAATTTTGGTGCTAAAGAGATAATTCTACATTTTTTTAGGAGAGAATCTTATCCAAAGTCATACTGGGATGCTTACTGTTCTTATGTTGCTATCAGAAAGTATATCATTGGAAGGGTTCCCTCATCCGTGGAACTGAAGATATACCAGTTGTGCCTCCTGATGAAATTATATCCCGTCTTTCAAAGGTAGAAAGTGAGCTGCTGAAAAGTCCTTAGCAAATAATAGTAATGACAAAGGATATGATATCTTTTCTGAAAAGTTTGCAACCTTCAATCATGCATGGTAGATGTTAAATGAACAGACCCTATTTGTAATAATATTGTTCATAAGTTATGTCAAAATAACTTTCAGATACTCTGTTGTATGCAATCTGCAAATCATCAGTCAATGGCATGGCCATAGGTCGACTTCCAGTTACCTGAAAATGTTCTAGCCCTAGATAGATTTTGAGCCATTTGTTCGGGATTTTGGATTTGTTTTATTGCTTGTTGAGGTTGTTCGGCCCTCCTGTCCTTTCTCCTTTGTCAATACTGCGTTCGTGGGAGGTGAAAAGGGAGTTTGTTTGTTTCGTTTTCCCCGCACACGCTTTCTGAACTGCTAAACTGTGTGTTTTTTTGCAAAAAATTTCTATATAAAATTTGCTTTAAAAAATCATATTAATCCATTTTTAAAGTTTAAAATAGTTAATACTTAATCAAATATATGCTAATGGCTCATCTCGTTTTGCGTATCTTCTCTTTTCCTCTCCTCTCAAACTCATATCATACCCAACAACCTCGTGGAATAGTTCCCGATCAACTAAAATCCCGACCCCTTTCTCAAGACCCTTCCCTCTCTATAAAGTACTCCCTAAGATGAATTTTATGGACGAATCAAGTCCAAATTCGGCTGTGCTCACTCCCAATCTTCCCAGGATTGCTAATTAGCGTATATGCGCGAGATTAGCAAGTAGCGCGTACGCTGCAATGCATGCATCGGCCCCACCCCTGCAAACACATACTCCCTCCGTCCAAAAAAAAAAAAAGCCAATCTAGCCAAGGATGAAACACTCCATCCTTATATAGGTTGGCTTTTTTTTAACGGTGGAGTACATGCCTGCACCGATCCCATACCTGCACATGCATTATACACCATGCATGACTGCGTGTGTTTCACCTGCATATAATCTTTTTTCTTTTAGTTTTTAATATTTTTATGATAATTGATTTGGGATATATTGGTAGTTATCAAAGTTTCTATTAGAAGATATTTTCAATAGATTTTTTTATATAATTTAAATTTAAAATTTTCAACTCAATTTTTAAAAACTTTCAAGTCAAAGTTTAAAACGTTCAAGTAAAATTTGAAAAACTTTCAGCCTAAAATTTGAAAAGTTTCAACTCAAATTTAAATATTTCAATTCAAAATTTAAAATCTTTCAGCTACCAATTTAAAATTTTAACTAACTTTTATATATTTATATATATATATATATATATTAAAAAATAATGGTAAGCATTGTTATTAACGCTAATCATTATTCTTCCAACAAACGGACGAGGATCTTTTACCATAATATCACGCGGGTCCGCTCCGCACGTTAGTACGAATGCTCGCGACAATTCCAGCTCGAAGGGCCATGTCAAAGCGGCGAATGGGCCGAGACACTGGGCTCTCTCGGCTGAAGCCTGGCTGCAGTCTGCAGCTGCTGGTGATTTGGACTGGGTCTCGTTTTGATACTATTCGGCCTGAAGAGGCCATGTTAACCGTAGCAAGACCAGCCTGCACAGAGGCTGGCAAGCACAGAAGGAATAAGTTCACTTTAGATCCCTCTATTTGTCGCCCAGTCTGATTTTCATCCCTGAACCGCAAAACCAGGTATGACCCGTCCCCCAAATTACGAAAACCGGACAAACGAGATCCCTTAGCGGTTTTGATGGTGGTTTTGGCTGACGTGGCGCCTACGTGGTTATTTTGACTCGGTCTTCATCTGATGTGGCACTGACGTGGCGCTTACGTGGCAATCCGATACAGAAATATAATAAAACCCGTGGGCCCCACATGTCAGTCTCACAGAAAAAAATAATAATAAGGTGGGACCCACGTGGGCCCCACATGTCAGTCCAACTCATCCCTCCTCTTCTTCCTCCTCTCTCTCCATCTCCCCTCTCTTCATCTCTCTCTCCTCTCCTCTCTCTCCAAGCGACGGCGGCCGCTCCTCTCCCTCCCACCTGCGGGTCGCCGCACGCTGCTCCCTCCCGCTGGTCTCCGTGCGCCGCCGCTCCTCTCCCGCCCTCCCACCGGCCGCCGACGCTCGCGCACCACCGCTCCTCTCCCTCCCTCCCGTCAGCCGGCGTGCGCTGCCTCATCTCCTGCCGGCCGCCCCGACGAGCTCGCCTCCTCCCTCGCGGCGACGGACAGCGCATGGCCGGCGGCGAGCGACGGCGCGCGAGGCGCCTGGGGTGGCGGCGGCCATATCTCTCTTGCGCAAGCGCTCCCCTCGTCGGCCATATCACCGACACCCTCCCCTCGTCGGAGCTCTGCAAGCGCCATGGCGGCTCCGCTGCTTCTGGTGGTGGTGGTGGTGGTGAGGACGAGAAGCTCCACTTGCTCCGCCGCCTCCTCGCGCGGCCCGACATCGCCATCGACTCCACGCGCCTCGCGCGCCGCCGCGCGCGCCGTCGCCCGCCGCCGGCCATGCGCTGTCTGTCGCCGCTCCGCCCGTCCCGTGGCCTGCCGCCGCCGCCGCTCCGCCGCAAGGACGAGGGAGAGCCGAGAGGAAGAAGAGGAACAGCCAAGAGTGGAGAAGGAGAGGGGAGGGGATCCGGCGAGCTCAGCTTGGGGGGCGGCGGGAGCAGCGTCGTCAGCGTCGCTCCGCCCACCGCCCGCCGCCGCTCCATTTCGCCCCACTGCCGCTCCGCTTCCTCCCGTCGCCCACCGCCGGCCGTCGCTCCGTTCACCGCTGGCCGCCGCGCCGCTTCGCTCCGTCGCCGCGCCGCCAATCGTCGCTCCGCTTCCTCCCGCCGGCCGCTTCGTCGCTGCTTCGCTCCGTCGCCCCCTCGGCGCCGCCGCTCGCCCTTCTCTCCTGGCAGTGTAGGGGGAGAGAGAGGGGGATAGAGAGGAGGCTGACATGTGGGACCACATGGCCCCACCTTTTTTAAATTATTTTTTGTGTAGCTGACATATGGGTCCCACTATTTTTATTATTTTTTCGAGATAAAATTGCCACGTAATCGCCACGTCAATGCCACGTGGGACGAAGACCTAGTCAAAGGAGCCACGTAGGCGCCACATAGACGCCACGTCGGCCAAAACCGCCCTCCATACGGCCGAGGGACTTTGTTTGCCCGGTTTCGTAAGTTGGGGGTACCCGGTTTTGTGGTCAAGGACGAAAATCAGACTGACCGACAAATAGAGGGACCTAAAGTGAACTTATTCCAGCACAGAACGGATTTCGCCTTGCTTTGGGAGCCCATGATCCCCGCAGGCCGGTCAATCCCGTGAAAAGGCCGGGATTTCTGTACGGATTGGGGCGATTCGTACACCGGTGTTCGATTCTCCGGAATAGCCGAAAAAGTAATTACGACTAGCCCATCCGCCTAATTAACCTGCCCCGGATCGTACGAGCGCGGCGTTCGGCCGGCGTCGGCTCGACCCGTCCATGTCGACCATGTCCCCTTCGCCATCGCCGTGTCGCACCCCAGCGTGCGTGTGCGTGTGCGTACGCGCCGCGGCTCCACCGACGGATTGCTTCGCTTCACCAAGCGAGACGGCCGTGCAGCCGTGCAGAGTGCAGCGCAGCCGCTTGCCACTATGCGCGACAAAAGCTAACGCTATCATTTCTCGCCCCGGCCGCAAGCTATCTAGGTAAACCACTAGTACTACCGACGAGCCGTCATCAAGACTCGCGGAAATCACGGGCGCCACCTTTACTCCTCCCGTTTCGATTGGCCAATGCAAACGGCTAAAAGGCCATGGAATTGTTGCTACAATCAAAGCTATCTGATTTTTCTATCAGAAATAAAAATCCGGAAAAACACATCTTTTTCGAAACGAAGGCTTTTGGAGTTTGCAAAAACCACTCAGCTGTTCTGTACACACGCCTACGAAAATACGAACTGAAATCGACGAAAGAAATGCATCGAGAAGCTAACGGAACCGGTGCTGAATTTTCTCAACGGCTACGATGACGAAAAACTTGAGCGTTTGTTAATTAGGCGGCGTTCCACGAGTCGTCGTCATCATCGTCGGCGGCGGTGTAGGAGGCCGGGAGCTTCTTCTTCGTCGGCCTGCGGTGGCGGGAGGAGACGAGGAAGTCCGGCGTGCGCTCGTAGCCGGCGAAGACCTCCTCCCAGATCTCGGCGAAGGCGCGGAGGATGACGTGGTGGTGGTGCGGCGAGTTGAGGGGCAGGAAGCGGTGGAGGAGCTCCCGGAGCTCGGCGCCGCCCACGATCTCCTTCTCCACGATCATCTGCAGCATGGATCGCCGGAAGTCGAAGAGCGGGTCGGCCGACTCCTTCACCACCGCCACGCTCTCCTCCACCCTCCCCGACCCGCCGCCGCCTCCGTCGCTCACCGTCCGCCTGTGCCGCCTCCCGCCGCCGCGGCCGTCGTTCTTGGCGCCGCGGCCTTCTGCCACCGCGCCTTGCAGTGACCGGACGCTCCGCTCCAGCTCGCCGAGCTGCCGCAGGAGCGCGGCCACGCTCGGCGTGCTCCCCACGCTCGTGTCGGCGTCGGTGTCGACGTAGTCGTAGTCGTAGGAGGGAGAGAACGAGGACGACCCCGCCGCCGCCGTCGTCTTGTTCCCGGCGCTCCCCGTGGTCGTGGTAGTGGTAGTGCTCGACGTGTTCGGCGGCGGCGTGGCCATGGGCGACTGCTTGTCGGAGCCGTCGGAGACGGAGACGGCCTTGGAGCCGCCGCAGCCGCCGCACATGAAGCCGCGGGCCTTCTTCTTGATGCGTATCCCGGCGCCGGCGCCGCCGCGCCGCAGTGTCATCACCTTCATGGACGAAACCTTGAGAAGATTGGAACTTGACGTGCTCACGTCGTACGTGTTGGTGTGGGAAGCCGGCGATGCACCAGAGGTGGTGAATGTACTGGAGCGAATTGAAGAGAAAAGTTAGGAAGCCTCAGGTTTTAAAAAGAGCCAGCCCTGTGGTTCGTTGCTTCTTCCCCTGTAAAAGTGCAAAAGTCAAACGGCTAAATTTTTTTTTAGATAATGGAACGTTTTTATGAAAACTGAGCCATAAGGTTATCTACATCAAATGTCATTTTAGTTTATATCACAAGTTGATTGGAGCATCCAGTTAATTGGAGGCTTGGAGCTAGTTTTGTTATTAGGCAACACTGTAATATGTTGAAATTTCTCGTTTGTGTCTTCCTTGAATTTGCTCGGAATTCGTAAGTTTGCTCCGTACTCATTTGAAATAGAAAAGCTCATGTTCAACGTAAGATCACTGTAGGAAATGTTGTTCATAATTTTTTTGCCGAAAAAAAAAATCTTTTGAACTAACATGTTCAGAAATTTAGAGATTTTGCTTTTATACACAGTGGCGGCTCCAGAATTTTTTCTTGGGTGGTCTTATTCCACGTTCCAAAATTTTAAAACATCGAAAACTCAATGTACATATGCACAAATTGCTTAAATACCTTCCTAAAACTAGCATTTTAATTTAAAAATTACAAAATACAACATAAATAGTTTAATAAGTACGTCAAATGGAGAAGCTGAAAAATAATAGTACTAGTCAAATGGTTATAGAAAACCTATAGTTTACCTTTGAGACAGTCCTACAAACACAACCCGTTTTTAATTCGATCCATGCAGCGGGGGCCTACCAACACTGATGGCAGATACCCTGTGGAAAAAAAACATGTCTGGACGCACTATGTAAGTAGGCTGGAGTAGTTTTTGTCCATAGCATCTGTTGTTGATACATTACCATCGGTCTAGGTAGGGTGTCATTAGGCCCTTAATTTGACAGGTTTCCATTAATCAGAACGAATACTTCATTAAATATGCATTTCTGTTAACGTTGCATGAACAGATACCCCTAAATATGCGGCAGATAATGCTACTACGTTGGATTTTTATTCATCTTCCATCATCTCCTAATAATTGTCGATCACCATCACATTTGCACCGATTAATAATAACTCAGCAAAAAGAACTATATGCAATTTATATGGGTCTACTAGTACTTGTATATACAAATCAACTTAATTGTTATATCCGAATAAACGATTTTATAATTTGGACGACAGGACGAGAGCTATATCCAAGCTAATTAATCAATGCATGGAAGCAAGCATTTAGCCAAGTGTGTACATATTTTATGCCAGTGGGTAATAAAGGGAGCTACTACAATGATCATGCCGTCGACCACCATGCATGTAGCCAATCAATTGAGGATGAAGCTGGCCCAAAAACCACAATAATCTAACCAAAAGACGGAAGCTTTTGCTGCCACAATGATTACAAATGTCACCTAAAAGAGCTCATAAACATATTTACATATGGTTTGGGCGGCCGGTTTTGCTCAGCCTCTACGTATCCGCATGCCGGGTGGTGGCACGTCCGCTCTCATGGCCACCACATCACTGAAGCTGCGTGCTATGCTTGTGTGCGTGCCCGCGATATGCCTCCATCTGGACGTCCGCGCGTACGTGATGACCCGGGCGTACGGCGGCCGGCCGGCAGACACGCACCATCATACGGTCCGCGGGCGCGCGAGACGTCTTCTTTTTCGATCTCTGCTGCTGCCATTTGGCCGGCGCGCGAGAGCGGAAAAAAAACGGCAGGACGACGCGGCAGAGCATGCACGGCGGGATCGCGAATTCGCGAGAGGTTGGGGAGGCATGTGCCGCGGGGAGGCCTTTCCGGCTTTCCGCGTGCGTAGGGGCGGCGCCTTTTTGTCGCGCCGGCAACCGCACTCTGGCCGTACTCGATCGAGTTCGGAGAAACGGAAGGATGGCTGATTCGACGGAGCAGACGTGCACGGTGCATTGGTTACTGGCGAAAGAAAAGGGAGGGAGGGTTGGTTGGGAGGTGGGAAACCCAGGCGCACGGTCGCTCTGCCTGACTCCCGGTTGGCACCGGCCCATTATGTTAAGCGAAGTGGAAGGAAGATGGAACAGCTGAACGAGGCCCAGATAGCAGGTGTACGGAGGCACTTGTAATATCAAATGGGCCACATTTCAAGGAGTAGTGAAGTGGGCCATGATGGCTTCTACGATGTTCGAGGCTTTGGGCCCCTTATGCGTTTCCAACGGACCGCGGAAACATGCACTTCCAGAGCTCGACAGTCCACAACCTTAATCGTAGCAGCTTACTGTACATGTTTTCTTCAGTTACTGTCCCGTCCTGTTGTTGTCTGTGTATAACATATAAATTTTAGAGTAAAAAAAAAAGCATTAGCAATCTTTGTCTTCGTGGGTTTTGATGGATTTATAAACTAGCTTGAAATATGCATATTTAGATCTTTAAATTGATCAAATATATTATTGTCGATTCAAATTCGACGTGGCATACCACATGAAAGCTAACATGGTATTACCACCAATCCTTACAGCGCGGATGCCCTAACCCGGACATGTCTTTTGCCTCAAACCCTCAATGCTGCTCCCCACCACCCTAGCCCACAGCTTTACGATCCATGCACTATTGTCATGCCGTCGAGAAAGGGGGTGAGAGCTAATGAGTAGGGTCGAACCCGATGGTAACGGTGGGGGGATATGGAGCGCCGTGGACATGGGGTGCTTGATGGTGGCTCCTTAGCGTGAGCGCATGGTAGTGGACATGGCAAGCTCGACAACGGCAACTCGAGCTTCAAAAGAAAATGAATACAATAGGCAGAAGGGAAAAAAGAGAATGAGAGGAAGAAAAAAAAGTGAGTGGGCCACATCTGTCAGTCGGTATTGAATTGGTAGTGATGCCATGTAAGCGTCCGAATATTCGTATGGCAATGCCATTTTTTTTTATCAGCGATGGTACATTTAGCATGTTTAGGGCTTTAAAGATATACTTCTAAAGTTTATGGACTCGAATAAAAACCACGTGAAAGTTTAAGGATCTTAAGTGTATTTTACTCAAAATTTTAGAGGGTTTAAGAAATGAAAGTAGCCGATCGACGAGAGGAGCAGAAGCTCGTTCACCCAATTAATCTCTAGTAGATTCCCGAATTGTGTTGATCCCACTGTCACATTTTGAGGTTCTGATTGCTCCACTTTTACCTCCAAAGGATTTTGGAGCACACATTGCTGTACCGGTCTCTATCTTGCACGAACAAACGTAGAAGAAAATTAGAAGAGAATTGCTGTCCCCATCTCGTCAATGCTCTCATTCCCTCCCAAAACCTAAGTATAGTACGCGGTGGCATTCTTTAATTCTCCATCAAGACAATCACTTGGAGATGTTCACCGACTGAATGTCTGGATGCGAGAGTGTGAGCAGCTCGCGTACTACTTAAGCAACTATTAGCAAACTTCATTTGCATCTTTCAGATGGTGACTGGTTCATGTTTGTGATGAAGTGGCGGCCAGAAATGTGAAGATCTCTGTTCATTTTTCTGCCGCCTTAGCTTGTTTCTCAGTGAAGCTTCACTGGCTGGCTGGCTAGCAATTTAGCATGACGAAATTTCTGGAAAGTTTAGTGAAACATTGGGGAAAAGTTGAGCACATCTCGAAGGTGATGAATGATGTAAATGTAAAGGCCACAGTGCAATTCTAAAGGCAGATATGTGTGCACGGTTGATAAACGCGAATCTTAGGACAATTCCAGAAAGTTAGATGAAATTTGTCCCGTACTGGAAACGTCTTTGTCGCTCAATATCGCCTGGTGGATATGCGCAGTCTCTTCACAGCGAACGACCTATTTAGTTGATTTTTCCTCTTCACTGTCATGTATGCAGAACAGAATTAATTTCGAATGTTTGACAAGGTTAGTAGATGATTTGGGCTTTGGAGAGTGGAGACTACATGGTGGTATGCTGCCTAAGATATTCAGAATCCTTTTTCTGTGTGTTGACTATGCTATTCTAGAAATCAAGACATTAAGACTTCTGTGTGTTGAACTATATCTAACTGATATCTGTAGTTGCACTTAAAAGTTGTACACCTTAAAAAAACAAAAACAGATAAGCTGCTAACACATTTTGGTTTGGGAGTTGGGGGTGTTTATGAACACGAGATACAATTTGAATTTTGAAATTTAATTTTAGAGTAAATTTTAAGGAATATTTTTATCATAGGTTATTTTTCGTATTGGCTTTTAAATTCTGAGAATACATATATAAAAGTTTTACTAATAAATTATTCGTATGAGTCTTATCGCAAACAATTGTGAGGTTGTGAAAGAAACAAGTTGTGCACTTGTGCATGCCTGTTGTATTCTGCAGGTCCATTTCATGGCTCAGTTCCTGATGGATTTAGGCGTTCCTTTCTTCTTTTTTTCCCATATCTGACGCAAGAGCAGCGCACGCGTGTATGTACAATACAAGCGCCAAGGACAAAATTCCCCGGCTCCTACATGATATAATACACCTGCAAAGCTGCAACAGAGAAAGACAAAACTCAAAAACCGAATACATGATGCTTGCAGTCTTCATTTTCTGAACGCCGCAAAAATAATCAAATGATTGCAAAAAGAAACTGACGACGTTGCAGCATTTGGCTCTTATTCGTTGTCCTCGTGCAATTAATTAATCATCACGAAAACGCAACAATTGGAAGTTGTTTTTTTCAGTCTTAATCAAACCGAATATATGTTTTTTTTTAAAAAAACAATCGGAATATATATATATATATATATATATATATATATATATATATATATATATATATATATATATATATATATATATATATGATCCTTCTAGTCTTCAATGTGAATGCCCGAATTCCACGCAGCACATTCAAAACGTGTTTGAATTTGTGGATTGGTACGTCACAGAGCCACAGAGGTAAGCACTAAGCACTCCTTTTGCCGCCCATGGCGAACTGACAGATCACTAAGATCAGTACAGTAGAAACAGTAAACCCACGTTCTTCTACGCCCTCCGTAACATTTTGAGACTAACCTCGAGTATGGTACCGAATGGTACGTATGCTATTGCACATCGACATAGCCCA